GGGTAGGTTTCTTGGGTTTTAGCCCCCCCCCCAAAAATTTTTTTTTCAAAATTATTCAATTTTTCTTTCAAAGTTTTAATATTGACAATTTGTACGGCTAATTTTAGTACAATCAAAAAACATCTGTAATAATGATGGGTTAATATAGGTATAGGAACGTATCACGGGTATCTACACGTGGTACAAGGATAACCGATAACGCAGATAGCCGTGGTTAGGTTTGTTAAATATTTGTCAAATACAGAGTGATTTTTTTTAACACGACCTCTTTAAAGTATAATTTAAACAACTGGAGCTTTCCAAAAAGTTGTTACACGTAAAAATCGAAGCTAGTTGACTAGAAAAAAAGGTGTCCACAGCTTAAGGGAAAAAAAAGAAAGAAAGAAATAAACAGCATTGTAAAACCAATAGCTCCCTCTCTACGCTCGGAATCTAAAAAGTAATAAACAACTATTGTATATTTCTTAGAAATTTTCATCAGGGTTTTCATCTTAAAAACAAATAATATTACTGATAAAGATATTTTTGAAAAATGGCCTTTTTGAGCTCACTCGTTATATTTAAATCATAGCGAATTGTCGAAGATCGCAGATCTCGCAGGAAATATGTATTATTATTAGTTAAACACATCTATATAAAAATAGTTTTGAGAAAGTATGGAGAAATGGACTTTTTGAAATCACTGATTCATCTAAAAAATGGTTTTAAAATAAAGCCCAACCGAATCCATAATGAACTGTACCCAAAACATTTTTTTGGCGGCTATTATTATTTGTAATAAAATATTATTTCCAAATATTTACTTATTATTAAAAATATTGGAACATTACTCATTACTAAATTATCCGCAGAACGCTCTTTCTCTGCATTAAGTCGCTCAAAAACATATCTTCGTAATACAACACCTAAGTGAGACTCGATTAAATAGGTTAGTATTATTAAACTTCCGTACCGATGTAAGTTTACTGCTTGAAAAATATTATATAATCGTTAATTAAATTTACGATTGAATTTTCAATTTGTTGTAACTATTTTTAATATAAATATTATCTATATTATTATTTAATTTGTTTTAACTATTAATATAAAAGTTATATTAACTACAATACCTCTATTCCACTGACGGCGTATCGCATTCGACGTGCTGGTGTCGGATAATAAAAGATATGGATAGCCGACAGATATCTATATTATAATAATGATCACTATTTATGATATATATACCTATATGTACTGCCATATTCTAGATATATAGATAAGTATATCTTAAACAGTGATAATAATATAGATATTTGTGGTATAGGCTATCCATACGTTATCAGTGTTTCAAGAGGGACGAATACAATTACGCCAAGTTTCGTAAAATGGGGCATTTTATTTATGTAGTGGTGAACGAATCGTCTTTTAATTTACCGCCCCTCCGAGAACATCGCCTCGTTTACATTATTGTTATAGTAGTGGCCTATCTAATTTTTTCAGTATCTATGGTTGGCGTACACCGTTTTTCGTGGTTCATGGAATCTCTTGTAGTGTATGAATAACATAATATGTCTGACATTGATGGTATTCTGAAAAATACCTATATTATTATCTAGCCAATTGCCAATACACATTACAGATTATATCACTATGGATTCTAACTATTTCCATAAAAGGAACAGATTTATATTTTTGTTTTCTTTACAATATTGCTCTCTAATAAAAGAGCTCTTGAGGTTTTTAACATGAACGTTTATAGGCGTAAGGTTATACTTATTTGAATGCATTTAATTTCTTCTCAGCCCAAGTAAATGTAACCTCAACATAAATATACTATTAATAACTATAAATAATAATAATATAATATTATAATTTGTAATATATTTAATTTTACTAGTTTATATTTTTGAATTGTAATTTTTTCTTTTTTAAAAAATGTAATTTGTCTAATTTCAAAGATGCATACAACATAAAGTTAGCTAAGCTTTAAAAAAAAGTAGTTTTATGTAGTATTTTTTTTTTTTATAAGGACATTTTAAGATCAAATTTTGTCGAAAATCGTAAATATTACGGTAGTTTCAAAACATGTATAACCCAACTTTGTTCCGAATAGTTTTTCGTTATCAATGGTTTATCGTTGGTTACAGGTATAAATTAAAAAACTTTATGTATCTTCCTTTCCCACTACCCACCTACAACAGAGGTCACACCCATCACCAGTATCAACTATTTTTTTCTTTTTGCCTTTTTTATTTATAAAAGCCATTTTGATAGTGATGACGATGACGATTTAATAAGTAGTAATCTTAATTTAGATAATTATTTTTGTATGAAATACGTCCTAATAACTTCAGTGGAAATAGAACGATCATTTTCTATCTACATAAATATTTTGAGGGCAAACCGTTAATGTTTTACTGAAGGCAATTTGTTTATTTAAAGTTTTTTTAATACAAACTAGTTAAATTAATTGAAATCTATTTAAATTTTTAATCAATTTTGCGATTGCTTTTTATAAAAATTAAATGTTTTTTTTTTTGCCTTTTACACATTTTAAATGCTTTTTTATTGTTTATATTGCCTTCGAATCCAAACCCTACTAATAAGTAATAACCAAAATAATAATCCATGATATTACATATAATAGCGCCCGGGTGAAAAATCAAAACGACACGGCTCTATTAGTGTACCTCGCCGCGATCTTGTCGCCACCGGTTAGTAATGGCCCCATCAATGAATTTGGAGCAAAATTCCTTTCTCCGATTGATACTAAATTTTGTTAGAGTAGTCTAGTGATGATCTAGGGGTCATATCCAAAGTTTGGCGGTGATCGGACGAATTCCAAACTAGTTCTTTTGAAAGGGATTTCATGGTATCTCAAACTACGGACTTAGCTCACCTAGGACACGTATGGGGTTCCAAGCCAAATTTTTTGATTCTATGCACCATAGAAGAAGATAGTGAAGATCTCATCGACGTACGTTGAAAAACAACGGCGCTAGTTTTCAAACGAAAAAAATGTCTCGCGGCGATTAGTTGGCGGCCAAATTTGGACGGCGGCGAAAAGATGTAGACCTGGCACTAGCTACACAATGAAACAATATTGTGGAAGTTATCAACACCTAAACAATTTTCCTCACTCCACTCGTTTTCTGATATAACACAAATGTACACCTAATTAGAATAAAATATAACGCACATTGTTTCTTTAGATATTATTCCATCTACTGGTAATAGATAATTCAAAATCATATCTATAATATAGAATAAATATTTTACAGCATACAACAAATTACACAGGTATTATTATATGAATGGTTTTTTGGAGAAAAAAGTAACAACAGAATAATGTTAACATAAAACGAATTTTATTTACTTTTTCAATGTGTAAAGACATCGGATATAGAAAAGTTATTTCCAAGCCAATTTCAAGCTGTATTCGTCGGTTACATTTAGCAAATTCATCTAATATTATTTCATTGTCCACTTTCAATGTTTAACACTGCGAGACTGCGGTAAAAATCCATTATTAAGGCACGCAACCTATTTCTAGTACATATATATATATATTGATCTATATAATATTATAATGCACCTACCAACAATGTTACGAAAACGAATGTACAGCAAGGTATTCCATTTGCATTGATTGTCGTACAATTTTTCTAATCAATTTTCGTCATTCACTTATCACCGGTGGTAAATTAATTGGTTATAATTTATTTTTAATTAGAAACAAATGTTTTACCCCGCATCATAAACTATTAGACAATTCAATAAGTAGAAAAAAACTTTGGTTGTTTTGGGGGGGCTATTGAAATCTGGGGGGGGTAGCCCCCAAAGCCCCCTATTGGCGCCTACGAGTATAGCACAGGATAACCTTAAAGCTAAGATAAATAGATATGTAATGTACATGGAAGACGTATAGATAGTATGCAGTTCATCGAAAAGAGCTCCCTCTAGTGGTTACGACTCTAAGCTATTTTATTCATATCATAATTCATATCATAATCATACCTAGGTATATAATAAGGTAAATATGTAATACATATATTATTTATTATAATATGGAAATAATATTATTACGCATAATTTATAATATGTATTAAAATTGTTCGTATTATTTGTATAATAATAATTATTAAGACACGGGACAGAAATACCTTAAGTATTCTTTATCTCTTTCTAACACACTGTTTTCGCGATGAGATAACGAATATTTTCGTTTAAAATACGGTTCGGATGAAATATTTTCAAGTTAAATACGTTCGGACGATATATTGTTCGGCCAAAATAAGCTTCTGAGTGCAGTCGTGTGGAAAACGCTCTAACAGTCGGGTTAACTTATATTCTAATGGTGAAATCCATAGGTATTGAAGAATGGACAGGCCATTTGTGATTATCATACGGGAACGAACATGAAAATAAAAATTTTAGAGGCCTCTTAACAGAATTAGAATATGATAATTAATTTAGTTTGTGTACCATAGTTCTAATCAAGGTATATTGATCAATACACCTTGGTTCTGATTCATTATATAAATATACAACCGTTTTATTAAGAACTCAATTGGGTGTAAATAAATCAAATAACGAAATTGATAATAACAACGTAACGGGTACGATATAATTTAATAATTTACATTCAAAAGAATTTTTTATATTTTTGTTATTATAAGATTTATAATTTCCAATATCTACGTCTCTTGCGGTGATAACAATCACAGAGTACATCTCGTGATAATTCCTCTGCCAGAGTGAGTGAGAGGCGTTGATAAAAAAAAAAATAGGTCTTTCTCTCTTTCCCATTCCGGCACAAGCGTGCGACCGTTTAGCGCTTTATCACGGTTTAATATGTATTAAGCTCGTAGAGCAGTAACTCCGTGTGTTGAACAGAGCTTTATGTTATCAAAATGTTTACATCTAACCTTATACCACGCACAGAACGTTATCGTTGTCATACGTTCGACCAGCGTACCCGTACCACCGCTCCGGGTACGGTTCTACGGCAGTACGGTACGCGTGCGCACATCCACACACGCAGACGCAGTACTCGCGCACGAACGCACACGTTATTATTGTTGCAATTTTTTTTTTTTTTATCATCTCGTCGCCCCGTGCTTGTAAATTACTTTACAGACCGATGCTCGTAGCATACTATTTATAGACGACGACGACGACGACGACAGAAATTCATTTCCGGTAAATCACGGGCGCGATCCGGATCCGCGTTGGTGACCACCGGGGTTCGGGACCGTCTATTGTCTACGTCGTCATCGTCGCCGAGTGTCAGCAGTCCGGCCGCCGTCGCTTCTCGCTTATCACGTCACGACACCGCAGCTATTCTCGACCGCAACCACAACTCATCGTCGTCGTAGTCGCGTACCCGTCGTCTACTGGTCTAGTGTCGTGTGCCGAAAATCGCGCGCTGCTGCTGCTGCTGCTGCTCCTGCTGTTGCCCCAGCCAGTCGGTGCGTCTGGTGCGTTCGCGCGTATTATTCCACGTTAGATGGCGATAAACTTTTATGGGAAACACAAAATGGCCGGTGTTAACGAGTGTTTCTCCATCGGCAGCATCGTGATGTGCACCAACTGTTTCGACGAGGAGATCGAGGGCGAGGTGCTCGGGTTCGAGCCCACCACGAAAATGCTTATACTCAGTATCCTTTTAATAATAATGTAGTAGTCGCAGGTGTATTTCGTTGTACGCACGGGCACAGGTATACGGCACAGATACGCGTGTTTAATCTGCGGAGTCTTGCCGCGATGTCGCCGCCCCGTTATCAACCACACACATGACACATAATATACACGCGCGCACACCGTTCGGCCGTCGCAGATAAGCCGCCCCCTAATCACCCCGGGCCCCGATTCCGTTCAAACGGATAGGGTTTCCGTTCGATTCCGTTGATCCATCCGCGGATGGTTTTGATCGTTCACGTTTTCTCCACATCCAATAGGATGTGATAATAATAGGTTGTCAATAGGCAACGTTGTTGTGTCCGTAGCCTTGGGTACTTTTATGGATTATGACTCATTCGATTATGTACAATGACGCGCCAGCTAACTGCTGACCCTTTAATTTTAACGTTATGGAAAACCGTTCGGTAAAAAATGGCACAACTGGAGAACTGGTGCCGAGTCTCGGCAGATTTTGGCATATTTGTTATGAATGGCTTGGACGCCAATGTATTATTGTGCCATAGCACTTTTGTAGCATTAAGTTATTTTTTTTTACATTGCACCCAAAGTGGTTCATGAACTATTGACACAATGCTGTGCACCTTTACTTTTTTTTCAATATCATTGTTATCTTCAATATCAACAATATAATGATTGTTGCCACGACCATAAGATTTATATTATTATCAACCTAAATCCCATCCAGAAATTAAAACACATTAGGTATATTTGAATAAGGACATATTATTGGTATAAACTAATTGATTTGGTAGATGAGCAGAGGCACATGTCACCGTTTAAATTAAATACCTATAATTATGATAGCTATTACTTAACCTATTATTCTAATGTTTCTAACGTTTCCATTCATCATGAGCTATGTAATGTTGGCTGACCTGATTTGTAATTCCAGTCAGTTATTATAATATGTGTACAAATTATTACCAAGTTTAAAATGTTTTGTTTTCCAAGAACTTGATTATTTAAATTATTTATTTACCACCTACGTATCTATTACCTTATTTATTAATTAAATATAAAACAGAATTGCCTATGTATATTTTAATATTTTAAAATATATTTTGTTATAGGAACTGGTTTGAAAAATATTAGTATATCAATAATATGATAGTTAACATTTTAAGCAATTGTTTATTTCCTTAATATGAATTATCAGAATGTCAATCAACTAGTAACAATCCATTGTTAAACAATATTAATATAGTAAACTTAGCATTTGCCAAAGATGTACAAGTGAAAAAGGAATCCACTTTTAATCCACCACCATTGCCTTCGTTAAATTTACAGAGGGTACTTATGTTTTATTAATTATTATTTTATCATTATAGGAAATTTATGTTTGAACCCATAATCTTGATTATGATTTGTTACAGTTAAATAATAGGATAAAAACTCAAATAGAAGATAAGAAACGTCAGATATCAGCTATGTCTGCCAATGTTTCTACAGAGGCACAAAAATTGTATATGACTATAACAAAAACGTAAGTTATCATTATGAACGTGATATAATTGGTTTAAATTTCTACTTGCTAATGTTTATTTTATATTTAGTATTCCAGAAGTATCTTGGCAAGGGCAGAATATTGTTGTATATGACCAAGTGATAATTAGCCCACCATACAAAGCTGAAAATGTTAAAGGCACTGGAAATCCTGAGGACAAAGCTATTTTGTACATAAAAAGTATCGTAAGTGGACAATTAATGTTTTAGTTAATAATATTTATTTAATGGTTTATATACTAGCTATCCTAGTAAACACCAACAATTAAAAATGTTTACTACAATATTTTTTAGCTGTATTGAATTTTCAACTTCATTTTCAATACTTTATGAATTTTTATTGTGATTAATTTAACAAGTAATAATTATCTTAATTTATATAATTTTATCATCAAAATCCATCATTTATACTAGTTGAACTCTGTATTGTTCAAATCATTGTTAATAAAAGTTTAATACAAATGTACCTATACAGTGTTTATCATTTTTCAAAATTTAATTATTTTAAGTAGTAGGTTTTTGCATAAATTAAATATGGCAAAACCACTTATTAGATATCTAGTATTTTGAACAATTTTTTTCTCGTGGTTTTGTGAACTATATGACTATTATAGTATTAAGCATTATCTTCGTTAATATTATCCATTTTAACTTTAGTATCGTGTTACTGTTGAAATAATATTCCACTATTTCACTATATTATTTTTAAAAAAAAAGTTTGACATTTCCTGTAAATAAATAGATAAATATTTGAATATATTATTACAAATATTATATTTTTAATATTTATTTATTTTTTACTTTTCTAGGTGGATAAACATGTTAAAGATTCAGCTGGTCAACAAGTTTCTTCCACAACAACACATCGGAGCAAGTCTGCTGCTGCTGCTGCCGCTGCTGCTGCTGCTGCTGCTGCAGCTGCTGCAGCTGCATCACAGTCCCAATAAAGTTTTATTTTGATAAAGAAATTAAAATTCAATTAATATTATTTATTCATTCAAGTATAATAAAGGAAGAGAACCCAAGTAGAAAATTACAAATGTTTCAGCATTAATCATCTTATTTCTATCAGATTTATTTATTTTTCCTATCAAAGTTTTAAGCCCATATTTTAATTTAAAATTAAACTCTTGGATTCTTGAAACCCTTACCACTTGAAAGTACATTTTTTTCTTTTTTCTTTTTTCTTTTATATTTTTGTATTGGAAAGTTATTATTTAATGAGTTAAAAATATGTTTTCGATTATAAAAATAAAAAATAAAATAACTATATTATATTGAAAATTTATTTTAAAAAAAATTTCAACAAAATAAAGACATTTTTATAAAAGAAATTATAATATCTAATCTAGATAAAAACATTTCTCATACTATTTGTCGTTATTAAAGAATAAGAGTTTTCACTGTCATAAAAAAAAAAAAAAAAAATGTAAAATTAAATATTTTGATTTGTATAAAAATCCAAATTTACGGGTTATGCGGCGCCAAATTACATCCTCGTACACTATATTGTTAATTTATTTATATGCTGTCGTTGAGTAGAAATAAATAAACAAATTTGCTGTGAAATATTAAATAATAATGGTAACTATATACTAATTAAAAATTAATGTTTTACTTAACATTGATGCATTCCAATTATCTTCAAAAAACATATTTTTTCCAAGTTAAGTGCGCAGTTTTTTTGCAACAGGTCTCTGGTAATATTTAAGATTATATATATTTCCCTTCCTATTTTTTAATATTGAATTAGAGTGGTGATGTAAATGATAATCTATGAAATTGCTAAGCCCTAGAAATATGTAAATGGGAGAGAGAAAGTAAGGTGACAATTTTTAAACTTTCTGTCCTTTATATTATTTCAAATTATTTATTAAGGTTAGGCGTGTTTTAGTGATGCAATTTTCAGAATAGTTCTATTTGCTACTTGGTTGGTTACTTGTCAAAACATTTTGTTACGGTATAATATTTTTTGTTATATAAAATGGATAACTTGATTGAATGATAGTTCTTATCAATAGATTATTAGTAACCGAAAATAGTATATGTAGTTTTCATTTATTTGTTAATTCTGGCAACCCAGTTGCCAAAAAAATGCATTCAGCTATCCAATAACTACAGTAAATAATGTCACCAAATAGTTTGTTTGATAAAATACCAACTGGTTGCTTAAAACTGCATCGTTAAAACATGCCTATTGGTAATAATTACCTCATTTATAATAATATGGGGTGTGTTTTTACACATATATAATATTTTTTACATATTATATTAATGAGGGATTTTACTTGAGAAAAATCAGAAAGTTTTATGAAATTAACAGTTTTATTATTTTTGATTTTGTTGTATACAAATGTTTATTTAGTTAAGAATTATTCTAAAACCTGTAATTTTTACAGAATATTTAATTTGGATTTTTCTTCGTATGTGAACATTTTCAAAATATTTTGGCAATTTTTAAGCTGTTTATAGGCATTTGATATTTTCTTGTTGTGTTTTTATTGGGATAAAATTGAATCAAAAGATTGAAAATTGTACACAAGGTTTGTTTTAAGTAATACATAGTAGTGAAACAAAATTTTCATGTAGTGGTTTTTTTTATAAATATTAAAATTGAAAACATTTAATATTTGTAAACCTAACCAAACTTTACTCAGAATCTCATTTTGTCAGCAATGATTTATTGTTGTGCTCAAATATAAATTTTAAAACTGTACTTTACATCACTACCCTTAATAGTGGCAGAGCTATCAGTAATATATGCTTTTAGATCCTGAACAAAGTAAGGGATCTATTTGTTTTATTATGTCTTATTAAGTCTAATCAACTTTTCTATCAGAAATCTTGCTTCAACTAAAAAAAATTATTAGACCTTTATTATTGCATTTTGGATTTAGTTGGTTTAACGGAGAGGGTTTTTTTTTTTTGATTTTCTAATAATCTGGAAAACACATTTAAGGGGTGCACTAGGGTGTTAGCAATTTCATTGTTTTTAATTTTTGTACATTATGTTTTCTACCAGAAATCTTACTTATACAATATTAGAAAAATAACAATAGACGTTTTTCGTTTTATTTTTAATCTTAAAAGTAAAAGTAAGTAAGTTATTTTTAAATTTCTATCCAATTTTCTTTATAGTTGATCACAACTAGAAAAAAACAAAGAACTGAGAAGTTAAAGGAAATAATGGTATCTCATTATTTTTAATTTTGTCTATGCTGTAATTTGTTAAACATATTGACTTGACTTTTCGACAGAAAACTTACATTGGCTTTTTTGAGATGTGGTCAAAATTTTAAAATATATACAATAATTTTATATTTGCAAGACCATTTTAAATAGTTTTTATTTAGTAGAAACTATGGATAAAATTGACCAAACAGAAATGTTGAGAATTTAATACAAGATTCATTATAAGTGGTCACAAAAAAAAAAATAAATAGTTTTGAGATCAAATTTTGATGAAAATTTAAAAATGTATGGCATTTCACTACGAATATAATTAAATACAGATATTTTTTAAATAACTTGATATATCATATCTTCATACTTCCCATGTACAAACACTGTACGTGGGGTATATTTGTTTTTGATACTTTTAATTTTTAAATTGTATTAATATATTAACAAAAAAACTAACATATAAAAATAGACATTAATCTAACTCTTATGTTTGATAATAAGCTGATACATTTTAGTGTTAAAACTAATAGCACAAAGTAGGTTTTTATGTACAAAAAGTATAAATATAACGACATTAATCAATTTTACAATACCAACTGTAACATATATATTGTAAACAAAAACAGAAAGAATACATATCATTTATATTTGGCATGGTAATTATAACTATAATATTGTTAAAATTTAAATTTAACATCTATTTACATAGTAAATGATCAATAATAAAGTATTTTAATAGTATAAAACAGTTTTTTAACCATAATTATTGCATTATTTGACATTAAGTTACATCTAATTAATTTTTTGAGTAAATAAATAACAATATTTAACAGAATAAGTGTACAAATATGGTAACCAATAAAACCTATAGACCAAGTAAATCTATAGTCAAGTACAAAAGTTATAATTTTGAACGGTTATTTTTCCAATAATCGCTGGATTGCATTTCCATAAGTCTTGATACTGTTCGATCAAATGCAAATATTTCTTCATCACCAGTAAAAACATTTGCTTTAATATCAGTCTACAAAAAATAAGTAATTATAAATGTTATGAACGGTTGAAAAGATATTTAAAATATATTAAGAGGATGTCATATTCGCATGTGTGTGCCTGTCTTACAAGTGCACACAATAAAACATTTGTGTTCAGTAGAACCTTTTGTGTTGTAAGTTTTGTATTAGAGTGAATTTACCGTTTTTTTAAAAATAAGAATACTTATAAAATGTAAAGTATGTTTGATGTTTAAATTTTTAAATAAGATATAAGTATTTTTAAACTATGATAATTCACATATTCATATCTCGTTTAAAAATTAAAATTTTGAAAAAAATGATGTAGAAGCAGACAATATTTTTAATTTAAGTAAAATAATAGATCAGTACAATTTGGTTTTAAAACTATCAACACAAAATTAGTTCTAACGAATACAAATTTGCTGTCTTAATAAAAAGACAGGTTGTGCAAATATGACAATATCCTCTTAAGGTCATAGTATATTAAATTCATTACTGATTCAGAATTTAAATTTAAATCATCCATAAGGACCATCTGATCATCTCCTAATCCACCCGATTTTTTAGCAACAAATAGTTCTTTTACTGGTTTGTCTGCATATATTAAAACACACACCTAAAATATAAAAATTTAATTAGTAAGTTTTAAAAACATAATTTTAATAAAATTACTTTATTATCGTAAAGTGTATCAATAAGAGTAATAAAACGTCTCATAGGAGATAATGAATCCAAATCCAATTGAGGAACATTTCTAATAGCTATAGTGTGAAACATTTGTGATAAATATAAGTAATCTACGGCACCCAAAGGCTGAAAAATAGTGAAATATTTAGACATTTATATTTTTAATTTATTTGTGTTAATTGTATAATCTTACTCGATCACAAAGCTCTTCAAAAGTAGCATCTAAGATTTGTCCACATACTCTTTGAAATGTTAGATTCCTTTGCATGATAATTAATGTTCTTGGTCGGACTGTATCATTTTCATTATTTGTAAATCTTTTAATAGCATCATCAAAATCTTTTTTGACATCAATATTTTGCCTATATAGAAAAAGAGATTATGAAAAAAGGTGTGTCATTTTATAATAAATTGTTTCTAGAAATACATAATTCAACTAGATATAAAAAATAATTTAATTAGTTTTTCATCTAACTTAATAATATTACAATTCTTTTTTATTGAAAAATATTACTATTTGTATAGGTAATTTACTTACACAAAATATGATTTGAATTCATTTTTTGTTCTTATAACTCTATAATCGATACCTGAATCCAAATTAAGAATATTTGAATGTTGTTTCAGTACTGGTATAAATGGCAAGAACAAAAACCGTTGCAGCCCATTTTTATACAGATCGTCTGGTTTACGATTACTGGTCGCCACCATTATCATACCTCTATTAAATAGCTCAGTGAATAACCTTTTCAATATCATTGCATTTGCTATATCAGTCACCTGGCAAGAATCATGTATGATAGTCCTACAAATAAAATGTTGCACAAAAAGGGTGATATCTCTACTACTAAATATCTAATTCAATTCTTTTGGAAATACCTGAAATTCGTCAAAACAAAGTAACCACGATTGTTCTAGTATTGTATCAGCCACCATTGGTATAGAATCAAAGTTATCCTTACTACTCAGTCTTAATTTATGTACTCTGTTATGAATGTCCAACATAAACTCGTCAAAATGTACTCTTCGTTTTTTTTCCATCTACAAAAATTATGTTTGTTTTATTACAATAATATAAAGTATATAATTATTTTATTTAGTGAATATTTCAATACTTATTAAATGATCCAATGATTAGGTACTTACTTCACAACAAGAAAAAAACAAGTCCATCAACATGGTTTTGCCACATCCAACTGACCCATGCAAGTAAAGACCATTTGGAGGAGTATTCAACCCGCCTAAGAATTTAAGAACCATATTTTGTGAAGGCGGTGAATAATTAGCCAATGATTCGTACACTATATCCATCTGTTTAATGATCTTACGCTGATGGTCGTCATTGATTAATTGACCATTGTTAACCCGCAGATCGTAGAGCTCAGATGGTTTCATTTGCTGGCGAATATTAGTATAGATTGTCCGAAATTGGATAATTACCCTGGAGATTTTCATGGTGACCGATTGAAAATTCAAAATAGTTTCTCAAAATAAAATTATTTTGCTACTGAATACTGAATAGATAGATATTGTTATTAAAAATTAAATATAGGCATAACCGAATGTCTAAAGGTCATACTTAGTGATTGTGTATGGCGATGGCTAAATTAAAAACAAGGTTTAATATAATAATCTGTGTTTAGATAACAAAATGTGATAAGGTGACCAATGTGATATGGTCAGAACTAGTGCACTACAATTATAGATATAAGTATTCTCATCCGTCATTTTGGGTCCTATTGATAACAGGTTGTTAATCTACAATCGTTATACTTGAACTCTATAGAATTCATTTCAAAACTAGTTTTGGTGTTTTTTTTTTTAATATTTTGGTCGTCTTATATTTAAAATTAAGTGGACATTTTTGCATTTATTGATTGGTTGTAACATTATAGGTAAGTAGGTACTATCGTATTTATAAAATAATACAAATAAAGATATAAAAATATGCAAAAAGTACAATAATCAATGAATACTCTGATAGGTATGCAATTTCAATATGAAGTTCACACAGTATCATAAAGTTTCGAGTATTACCTTTGTTAAAAATCATATCTTAAAATAAGAAATAATTAAAACAATACGGATCAGCGACTTTAACCGGGTACCTACTTACTAAATAATGGCATTGAGATGGTATTACCAATTTTCAATATCACCCTTACATTATTACAGTTCAAATAGTGCAGTTTGAGTGAAGTATATGAAACAAGGCAATTACCCTTTGTATATATTGTAATAAAAACACTGCTTACAGATCACATGTTATTGTATCCATATTTATTTATCTGTATAAACCCGTATAATCTGCATTATTCATGTAGTTATCTTAAATTATCATCTGCTGTAACATACTGAATACTGAATAGTAAATAAACAAATACTGATATCTAAACATTGGATTTGTTCAAACTTAATGTCTATAGGTAGGTACTAAAAGTGAAAAATATTGTTAGAATTTGTTAGAATGATTCTACAAGGATCTACTTTTCAAAACTACAAAGAATTTAGTTAATTTCAACACAATAGTACATACATAATTGTATAATAACAATATAAAAATCTACAGTTATAAGTTGTGTTCATAAATTATCCTCTGACTACTAACATCTAGACATTCACCAAATCCTATCATGTTTTAATTTCCCCTGTACCGGTGTTGGTAAGTATATATTAAATTTAAAACAAAGTACCTACATGTAAATATATTTTAATATAATAATATAAAAATTTGAAGTTTCATAATTTAATGTCTACGGTAGTATGATTTCTATAAGTTAATATTCGAGGTAACATATTGAATACTAATAGTGAAACAAAATAATATTGTTAGAATTTGTTTAAATAAAATTATTCTGCAAGAATTTAGTATATTTCCAATAAGGTTTATTGTTTTATTAATTTTTTCCAATTTTCCAACACAATAGTACAATAGTAAATACTGATATTTAGACATTCACCGAATTCTTTCATATCATAATGCCCCCCGTATTCTACCCGTTATACTACTAGGTAAGTATATATTAAACTTAAAACAAATTAACAGGTACCTTTATATAATATTTAATATAAAAATTTGGAAGTTTCATAACTGTTTACTTATGATAGGATGATTTATATTAAGTTATTATTTAATACACAATAGTAGGTATCTACATAATATAATAATATAATGTAAACATGTGCAGTTACAAGTTGTCTTCTTAAATAATTATACTCTGCCTACTGTTATTAGATGTTGAACACAAAATACTGACATCTAGATATTCACATATTATTATGTGAATAATTTAACACATTTTATTATAAACTAGTTAGATTATAATTATATTTTTATACTAATTTAATAAAATTACTAACAATAATTAAAAAATTAAATTTCATATTATTTATAATAAATATGTCATAAATAATTATTTAAATTAATAATAAACTATTGCTAGAAAATGTGTACATACCTAAGCCTTTTATTTAACTTGTCACCAGCACACTTTTTAATACCATCGCCCATTATCAATCAGTATGCAATACCGAAAAAGAATCTTGTTTCACATTATTTTTGCAGTTTGACAAAAACTTAACCTCTCTTAATTATTCATAATTTTTAATTAATACATTTAATCAAATACATAAATAGTTTACATTTCATTTAGTTTTTTTTTCGTACCTCTTTTTTAATTTTTCACGAAACTGTTGAAGTTATTCCAATGTTTTTGGTCTATGCAAATACATATTTGAAGAGAATACAATATTAATTAAAACGTAATACATAACATTTAAAAAATATTATTTGAGTAGAAATAATTAATAATTTTATACTGACAATAATATTATGTTTTATTCCTGTATATTTTTATACGTTTTGCTGATTTATATACACCATATATCAGTGGCGTGTGCAGGGGGGGGGTTCGGGGTTATACCCCTCCCCCATTGGCTTAAAAATACAACAAAGTATGAGTAATTTAATATTGAAACTCATACATTTCAGCCGATTTCTGAGGAAAAGCTTGATGTGTTGATTAGAAATTCGCTTTTTTCGTAGGAACCGGCTTTTAAATTACTAATTTCCATAGTCGAATTGGGTAAAGAAGACGATTTTACTCTTTATTCACGATATTTATTTGTTACATATCTTCCCATTGAAAATTCCTGGGCATACCACTGCCATATATCCCCTTAACTACTTGGAGTAATTGTTTAATTGAAACATATTTAATGTGAGCAGAATTTAATGCTGGTGATAATCAATGAACACTACAATGGATATATGGTATTCCTTGTTGTGATCCCAGATAGCAAATTAGTAATGATAATAATATTAAAATATTATTAATTCAATACATTTGAAATATTATTATTAAAATAATAAGTTATCATAAAAGAACAAAAATAAAGGTACTAGCAGTACTAGCAGAGCAGCAAAAAAAAAAAAAGAACTAAAAGCAAAATTTCCAAAAAAAAAAAAAACTAGCTTCTTAAAAGTAATTTATAAGGAAATTGACGAGAAAATTAAATCAAAAATGTCTACTAATTTATGAAATAATCTGTCGCCAAGTTTAGAAGATCATCTAATTTAAAGTGTTAATAAAAATACCATTTATGGAGGTTTTTTTGGATTACCGGTCGTTAACTTCTTTATCTCCTGTCCCTTTACTGTCTTCTTCACTGCCCGTACTCAGGCTGTTGTACCAGAGCGTGATTATAAGGACTAAAATATACAGAATATAGGCTATGCAGAACTGTTGTTATTTACCGTTTTAAGAAGATTTTCGTCTTGTAGGGGGTCCGTTTAAGGAGGTTTTAAGGTAACCAATTGAAAATTGGTTGGTTGATTAGTTTCAAAAAATCCGCTAAAACGAGAGGCTCACAAAGATAGGATCTCCGTAGCCTGCATAATATACGTTTGTTTTTCTAGCCACTAAAAAAAAAAAAAAAACACCTTCACTGCATTCGGGTAATAAAAATATAACGGAATTATTACCGCGTCGGTACATTTGTTGATAATGTTTTCGCCGTGTACACTGTACACGTTTAATAGGTATTCAATAGGTATATATTTTTGGCCAAACTGTGTTACGGATGACAGGCCAATCGGCGTTCGTCGAACAACGGATAATTTATTTGATCATAATTTTCACGATAGATTTCCAAGATGGACGGATTAATGAAAATGTATATTTATAGTACACATATGCTATAAATGGTTAATTAAAATAATTTTATAGATGTACTTGTTAGAGGGTTCCTGGAGTTCCTCTTTAACCGGCTTAATAATATATATATATATATATATATACATATCAGATTGAGCAATCCGTCCGGACGACCAATGTGTTCGTTATCTAATAGTTATACAATTCTTCAACGGACCGAATCTTGAAACTGTAAAATATGAAAATTTGCCGTACATCGTGTTTCTTATGTATCACTCTGCAGTCCGCATTAATGATTAGTGATAACATTATTATTATGATAACGAATAATAGATTAACCGTTATTATATTGAATTACATAATATTATATTATGTGTTTTAACACCTAACAGTAGGAGTGTAGGACATAGAGTAAAAATATATGCAGTCATATTATAAAGAAAGACGTCCTAGGATAATGGGGATGGGTGCAGCTACTATTATATGTATATAGGCAATTTAGTGTATACACCTGTAATACATTTTTATTTACACAAGAAACCGTTACATATGTATTTATTAATGATATAATACACAGAAAAAATAGAAAAACGAAAAATAATTTGAAACGGCTATTGAACAGATTACAAGGTCAATTTTTGATCACGAAAAGCAGCTGGTTTCCCAAATAGGGTAATAATATAAAATATATTACGGCCTTCTTTTTTTCTGTGCACAATTTTTCTACCAGCAATTTTGCTCAAACTCGTAATAGTAGCAAAGCAACATTATAATAACCGAACTCCGCTCGGAATCGGTTTTCGTTAGATGCATATTAAATTTCTCCTCTACTGCCTTCTCAACTTCTCATCTATAACAGTGGCCCACCCACGTGAGAAGTATATCTATTTATATTTTTTAAATTCTATTCTTCTAACGAATTGTTAATTTAGAACTGTGTAATCTATTATATTTTTTTTGAAAAGCAAAGTTAAAAAGCTGTTCTAGGATAATTGGGACGGGTACAGCCACTGTTTTCGGTGGAAAGTGGTGAAGGTAGGATGCAGAAGGGAATATAATGTATATCTGTAAGCAACGATTGCTTATGAAAAAACGATTTTTAGCGGAGTTCAGTTGATAGTGATGTTTTGTTAACAATAATTATGTCATATTATGGTGAAACACACCCCAGGGGGACACTCACGGATTTAGCGAACCCGGGATCCCTAACTATGGAGTAGGAAAATTGGCGCTTCCATCGTCCAGTACTATTTGTGGGTGCTGCAATAGCTTTTATTCTGGACTTATGTGGCTGGGGTGATCTGGTCCTCCAGGTTGGGGGTTACTGCTACGAGCCAACCCCCCGTCCAGTGGAAATATCTCATGTTTAATAAATCATCAAAAAAACAATCTTCGGATTTATACTGATAAAATGGATAAACAACCGGAACTAGGAATCAGAATGAAATTGGGATCACGGAAAGTTAGAACTTTAAATACACTGGGTGTATTACAATATGTCTTAGATACATTTAAATCATATAAAATACAACTATTAGCCTTACAAGAAATCAGATGGCCTAATAAAGGAAACAATGGAAACAAAGGAAATAAAGGAACTTTATTCTACAGTGGAACAAATAATGGTGTTCGGGAAAATGGTGTGGATATCATAGTACACATGAACGCTTACTACCGTATGTTAAAGTCTTTGAATCAGTAAATGACAATTTTGCTATATACTCTCAAAGGGAAAATTTTTCGATATTGCAGTAATATCTTGTTATGGTCCAACCGAAGAAAAGGAAGACGAAAAGACGAAAAGTTTATGAGGAACTAGAAGAAGTTTATCACAGTCTATCTAGACATAGTATTAAAATATTTTAAAAAACTAATACAGAATGAGATAGAAAAAAATAACGAGGAGAATTTGATAGAGGATATAGAAAATCAATGGAGCCGAATAAAACAAATTATAATAGATTGCGTCTCAGTGGAAATTCATCAAAACGAGAAGGAAAAAAAATGGTTTAATGGTAAGTGTTGAGAAGCAGTAAAGAAACGATTTTAAAATAAAATGAAAATTGGAGAAAAGAAACCCAGAAAATATTAAAAAGAGAAAAAAATAATTGATATGAAGACAAAAATAACAGAAATAGAATAAAACAGAAAAAATCCCAAATAATTTTTGAACACAACAATCAAACTAAAGAAAGTTTCAAACCGCATTTTTTTTTTAATTTTATAAAAAAACTGTTAGGAATCTTAGATATTATTTTCAAATGAAGTACGACCATATTTTAAGGTACGGCATGAGAAAGATCAAAGGTCAAAGCGATTTTATTAACCGGAAAAGAGTTTTTCATGAAAAAAAAAAACACATCTTTGTAAATTTAAAAATATTTCCGCTACACTCAGAAATTAAAAACTATATTTAATGTAAATAAAAAGTAAAACGTTTTCTAAACTAAGTTTTTAGGTCAATGTATTTAATAAAAATACAGTAGGTACCTATGTGGACGTATATAAATGATTATTATTATAATTTAGGTACCTACCTATGTTATACATATAGGTACAGTTATATAAATACGCATAATTTTTAAATACACCGGAGAAAAAATAAAAAGCATTTATAACCAGAAAATAAACAATAATGACGTAATATTGAAAATAAATATTTTTTTATACCTCTGTCGGCATAGTTATTAGGTACTTTCCAGTGTTGAACTCGCGTGATATTGCAGCGTTAAGTATTATAGGTAGTATTGTATTATAAGTATTATACTCACTGCAAACAGACGAGTATACAGAATTTCGTGTTGGATATGACTTACAAAAATAAGTTAGTCATTTGCGAGATTTTAGAAACCGAAAAATCGTATGTAAATCATCTGAGAGAAATAATCGTAGTAAGTGTAAACTTATTTAAAATGCATTATTATTAATTTCATCGTAAAAATATCTAAAGTCAAAATGATTTTACCTTCATACCTATTTTTTTCTCACTAAATACCGTGTCATGTTGTGCTGCAAATTTGGATCTCCATCACTTTTCTTTGTTCAATTTCTTCATTTCGGCATACCGGATATGTAATCAGTTTATGAATCATCGTTTCATCGTTAAATGTCTTCCTGAATCTTCCTTTTCGTTTATGATCGTTTATGGACAAATTATTGTTAAAAGTTTTACCGAAACGAATTGTGTCTTAACATGCTATTGAAAAATGTTCCACTCATTTCCCTCATAGTACTAACCTGAAACCATTCCCCCCCATTTCGTTTAGTAAACTTTTAAGTATCATTCTTTTCCAAATTCATAATACATATTGAATTTTTCGATTGGAAAAAATAATATATGCGTTAGGTCTAAACAATTAAAATAGTTTATGTTCAATAGTTATAGATAAAGCCATTTTTATACAATTAAATTCAAATGTTTAACCCACTTGTACACATACTTGGTATAAAGAAGTAATCATATTTCTCGTGTCAGGAGTATTTGGAGTATTGGAAACATAGACAAATATTATCGAAAGAACTATGCAATAAATTGTTTGGAAACATCACGGAAATTTATGAATTTTCAAAGTAGGGTATTACTAATTTACACATTTTTATAATCTCGGTTAATAAACATTTTATGTTTTATACTTTTGTAAAAATATATATACAGAATATTTTTAAACGAACTAGAGTTGGCCAACAACAGCGTATCGCAAATTGCTCGTTGTTTTTTAAACAATCATCTTAGATTCATCGTATACTCAACATATTGCATACATTTTCAAGAGTAAGTTGTGATATCATACAAAAATATTAGAAACCAAAGGTTTATTAAATATTACAAGAATTGATTCGTTATTAACGTTTTTAGCTCCAGTGTTGTATTATCGGAAATAATGCATAGTCGACCGACAGTAAATATCGTACGTCAAAGGCAAAAGGAATTAGGACATCGTCTTCCTCTCAGTTCCTACCTTGTACTGCCAATACAGCGGATTCTCAGATATCATTTATTACTCAAGGTACCTATCAAACTAAAGACTGAAATAGCAGCATCTTGCAGCTATTTTGCATTATTATAGTTAATTGCAAATTAAGTAAGACAGCGCAAAAATAAGTATAATTTTATTCACTCATAGAGTGAGATAATAATAATAATAATATACATAGTACAATGTGAATTTTGTTTTTTGGAAATAATTTTTTTGGTGAGTAAAATGCTCAGCTTTTTTTTATACAATACCTTAAGAATTAAATGAAGCGAAACCATCCGGTGATAATTCTATGTTCTTTTTTTGTTTTTTTTTCTTGAAAGAATTTTTTCGGCGCTACCTTTTAACATTCTCAAGGGTTTTTCTGTACAATTTAAAAACTGACCACAAATATCGATGATACGTCGGTTTTTATTGCAATGATTTATCATTGCTTTTAGTATGTAAATTAAATTACCCTATATTCTATATATTTAAAGTTTTCTACCTAATACACACTATAGTTGAAGTGGGAACTATTTTGAAAGGGGACTATATTTACCGAAAATTGAAGAATGTTCCCGAGAACTAACGAAATTTAGTCTAATTTTCAGGAAACCCATCATGGAGATAAGACTTCTAAAATGTTTTCCTCTCACACACACATGTTCATAATGTTGTACTAATTGCGATTAAAAATAAACTGCAGTCCCCTCAAAAATTATTCTACACATATTCCTGCTCAGTAATAGTAAACAGAGTCTGATTACGTATAATGTAAAAAGTATTCAAAAATTTATTTTTTATAAAATTAATTTAAATTTTTAAAATTCCATTTAAAATATCTCAATGACAATAACTAAAGCGTTCCCTTGGACTTCGAAGACTCAAATTAAAAGGGGCTGGTCATTTTAGCTTTTACAAGAAGGGGGCTCCGTACTCCCACTTTAAATATTGACTACACGTGTAGCCACCCAGTACCCGTGGTGTAAAGTACGTCAGGCATTGTATGTTTAAATATTTAAATAGTTTAATAATAGGAAATATTTTTGTGTACGTTTTTATTTTTAGAAATTAGCAGCGTATACTTCGGAAGATGAAGCCGATCATGCGTTAGTTACAAAAGCTTACAATAAAATGGTTCTTTTGGCTAAAATCATCGACGAAACGAAAAATAAGTACGAAAAAGGAGGACGCGTTAAGATGATGCGATCGATAATTAATCAATGGAAGAACAAATCAAATGTATAATAATTGTAGCGTAGTATCATAGACAATAATAATATTAATATTAAAAATATAGTAGGTATTATTATTGTAATTTTTTTTTTTATCAAGCTTAGTTCGTATGTGAAACATAACAAAAACAGTAACATCATTATTATTAGTAGGCACTAATTTTAATTCGTGCTTCATTAGAGATTTACAATAATAGATAGTAGACAATTATATTATAATACAATTTAAATTGGCTTTACAACGTATTATTCTTTCGACAGGTCAAGCTCCCTAACAATTGTTTCGAATTGCACGCCGAAGGCGATTTAATGATCGCGGGAACGAAGAAGAAACTCCACGTGATTCTATTGAACAATATGTTATTGATCGCCAAGGAACAAAAATGCGGACTGTTAGAATACAAAGCTCATATTTCGGTGAATTTTCCATATGTAGTTAATTATTTTAGTATATCTATGTACAAATTAAAAATGTAAAAAAAAAAAAAAAATGTATCTTTTATAGAACCGGAACATAATCGTAATAGAAAACGTGAAAGGAAATCCGCTTGGTTTTCGTTTAGTGTCCAACGACGCGGAGACTAATTATTCGTTTACATTCCAGGTAAATATATAATCATGGCAGTAGATATACTAATTATACTTAAGATTTAAGATTTATCTTGTTAAAAAAAGAAAAAATGAAAGAATCAACAACTGCTTATGGTTTTATATAAAGGTGTTTTTATGATCGTTGTTAATTATATTATTATGAACTATAGACTATAGTGTTAATTTTCATAAAGTATTGATATAATAACTGATAAGTGGATAAAATAAAGAGGTATGTCACCAAAAGTACGTGAGTTTACGAAATATGCCGATCATATGGTTTTTCTCCACTTTTCATCTCATTAGTTAGTACAAGGGCGAATCCAGCACATTTTTACGGCCATGACACTTACTATGGCTTATGGTAGGTGTCACCTATGGTTCATATAGGTAAATTTATAAAACTAAACTGTAACTTTTATTTTTTCGAAACGTGTGGTTTTTGACTGCGAATTCATTGGTTGCCAAAAAGTAAGTTTATACAGTTGTTTAAATTTTGGTTGTATAGTTAGATTTAACGTAAACAAAATATAGTTATTAATCAGTTATCACAGTAGCAGATTTCAAGTATATTCAATATAAAATTATTATGAATTATAATACATAGGAATACAGTACGATTCACTATGCGTGTTCATTCCATTTTTTTTGATTACATTTTGCATATATTCAAATTATGATTTTTGGAACTTAAATTTTCGAACACTTGGATTTTTTACAACATTTAAGGAGTTTCCTGTGGTGGTAAAAACTTTAGTTTTTCAAAAGAGAATCTACATTCAAAATTCTATAAATAGACGGAGTATTACAGTAAAACGTGTATAATATGAACAGTTATGGGACTATAAAAAAATGTTCGTTATAGACAGGTGTCCGTAATAAACAGGCATGGGAAGTGACATCGCAAAGAAAAAATTAAAACGAATAAAGAAAAATGCACAACACGTTATAATAGCGAAGCGATACGGAATAGTACACTGAATAGAACAATAGTCTTTACCATTTCGGACAAAAAACGGATTAAATACCTTTTCAGCGTAATTCCATACACAAATACCGCAAATAGCGGCTTTAACTACACTTGAAAATCCCAAAAATAAGAACTTGATTATATGCAAAATGTAACAAAAAAAAAAAAAAATGGGATGAACACGCCTCGTAAATCACTCTGTATATATTTTATTTACGAATTTACACTAAACTGATTTTTAACGTAAGAAATTGTAATAATGTAAAGATAAACATTATTTTACGAGTAAAAAAAAAAAATCACCAAGTGGGGTCAATGGAAATTTGGGTAGTAGAAAACAATTTCCATTTAAAATCAAGTTACAGTTTGACAAACCTAAATAACGAATACTTATTAAATTATGGAATACCATAATATTCCACGGCTCATGATTATCAGTTCGTTTATTAAGATATGTTTGATAACCGACTGAAAATTTGATACTATGTCAAACTAATTGATATTTGAAAACACCAATATTATTTTATTTTTGTAGTTGCAATTCATTTTCATTTACTCTAAGCCTGTAACAAGTAAAAACATATTGATGTTTTTATTAATTTGCTTTAATAGTTGAAATTATAATACAGCACATCCACGTATGTCGCATATAGTTTACGATGCCTAGCTGTTTAAACAATCGATAGAAGTGTTAAATTAAAGGGTTAGTACAGAAAGCACAAAAAAATAAAATTATGATGTACAGTTAATAACAATTTATAGACCTTACAAATTTCATTTTCAATTACCCCTTTCGATGCTAAATATATTGATGCTGCATACCTAATTTTATTGTTAAATATGAATGATACGAATGTAGTTTAATGTCATAATTAACAAAGAACAATTAATTAACCATTTTACACTTGAACATTTAAATAATTGGGGACTTTGTTGGTGTACAGAAATAATAAATTGTACTATACCTATATTACGTAGGTACGAAAACTGTAATACATATGATATCTTGATCACTGCAAGAAAACTTATAATTCTAATTTATAATAATTATTTTCACAGGCATCTTTAATGGACGACAAGTTATTTTGGATTAAAATGTTAAACGATATGAAAGAAGACACGTCGAGACTTTCGAAAGTTGGTTTGGCCGAATTAATGGCCGAATATTTTTACTTGCCTAAAACTATCAAATTGAACAATTCAAAAGACTTGTTTAAAAACAGTCTTTAATCATCAAATATACGTATATAATATTATTTATAGAACTATAATAACTTGTGTTTACTACATTATTCAATTAAAATTAAAATTATTATTATAAATAATTGTTTATATTTGTCATATTAATATGGATACTTCGTACTATTGTGTTGTAACATTGTTTTCTATAATATTATATAAAAAAAACTTAACATTGAAACAAAAATATAATGTGTGTTATGTCTCGGCATAATTTCCATCTAAACTTATTCCCCTCTGACAGTTGCATTTCCATCCTAGTTTGGAGAATTCCGAGCAAATGCAGTAATTATATCATTTTCATTAATGTTTTCTATTTCATTTAGATTAGCCACGGCTAACCCACTGCTAATACTCTTCACGATTTCATACGGTTCAGTATAGTATACTTAGTAAACGTTTTTTGAAGAGTGGAATAAGTAACTGCTGGAAACCTTGTTAACACTACAATCGCAAAATAACATAAACTCAGTTCGCGGGAAGGAAGGGCTATAAACAGTTATATTTGTATTTTATAGTCGTTTGCGATACATATTTTTGGTTTAGTAGCGGTCTTTTGAACACTTAGCCCAACGCCTACCGCGAAATGGGCCAGTCATTCTACAGACGGCTGGTTCACCACTATTCGTTATTCCCATCATGGGGGGGGGGAGACTCGCGATAATTCCTTTGGTTATATACAGTATACATTTCCCTTTTCTGGAAGTTATTTTACATTGTTTTTGTGTATCGTTTTGATAATGGTCGTTTAGACCGCGGCCGAAAGTTTACAACTCTATCGTTTACGAATATTTAACTAATGAGATTACTAACCGTCATCGGAAATGTTCACGTTTTTAAATGTCGAGCTTCCGTATTTTGAATCGTTTGCGCGTATGTGATCAGTATGTCAGGATATTCTGACAGCAGTTTTCTAGCTACAAATATACCAATTTTCAAGTTATTCATGAGTTTAATGGTACATGATACCTAGTTTAGTTTTTCCATCATCTCATTGTCCGTTTAATATAAAGTAAAGTTTGAACGACGCGACACCGAGAGACTTAAAGTATACCGAACAATTATAGTTTTTTAACTTGAAAAAGTACCCAATGGTAATATCATAGTCGAACAACGAGTGTTGTATACCAATTAGACATACGTGATCGATTTACAGATACCCATCTATCGAACGATGACTCGCATTATATTCATGTACCTACCTACGCGAGTAAAAGGAATTTATTTGCGATTTCCTGTTGACTTCAACGTTATTGCTGTTGCGACCCCACGTTGTTATTATTGAAATGCATTTGTTGCTGCAGCAGTATCTAATGATAATATACATCAAAATACGAAGAATAATTTTTTTGTTCAGTCGAATCCAGCCTCGAAAATGCGCTGTAGAAATATTTAAAACAGTACCTATAAAACTGACGATATTCTAACTTTCGAAACAATAATAACCGCTCTAATTTCGTGAAACCTAGGTATTAATATACGTATCGTAAAGTTACCGTTATTAGATTTAGAATAGTATAAAATTATCAAACGCATAGTCGGTTTTTATTTTGTTTGAAACGGGTATATAGTAATCTGCAGATATACTGGAACGGGCGGGCCATTTTAAATGCAAAAAAAAAAAGATTGGAGGGGAATGACGAAAAAAAATAAATTTTGAAACATCTTAATTGAAAAAAAAATACTTAAATATATATGTCTGAAAAGTGATATTAATTAAAAGAATGTACTCTGTTAAAATAAAATTGTTTTTATTTTAATTGTACTGCATGCATATACTTGCACATAATAATTACATACAAATTTGCCTAAAATATTTGACTTGTAATAAAAATTGTATCGTGAAAAATTTGATCTTGAAATGCATATGTCAGCCAAGTAACGAATAAAAGCTTTTCTGTTACCGAGTTCAGTAAAAAAGAAGATGTTACCATTTATTTATGATTAATATTTGCTACGTACTGGGGTAGACTAGGTCCGTGAAGTTAGTGGACGGACATTGAGCGTTAATTTGCTTTCTAGTACCGATATTTAGTGCTGAATTAATGATGGCGAACGGTAATATATTCAAAATTAGTGCTCTGTCTAGAAAAAAATTAAAAGGGGACTTATCATCTGTCCACTGCGTGAATTTTCGGAGGCACTACCACTATTGAAATCTCTATTAATATCGAAATTTAATGCTGAATCAGTGCTGGCGAACGGTACTACTTGCAAAATTAGTGCTCAATTTTCCAACGAGATATTGAGTTTGTTGAAATTTTCCACATTTCAGATGCAGTGTATTTTTTAAACTAGTGAACTAGGCGATACAAATGTCGCCCAGTGAAAATACGCCAGGCCAGGTTCATCCATCCAGGGCTACATCCCCTAGCCAATTGAAAATTTCTGGGTACAGCAATTTACTTTACGGTAACTTTTTAGCTATACAGATTTATAGTTTGATATTTAGCTGTGAATTAGGGAGGTGACTTTTGGCTCTTTCCCCTTCCTCCCGCGGTTTTACAATAACATTTCATATTGCCGGTTACCGTTTTCGTGTAAGACTCGTGATTTGATAAATTCCGCAATTCTTATAATAGCACGTGACTTTCGAACAAAGGTGATATGGGACGTACACAATATAATATAGTCAGCTCTTATAAACTATGGTACATGTGTGTAAAAAAGACAACGCGATCGTAAGACAGTGGCGGTGACGGCGTGTCGTACAGAAGTGAATTTTATTGAGGTGACCGCCCCGGGGAAATTTTGGGTGGGTCGTGAACTGTTGTTACTAGTTATAGGTATTAGTTATTACAAATTACAATATTGTTAATCCGGTAAACATATTATTACTTTCGTAATGTAATGTTATAAAAAAATATTATATAACTACATAATTAATTCGTGGTAAATATGTGGTTTTTTTTTTTTTAATCTAAGGTTTAAAATTGTAATACGAATACTATCTGAATGTATGAATATAATAATAACGCACGGTGTAGTGTATATGCAATGATTTTTGGATCTTGGGTGGGAAGCAGAGGCGAAAGCATAAGTATATAGCATTTTATTATTATTTCAAAATTTAACTGAAAGTCTTCTGTGTACCTATAACGTTTTAACGTGTCGAGTGAAAGCCTTAATATTTTTATTGTAGAACTAAATATTGAAATTCTGAATGGAGCAAAGAATTTAATGGTTTTACCGTGGTGCATTATTTTGTTTGATTTTTATTTTATTTTTTTTTAAACGAGTTATCGACTATACAGGGTGATCAATCTACCGTAAGACACTCGATATCTCGGAAAGTATTAACTTTTTCCCGAATATATTTTATAGAAAATTTAAGAAACACGCAGCTCTACAATTTTACATTTATGTTATTTTTTGTCACCCTTATTTTTGGGGGTAAAATCACTACCTACTTTTGATTTTCGAACGGCAACCTGTATAAAAAATTCCATAAATAGATGAAGCATTAGTTAGAATAAATTTTGGTGTAGACATTTTTGATTTCTGTCTTTCCGTTGACGAGATATTGCACTTTTAATTTTGGTTGAGGGAGAGTGGTGGTGCATTATTGACACGCCACGCGCCGTACCGTCAAACAAATGATACTCTACTACTCTCCTTCGACCAAAACTTAAAAATGGTCAATGAATTGATGGAAATCAAACATTTCAACACTAAAATTTATTTTAATTAATATTCCATTTATTTATGGAATTTTTAATATAGGTTACCATTTGAAAATCAAAAAAGATTTTACCCCCAAAAATAAGGGTAAAAAATAAAATAACATAAATAAAAAAACGTAAAGCAGCTTGTTTCTTAAATGGCCTAAAAAATAAATTTCGGAAATATGTGTACTTTCCGAGATAATGAGTATCTTATGATACATTGATATCTCCGTATAAGACTTGTTCCAATCGAAAACTTCGTATAGAAGTTTTCTTGTGTAGAATTGTGAATCTAGTTGGTACATTGGGAAGGTGAATATTTTCGAATTCCTTATATTTTTCCTAACAATGGAGAAAACTGAAAATATAGAGGTGATACTGCTCATGGATGTGCCTATTGTGTACAGTGGCACACTGTTCTAGGTGGAAAATTAAGAAAGTAGAATACATTAAGTTATTTAATTTATATCTGTACGCAGCGATTAAACCATTGCTAACGAAATGTGATTCTGAGCATATGTGTTTTGAAATGCCGTGATATTTACGATTTCTGTCAAAATTTGAATTTAAAATGCTTATCAAAAAAATTTCCATAAAATACCTGTAATGATAAACCTCATGTTAAATACTTAATCACAAGCTGTCCTGCCTTGCTTTACACGAATAAAAAAGTTTCTAAATAAAGTCAATAGATAAATTATCATTATGTGCTATTACCATAAACAATCGCACAGCACCACAGAAATTAATAAAAATGTATTTTTTTTCATACGTTACTTATTCATTTTGTCAGTATTTAATACGCTTGTAGCCTGCGGGTATAAAAGAAAATCGTAAGTAGTCAGAGGCGTTCTCAGGATTTTTTATTGAGGGAGGTGTATGCAAATTTATTAAAAGTGAGACGTGGGGGTTAAGCTCCCAAACCCACTTTCTTATATAAAAATAACATGTATTAAATTATAACATGTTATATACCTTATATTTTTGATTAAAATATTGAATTTACAAAATTATAGCAATTTATCTTGATATTTGAGCCAATACATCAAGAATTTCTTCAGAATAAATTGGGACTTCTATAGCTTATAGGTGTCTACCACTAAAAAAATTTTCATTAGACTGCTCAGGTAATTTACTTTGGTCTACATCCCCTTTACCATCAAATTTTATACTCTATCAGTACTCTTGTAGGAGGAACAGATTTTTTTTTTGAAAAAAAATATAATATACTTGAACTAGTTGAATTATTTCGTTTTATTTTGATTAAATATACGTCGTCAATTTACTATAGTTATATATTGCAAAATGTCAAAGTAACTCATTAACAATTATCTCTTACTAAATTGTTCACTGAAAACGATTGATACCGATAACAAAAACCCGAGAAAATATATTAACACTTTCATCATTGTTCGGTGGTTGACGTCAGTATCGTGAGATTAATATATTGTTTATATCAGTTACATAATATAAGCTCAGCTGATTATAAAACCAGAACAGTGATAAAGATATTAATTTGTAACCACATATATATAAGACACAAACACGGTTCTCTAACCGTGCGTGGTCTGTAATCTGTTTACGAATGTTGTGAAAAATGACGAGTCAAAAAAAATACCCATGTAGGTGGCATACTTAACCAAAAGATGTTACGTAGGTACTTAACGTTTATCAATAGAGCGAAAAATATTAAACACAGTGTTAAACAAATGTTAAACAAACTCTGTTTATAATAGTTTTTTTAATACCATTAACTATTTTTATTGTAAACATTATTATAAACGTTTATTCAGTGATTAAAAATGATCAAATTTCGAGGGGGAATTTAATAACTAACAATTAAGGGGCGTTCTCGAGAACTAAGTATAACCAAACACAACTGAATTTTTAGCAAAACCATCATTGGAACAAGACGCCCGAAATATTTCTCTCTAATACATGTTTTGTTTATACAAATGTTATGCTAATATTATTTAAAAATAAACTGCACCTCTCTTACCAAAATATCATCTTACTCATATGTCTGTTCACTGCTCAGTAAGTAGAAATGAGTAAAACTTAGTCTGATTGTATATACAGTCTAATAGATATTATACAATTTATTTTTCATATAACTAATTAGGATTTTAGGTTCTAAGTAGAGCGAAGAAGAGTATGGTTTTATAAAGGTGATTTTTTTTTCTGTGTCCAACTTTTCTACCACTGATTTTGTTTCAACTTTTAATAATAGCAATGTTCTGAAAGGAAATTTCACTAGGGAGGTACTTTAGAGAGGTCGTTTTTACATTTTCCCCCTGAGTTTTTTTAGCATATGTGAAATACTGGAAAAATCGGGAAAATCGGTACAACATGAAACAAATATTATTAAAGAAAATAATGTATAGAGTCTATTTAATTATTTTACTATATTATGGCATATATATTGTTGACAAAGCATCACTATCAACTGAACTCGGTTCAGAATCGTGTTTTCGTAAGCAATGGTTTGTATCGTTGCATAAATTACCTTTAACAGTGGCTGCACCCGTCCCTATTATTCTAGGACGTCTTTTTAGGATTTAATTTTGTGATAATAACTAAAGAGTGCCCCGGACTTCGAAGACTCGAACTAAAGAAGACGACGGATCATTTTACCTTCAAGTGGTCTAAAGGACAAACTTTTTAATGAAGCCCTCAAAAAGAATAATGTAAAAAATATAAAGCAAATCATTATCGCACAATATGTTTTAAAGAAATACAAACGAAACATAATAATACACAGGGATTCGCTAAGGTCCGCCGGCGAAAAGATATTAAAAACGATAAAATATCAATAAATAAAACGTCAACGGTTGAACGCCTAATGCGTACAGATAAAGAACATAATGTTCTACTGTGGCGAAAACCGAAGCACCTGGAGTCTTGTGGCCCGTGGGCTGTGGCATTCATTCGAGCTCGTGGGTATGGCGAACGGATACTAATACGATACCGTGCGAAATTCGGGAAAGCAGCAAACTCGTCGCCGCCGACAAGAATATTAAATTTTTTTTTAATTTTTCAAACGTAAAAATACGTCCGATTAATTGAAAAAAAAAAAATAATAATCATAACAATAATAATACGATTATTATTTCGAAATAGAGGCCTCGGGGATGAGGGGCGAGGGGGAGGGGCAAATGCATATTACACAGTGTATTATATTCTCATTCCTCCCAGCCACTGACCCGTGCGGATGGTCGTTGTCGCATGGTGCCCTTTGTGCGGGGCCGCGGCTCCGGAGAATATCGGCGCGTCTCTTTGTTCCGCGCGGCCGTGTGAAAAGTCCGCGTCGTCGTCCAACGGGGGGCGTTGCACCGGCCGAGAAGAACGCGCGAAACGGTAGTGGCGGCGGCGGCGGCGACGGCGGCGTCGAGACGGTGGAAGTGGTCTCGGCACCGCGACATGGTGGAGGACGCGGCGGCCCGTCTTTCGGCCGGTCGGTCCCCCGGCAATCGCCGCCGACTGGAAGCACGCCGCCGTCGTCGCCGTCAAATCGGTGTGCTCTCAGTGTTGTCTTTGCGTGCGTACAACGCTTACATACGCGGCCGGCCGTGTTCCAATAACAACAACAACAGCGGACAATATCGTCGCATACGCCGTCGCGCGATCGGCGAAATAACCAAACGTGTTCGAGAATTAATAATATATCGTAGTAATTTATAATCCCGCGCGTCCGCGCACCGTCACAACGGCCGTGTGATAATAATATTTATTATAATTATTATTGTTGCCCGTTGTATAACAGCGTAGCGCTGCGGATATAATTTTTTTCCATATATATATTTTTTTTTATTATTATTTTTTTTTTTTTTCTCTCCGTTCAAAATATCCGATATTACGCGTCTTGGCGCCGCGCGCGTAGGCGACGGTACGACACGACACACGAAGCCCGCAGGCGTCCGTTCGCTTCTTACGTAATAACAGTACGGTGACGCGCCATCGGGGTGTTTTTTTTTTTTTTTATCTCTGTTACCTTCCAAAGTTATTATTAATATTTTCACGTTCCAATAGCCGGCTAAATCGGCGTTTCGGTGGCGGCTGCCCGAGGCGCATCAGCAGCAGCAGCAGCACAACAGGTACACGACCGCCGCCCGTGTGTACCGCCCCGTACCGCAGGAGACCGTCGACCGTAGTCGTCGCGAGTGTAATGCGCTCTGCGTGCCCGAATCTGCCGCTGCGACCGTGACCGTTCATGTAGGATTTTCAAGAGTCCGTCAAACGCCACACGCCGCGACTGTTCCGTCGACGAAGTCTCCGTCGAGGTCCATGCGAGGACCGTCACTCTCCCGCACGCCGCGACACACGTCATCACGCACGCTTAGGATCTCGTGAGTAAAAACAATTTTTTTTTTTTTCATCGCCTCCCCCTCCCCCCCTCCATCCGTGTCGGTTGAGTCGTCGAGAACCGCGGAAAATGCCGGCCGCGAAGAGCCGTCGGCGGCGGTCTTCCGGTGTACGCGGAAACCGTCCCCGCGCCGTGGCGTTTTACAATATCGCTGTTGTTGTTATGTGGCGGGCGGCGGCGCGCGTTATCACCGCGCGGCGGCGCATAAAGACAGTTGTTAACAGCGCGAACGATAATAAATCGGAACACGCGCAGTTACGCCACAAAAACTCTCTCCTACCATCACTGCAAATATATAACATAATGGATCCGTGTGAAACTATTTCATTTTCTCCGAGAAAAAAAAAAACACACACACACACACACACCAGTTAATCGTATTATTTTTATTATATTATTCGTCGGCGCGCGTATATCATTATTCCTTTTGTGCGCGTTATTACAATATTATTATCCGCGGCGGCGCATTCCGTATTTTCCACAGACACGCCGACGCTCGGCGCCCGCGGGTTCCGTACGAGTGCCGGCAATCCAGACCGGCCTCCGGCGGTAGGTCCGCGCGGTGCGCCCGCAGGCCAACTCGTAACGCCGCGGCCTGCACCCGCGTAATCCAATCGGGGGCGTCCAGCAATACGCACACGTCACGGCGGGAACGATAATAACGGCTCCGTCATAATGGCACGCCGGGTACGGGACCGGGACGCCCGTTATTGTCGTTTGTTGAGTGCAATGCGATTGATCGCGGATCGCGGTCGCGTTTCCGCGCGTCGACGTGTCAACATCCCGAGTAGACACCGTCGCGTTCGCGGGCAATATCCACCGTCCCGTCGTCAACGCGCGTCTTTCTCGGAAACCGTAGAAAACGGCTCGGGTCGCGGAACAGGTTTGTATTATTTCGCCGTAAATAAACCGCGTGGGCAACGCAGCTTATAGTTTGCGCATCGTTTTTTTTTTTTTTCCCCCGTTATTTTTGTTCCGTCGGAGCGTGCGTTTTACCGCAAAATGGTAAAAACCAATACAAATTCAATTAGATTTCCGTCGGCGAACAAGTATCGATTTTTTTTCGTTTTTAACGGGTTTCTGTAAGACGCGTTTACTAACCGCGTCCGTAGCGTGCGGGTCGATTGTTTTTTAAATATTTAATTTCCTTTTTAATTACAAGGCGTACTCGTACGCGACATGTATTCCCGTGTGTCATAAGGCAACCGTCCCACAAACATCGGAAGCATCGAATTATTCGACTTGCGTATAATGTTATTATGTCACGTCTAAAATCTATCGTCGAATAAAATGAACGGGTTATCAGGTACCCGGAAAGAGAAATAATGCGTTATAGTGCACCTTTGGTCCGCGGGAAAAGGGCTCGAGTTAATTTCACGGTCTTTTTAGATTCGGAGCGTGGCGAGGGATTTATTATTATTATTATTATTTTTTTTAAAAGAAATAAATTATATCTTCTGTTACGTTTTCCTCTTTATTTTTCGATCTTAATAATTGCACGCGCGTAGGCAATATTCTCACACGCGTTGCACTGCACGTTCAAACACTATGGTGTACTTTTCGTCTGGCAAGAAAGGCGTGAGTTCATAATACTATGATTACATTATAATATGACTCGAGCCGTTTAGAACCGGCCGTTTAGGATTGGTCGGGCCGTACATAGCCCGTCTTCGCCGAGACCGAAGCTTCAGCCGTATGATCGTTTTCGTGTTTCGCGACTCTATGAAGTTTGATACCTGTGCGGGTTTTCGATTTGTATGCGTTTTTAAGAACTACTAATAACTTTTTTTTTTTTTTCTAATTACTATTATCGTGCCACGACGTTCTAATAACGTTGATATTAGTATTCAGCGCGACACGCCAGATCCGCGGCCATCCGTTATAAATCAACTCATTAGATTTCATGACTGGTCGCCCCCCCCCCCCGAGTGTGTAGGCTGAACCCATTGAAGCGAGTTGACGGTGCCGTTATTATGAAGTCACCCGATGGCAACGGATACCACCGCCGCCATAGCCGCCGCGTTGGGCACAGTGCACATTGTGCAACGAGAATCAATTTAAATTTTTTTTAAACACTGTAATCAAAACGATAGTGAAACTATCTACAATGTTATAAGAGCGTAATATACGCACCTACGGGCTTAAACCGGACACAATCGGATACTGAACGACATTTGAACGAGCCACGAAAATATATTCGCCGGCACCTACGTTACCATCTAAGTACACCGGGTGTTTACTGCGCGACAATTGGCGCCGAGCGTATACGCAATGCAATACGGACTTGAATATTTTATTCTAATTACTTATGTGCGTGTCGCAAAGCCTAAAATGCGGTCGAGATTTCGATGTCGCGAGATGACACTGTTAATGTTGTCCCCGCCGAATGCGACAACGCGTTTTCCCCCATTTTCAAATAAAATATCGTTCGCCAAAATACACGCGTCTTTTGACGTGAAAAAACGGTGTATGTTTACTCAACGAAAACAATTTTTCCGAGAAAAAAAAAAACCGAGTTTTGTACTATTTAGTCGTCTTATTTTTACAAGTTTTTTTTTTTTTTTCCGAAGTTATCACATTCTCAGACGACCGAATAGAATTTCATTTAAATCGATGACGTTACAGGCTGTATATTATACAGACATATAGATGTTACGCGCTTTATCGATTATCGCGTAGCAAAAAGAACTTGGTGCATCGTTATGTCGCTGAATTTGTTTGTACGATATTGTTTATAATATTATAAATAACTGTAGTACACTTGCACTGTTGCAGTGAAAGAGATAGTCATTTGGCTTACGACCTTACGACATTACCTCAGCGCTTGTGTATTATATTATAGGATTTAAAAATAATCATAATTGCTTACGCAACAATACATACAAGATGAATCGTTTTAGCGCTGAAAAGGTATCCCTCGGTAAAACTTAAAACACATAATAAATTTAAGTGTGCAAACGTGCGCGGATTAATGTATATTTGTTAATGCATTTGGAAATAACACTTAATCGCCACACAACGCACAGTTTTACCTTTACGCCGCGTTACGACACTATATAGGTATTAATATATAATATTATGTATAGCTTGTAAGTTTGTACCGGCAACGCCAACAACCGCTTTGCATTTTCAAAGATTAATTTGTCGCTTGATAAGGTCATTCGGATACCTAATATTTGTAAATCGTTTGTTTTGAATATTTTATACTATTTTGTGTTATATCGGTGTACCACTTGCTGCATAATAACGACGTTATGCACTGTGTAATAGCACACGCGGTTCTTCTGCCGAATACGACTGCTACCGATCACGCGAGGACAACGCGAATTTTGCCTGGCTCATAGCCACGGATTTTGTCGCGCGAAAAGATTTGGATATTATTTTTCCGTCATTCCTGTTATCGAACACGTCGGAATCGCGGTAATCGGTGAACATAATAATGTCTCTACTTTATGACCGTAAACGACCGTATGATGACGTTCGTTCAACCGCAGACCCACGTTTCAAAAGTACAGGGTGATTATTTTATCACGAATACCAGCGACAATTGTATTGATTTATGGTTTTTTGATCGATGTCGATTATACCGAAGAACCGTTTGTTGATCTTGTTTGCCATTTTTTTCGCTCGAAATTTTACCCATATTCCGTATACCATTGACGCACTGCCACATCGACATTCGATGTGAAAATAGACCCGCGTTTATAAATGTTCGAATTCGAAGAGAGAATGTTATTTTTAAAAAGACAGACATACTTCGCACGATGGGTGAATCCATTGTTGTTGGTGAGAAGTTGGGAACGTAGGATATAGAAGGGAAATTAATTTGTATCTGTAAGCAACGATAAACCATTGCTAACGAAAAAACGATTATGAGCTGAGTTCAGTTGATTGTGTTACTTTGTCAATGATATATATGTCATATTATGGTAAAATAATTACATATATGCATTAAACATTTTCTTTAATAATATTTGTTTAATATTGTACCTATTTTCCCATTCACTTGGTTTTCCTCTGTTTTTTTTCCAGTTTTTCCCATTTTTTAGAAAAATCAAAAAATTTCCTTTTTAAAGTACCTCTCCAGTCAAATTTCCTTTCAGGAAATGTGCTACACTTAAAAATCAAAGCAAGATTTCTGGTAGAAAAGTTTGCACAACGAATCGAGAGGTATTTTTCGATTAAAATGATTCGAGCGAGCGATAGCTGGGTCTCTAAGTACATCTAAAATTAATTTGCTTCTTCCCTGTTTAGGTAAAAGGGGAAAAAAAATGCAAACATTTTTTTTCGAAACCAGGGTTTGCACTCATGAGCCCTCGGATTATAATGAATACCTATAACCATTATACTACGACGATACAAATATAATAATTAAAAAAGACAATATAGAGTTATTTAATACAACATAATATGTTAATATCAGAATTTAAAAAAGCTATAATTTCGAAACTTAGTTAGTCCGCTCAATTCTGACTTCACCATCATTCTTAATTGGCTATAAACATATTTAAAAAAAAAAAAAATTAAAAACTAGATTTTTTTCCACACAATTTTTTATTCAAACGATTTTCGTCAAAATTTGACACTAGAATTCCTTTATAAAAAAAAATACAACGTCAAACTCAATTTTTTTACCGACCACAAATTAAGTCTTTTAATGAACTTTTTGTTAAATTTTCAAGAATTTCTGTTAAGTCTTAACAATTTTACCACAGAGTATTTACCGAATAAAAATTACGTACAAAACTCACAAAATTAAGATGTCTATAAATAGTTCAAAAATTGCTTAAATGTTTTGAAAATTTTACCATGATTAGAAAAGGAAAATATAAGATTTCTGTCCAAATTTCAAGTCTCTACAAATATTTTTAACTGAATTATAACAAATAACAAAATTGAAAAAATGATAAGCATTATTTTCGTAAATTTCTCGTATTTCTTACGTTTTTTCTCACTTTTTCCCTTTTATTGGGAAAACTGCAGAGAAAATAAAAAAAAATGACTCCTCTAAAGTACCACCCCGAGAAAATTTCCGTTCAGAAAAGAGTCTACATTGTTATACATTGGAGCAAGATTTTTGGTAAAATTATTGTACATAGTATAAAAAAAAAAAAATTAACATCTTCACTACACTCAGAATCTAAAATGTCGATACGCATAACATTAATATCTTGTTTGTACACCTTAAGTATGCAAATGATTTATTATATAGATACGAGTGGATAACTGATACACATTTTATATTTAGACAGGAGTAATGGAGTAAAGTTATATTAAACATGGATAATATGAAACGTATCGCGACCGTACCTAGCGCAGCGGTCTAAATTTTTAATTTCATTTTTTTAAAATCATGAACAAATTCGCACAAGTTCTTCACAAATAATGGTCACGATGATTAAACAATCACTCTGTACATTTCGTGGAACCACCGCGTTTACTGTGTCTGAGGCGACTCACACTTATACACTTATTATACCTACATAATGTATAAATGTAGACGAACTTCCGAGTGGAGCCCACGTCATTAATAATATTGTTGTATATAATGCTATATACAAGAATGACCATTGCATAAAACAACTATTACCTAATAACACACTATGTAACATTTCTTTAGTCTTTACATTTAAATCGACTCAAGTTGCACTTTGATCTTAACGATCGACGAAGGACGTTATTACATTATATTGTATACAATATACTTACGAGTATACTAGATATGAGGTATAGGTAGTTTAAAAATATCCTTTGATTTTATCATATTATTTACCCTCTTTTTTTAGTAGATGTGATAAATAGTGCAATGTTACTACAAGTTACAACTGCAGTTAATTGTTAAGTATGCAATGCTACAATGTTGTTCATAAAACAAAATATAATTTTGAATTTTAGATTCTGAATGGTTTTATCAAAGATGTTTATTTTTTTCTGTGGACAACTTTTTTACCAGTAATTTCGCTCCAATTTATAATGATAACAATTTTTCTAAAAGAAAATTACACTGAGAAGGTACTTTAAAGAGGTCATTTTATGATTTTCTCAACAAATGTGAAAAACTGAAAAAAAAAACGGAGGAAAAACAAGATCCATTTTAATTTTGGAATTGGAATAATTTTACCATAATTTGACATATATACTGTTAAGAAAGCAGCACTATCGAGTAAACTCCGCACAGAATAGTTTTCGTTAGCGATGGTTTATCGTTGCTCATAGGTGTACATTAAATTACTTAAAACAGTAGCTGCACCCAACCCCATTATCCTAGGATGTTTTTTTTTATTTTAAGACAATAGTTAACATCATTGTACTTAAACCGAATTAAATAACTATTTTGTTTTTTCTTTGTATTTTAATCGTTTAAATTCGTCTTATAATTTTTTTTTCAAAAACTATTAGTTGTGTGAAAACTTATACACGATCAACATAATATTATAAGCAATTCTAGTTGCATATTTTGAAAAAAATGTGTGACTATATTATATTAGTTTAAAACTTAAGTACCACGTATAAGATTTAAAACTTTGTTGACTCAATCTATATACATTAAACAATAATAAACAGACAGTACGCATAATATGAATAATGTATTAAATTGCATATGTAAAAACTGTCACGTTGTGATAGGATTTATAGTAGAATTATCATATACTGAAACTGCAGGAAGTGCAGAAGATCATTTTTGTGATTTTTCTTTCAAATAAAACTGTAGCTTCTTATCGAACACTCATTTAGAGAGGATGTAATTTTAAAATATCTAATATATATACATTTATAGATAACTTAGAGAACCTTTTTTTCATCATAATACCAGGTTTTTTTTTTAAGTATTTATATTTAGATTAACTATAGACTTGATTACAGTATGTTTTTAAAATACGTGGATAAGTTTATAAACTAACGGAATAAAATTGTTTAATATATGAACGAGAATTTAAATGAAACATATTAATAATATTTAATTGATGCGATAAATAAGAGACTGTTGTTTTGTTTTCTTTTTTTTTTGGTAGGTACCTATTTAAGAAAGTGATTGAGATTTACGGTTTTATCGTTGAGATGTTTGGTCGACCGTTTTAGGTAAAAGTTTTATTTTCTAACTATACGTATTTTGTATACAACTAGTACCTAATTGTTTGAAAACATCGGCTGCTTAAACATTCGTGTAATAAATTTATTTTCTTTCAAATTAATTACAACTAAAATACGCATGCAGTTTTAAATTCCGGACGTGCATACGTTATATTGCCCCGTGGTAGGTGGTGTGTTAGGTTTATGGCATTTAATTTAATGGGTCTTATCGTAAATTCGATGTTAAGCATAGTGTGACTCGTAAGAGGTGAAGGTCTAGTTAAAAAAATGACCCAACCTAACAATTACATTTCAAAGTGGTTGTTAACTATTTTTCAATAACTATACTAATCCGAACAGACTAGTTCCAATACAGAATAAGCGAAAGGAATATTATATAAGTTCATAGTTTATAACGGTCGAAAAATACACACGATTTTAATAAAATTATAATAATATAATATTATAGGAAAACCAAACGCAGGCACGTATTAAGTTTACACGGAATTAATGATAAATTGTATTGCAAGTTATGTGCTGGAATATGTTATTATACTATCGACTCTGTACACACGTCTATATAAACGAACGTTAAACAATTTCGCATGTAAATAACGCTAAAAAATAATCACATTCCTATATTTAATATCAACCAACAAACAAAAGCTTTATAATGTAGGTACGATTTGAGTAATTAAATTGGAAAGTCGGCAGAAAAAGCATAATTGCTTGAAATTCGACTGACAATCGCTCGAATGCGGTTTTTATTTCCGCTGTTGAAATTGTTTTTCCGAATAATCGAGAGTAACCCGTCCCCAGGACTTAATTTGCTTAACCACAAACACACACACACACACACATTATTTAATTATATTAACTATAAGCATCATTGTCAAAAAATCCTCCGTACCCATAAAGACTGGTTTATTTTACATTTTCTATTATAATAGACTCCCGAACCTTTCGTTTGCACACTATATGCAAAATATATCAGTTAATTATTATTATTATTAAAATGATATAAATTTTTAGTTAAGAATGTTGTAATAATTATGTACCTACTTACCGCGGTTGTTTAATAACACTAATCACAAAATATATTTGTTCCGTGTGCACGTGCATTTATTTTAAAATAATAGACTAGTAATATACCAAATGTCTGTGTCACACGTCAGGGGTGTTGAGGGGGATGATGGCGTCATATTTTCCTTTTGACCTTTGTTTTGATGTAATTATCGCCTGATTTTTGATATATATATTAGTTGATGATAGTTATAATCAATATGCGAAACCGTCGTAGAAAAATCGAATTAGTTTTGTAATATTGTATGTTACGTTCCAACACAACGATATACCTAACACGGTGTTTTTAAATCTAAAAAATAGTTTAGGTAATAAATGCAAGCGATGATTGGTAATAAACACATGAATTGTGGATTGTGCATTCTAGATTGATATTTTGTTTTATTTTATAAAAATAAATGGAATATTGAAATTTATATCCACCGTCACATGTAAAAGAACCGTGCACGCCACTGCAGTCTTTACTTAAGTGATGGCGATCTTGTATTTTACGAGTAACGAAATTCCAATGGCAATTTTATAACTGTATATCAATCATTTCTGTTTCTATATACGTCGCGATGCACCTACTTTCATTCGTGTATAGGTATTTTATAACCAATGACGGTATTATACAGATTGAAAATATCAACTTAACGTTAATTATTTTATGTGAAATATATTCAAGTTTAAGTTTTAATGAGAATATTATTATTATTATTATATTTTTTTTTTTTGTTGGGCTTTAAATCATTATTGTTTCTAGTATAATAATACTATGATGTAAACGGTTCACATCATGACGTATTTACAATCATTTTCGAGCTCGTTTTTATTTGGTGACCTATTTTTTAGCGATCGAAGCAACTTTTACTTTCTATATATATATATATACATACACACATATAAATTTGTTTTTATACGTATTGACCATCAGATTTTACAATATATTTTAAATGCTCATAATAAATAACGGTGTTTGATTTTTGTAAATTTGTGTTTCGTGACAAGGTTTTTATCTATTTATAGCGAACGCCGTACGAAAAATCGAAAGAACGATGTATTTTTTTTTTTTAGTTGTTAGATTTCTAGGCAGCTATGCGTCGTGTTTTATAAACAACGTAATATTTTCGTTTAGCGATATTTGAAGATGGCACGCTGGAATTGTTGAAGTAACACCGGCCGTATTTCTTTACCGACCGGTTAAATCTTGTCGCATTTCGTGCACGTTATAATAACATAGTTATAGAATATGACGTGCGATTAACCCGCAGTGATTAGTGCGGGCGGATACAATATACGTACGAAACGAATAATTTAAAAAAAAAAAAAAAAAAGTAAAAGAAATAATTATGGGTAGGTACGCGTCACTTACGACCGTGTTCGACGTCGTTTTCTGTGTCGACATCCTTGAAATCGCGGTTTGACCTTATTTATACGGATTTACAAGACGGTATATTGAATAATAATAATGACGACGACCGCAGCCGCCGTCGTATTATCGAAAACTGGTTGTTGATTAAGAGTTTTGCCGGCAAATTTAGACGGCTAAAGTCGCGGCTGTAGGTCGGCCATTGGCTAACCTGCAATACCTGCGCGAGCAACGATCATGCACGTCCAGGTCGTCGTTACGCGGTTTTCGAACGGTAGGCGCACGCGGATTGACCGAACGAGACCGCGGGCCGCGCGTGACGCGTACCGCGCGATAATCTGTAAAACAAACACGCGCCCGATAATTGCCGCAGCGGCGGCCGGCGCGTTTACAAGACGTTTTATATTGAACAGGCGCACATCGGGCCTGCAGGAACGGTGCGAAATGAGTGTTGGGTGTAGGTGTCCGAATAGGTAATCCGCGCGATTTTGTACCCCCGTGTTGCGGTTTTAACAGAAGCGCAGTGGCGTGCCCGAAGGGAGGGGGGGAGTGGAGCAGAGGTTCGGGGTTATATCCCACCCTCTCCCATCGGCTTAAAAACACAACAAAATGTGAATAATCCAACGTCGAAATTCATAAATTTCGATCGAATTCCGAGAAAACGCTTGATGTAGCGATTAGAAATTAGCTTTACTTTTAGGATCCGGTTTTTAAATTGCCGATCCCCATAGCCGAGTTGGGCAGAGAAGGCGATTTTACTCCGTTTTCACGATTTTTATTTGTCAAATCCCTTCCCGTCGGAAATTCCCGGGCACGCCACTGCAGAAGCGTTTCAATATTACAGCGACGTTTTGGATCTGAACATTCGGTCATCACAGTCTTTTCCACAGTTCCTGGAGAGTAAGGCGACCACCGAAAGCCGATCGTCCAATCATGCCCCGCAGTGGCGTGTGTGGGAAAGGGGCGATCGGGCTCCCATCCTATCCGCTTACAAATCCTACGACTGTGTGTGTTATGCATATTTACTGCGATAATAATATCTCAATCAATTGAAATGCATACGTTTCGGCCGAGTCACAAGGAAAAGCTTATTGTTTATTGAATTGAAACGGACAACTTTTTTTTCTTTCACGAAGCTTTTAAATTCTTACCGAAGCCGGATTAGGCGTGGACAAGATTCAACAATTATTATTTGTCCATGATAGTTATATACTCGCCGTATTTCCGTTTGACGTTTCTGCAGGGTACGCTGTTGATTTCTCGTCTGTTTTCCATATGTCCGCGCCTGTGTGTCGGAGAGTTTTGCAGGAATGACACGGTGAAAGAGGGGTAGGGGTGTAATGGTCGCGGGCCGAGTAATAAAAACGCGGCGCGGCGCGGACCGCGTCATCATCTCTCCTCGCGCCAGAAACTCGAGAAACTGGTCGACGACGTCGGACTCGCTCGCGACCGGACCGAAGGCCGGCGGATACTCGCCGAGGATATCGTCAAAGACGATTCGGACGGACGTCGCCGCGACCGTGTGCATCATAATCATTGTTCTGGGAAAACCGCATAGTGTTCTCAGCGTGCGCGTTCCGAGAATTTCTGAACGGCGAATTCATTAAACCAGCCACACAAGGGTAAACGCAGACAATTTAATAAAAGTATCCGTGACGTGACGATGATTCGAACCAGTGCTTCTTTCGACACCAAGTGTCCGCCAGAAGAAAGACCGTCGGCGTGCGCGCACACGCCGTACATTAGTCGGTACTCGTCCGTTAGGTTCCGTATACCTCTGTCGTGTTTCCGCCACCGACACTTAGTCGCGTTTAAAACGCTCGTACGGTTTTTATAAAAGTGATTTTTACATATTTCACACGCGACTCGTGCGCGGTTTTCATTACATTAATTACGAGTACTTATATTTCGATTGCCCGATTTAATTTTCTAAATTAAATATCAATTGTAACGGGCCGGTCGTTGTACCGCGTAACTGTATAATAACAAACTTATACACGGCGGACCGTTTGGTAAAAATAATCCATAGACCGGACATATATTTACTTATATTATGCGTTTTTAAAGCGTTATACATAATATTTCGTCATTCGTATACAGATTCGAGAATTAAAGAACACCCCTACACTTCTATTGGACCTCGCAGTAAGTAGTATTCATATTTTATCGGATCTGATGTATTGCAAACACGGAGTTATTACATGTTAATAGGTTGCTTTTAAACTGAACTAAATACAATATATCTGCGTCATGATCGTCAACAGTCGGGTCTTGATTTTTAAGATTGAATTAATTAAAATACTAAGACTGATGATATACTTTAGTATTATATTTGGTTCTGGGCAGACGAGTGAGGGGCTTATAAGTATTCAAATGCTACGTGTTTTATGTACTAATCGCGGAATTCTCCGTTAAAAATATTGTAAAAATTGTGTAAACGTTAAAATTTAAGTTCAGATCATTAACCGCGTGAGAATTGCAAGGTAATTGTTTAAATATCGTGTTTATAAAACGAACGAAAAAGTAAATAATAGTGGAAAATGATAATAAAAATATTTTCTCACGTATATATTATACGACGGTTACATCGAAATTTAATTAGAGTATAGTAACGCATACAGGGGGATGAAAACGAAAAATCTGACAACACATTATTCATAGCGTACCTACGAACATACGATAAACGAGCGAAAATTTTACAAGGTATTTTTCGATATTTAAAAATTTGTTCTCAAATTAGGGCGAAAACCATTTTTCCATCCACTTTGAAAACAAACAAAAAACTGATTATTAATTATTATTGTATGTTGCCGTCGAAAATATAGGCGCATGAAAAATTTGAAATTGATCTGACCACGGGAAGTGGGTCAAAAATCGATTACGGTGGGTCTTGAGCATTTTCTTCGAGTTCATAATAAAACGATACGATAATAAAATATATTATATAATATCCACGTTGGTATTATCATCGTATAGGCACTGTTCTATGAGTATAATATTATATTCTATTCACACGAAAAGGCCTTACCATTTACGAACGATATTATTAACATTATGATCACACACCGCCGCGCCGCCGTCTCGAGCTGGACGAAATATTTTGTACGCTTAGACCTACCTATGTAATGTTGTATGGTGGCCTTCAAGGTACGGTATTAAAAAATAAAAACTTATGTATCCTTGATCTGAATTAGAATCCTATATTTATGTTCCCGGTATGATGTAATATTATTATTTTTTGACACGACACATCATCATCCGTATTTTATATCATTTATTGTATTGTGACTTTGTGTCGTTCATTTTATTTTATTATAATGCGTGTTGTACGTGTAGTACGCAGGTATTGGTAGAAGTGCTGACCGTCAAATTATACAGCCTTATAAACGATCGTTCGATCGTTAGATTTGTTAAAATAACAGAGAAATACACCAGCAAGTCCGTTTGGAAGTACGACGGTGTAGAGCGGATGACCGCTGCTGCATTCATATTATAGTCGCCTCCTTACTCGCGTGGACCGTCTTGATGTACTTCTGATGTATTATTTTTTTCGACTACGATTTTGTGTTTTCAGATAAAAATTTCAAGAATTTTTAAAATCTCCGTTTAGAGGTGTATAGGTATATAACTATGGGTACCTACTATAGGTATAACGCAGGTTTAATGACCGGTCACTGTACAGACATAGATTTAAATTTTAAGTGTAAGTATGTAGGCATTTAATTTGTTTACGGTTCGTTTTTTTCGACCATGGGATTCTGACCGATTCGATGTCGCTAAAATTTGATTAGTTCAACTACCTGTATGGTAGTATCTATATATGTTGTACTACTTATTACTATACAATATTTCTAATATATCCGTGTTTTATTAACACAATTATTTTGCTTACACAACAAACAAGGTAATTACCCTAATAATAATAACAATAATAAAATTTTAAATAAAAGTGAAGGTGTAATGATTATAAAGAATTCGGGTGTTGAACACTCGTTTCGCTTCGTTCGGTATATATACGTATATTGCATTATTATTTAAAATTCAAAATCAATATTCTATGGACTATGGTATTTCAATATTGGAAAATATTCTAGCTGGTGCGGATTTTATTACAGGATTAGATTGGACAAATTATCTAGTATTATATTTTAGATTCCGAGTGTATCGAGTGTATATGTGTTTGATCATATTATGATGCGTTTTTTTCTCTGCCTGTAAAAAAACTTTCTACCTGAAACCTTGTTCCGATTATGAAGTTTAGCATTTTTTTTTTTTTTTTTTTTTTTTATGTTTTTTGTAGTTTTCTTAAAAGTTTGGAAAAACGGGAAATATTTTGTTGAATTTTCGTTTAATTCCGGGTTACCACAGAAAAGAAGGAAAATTACACGGCTATAATGCTACTAATACTACTCTGCTATTAGATTCGTTTTTCCGTTTACATTAATTTATCGTTGCATACCATACGTAAACTAAATTTCCCTGATGTGTATACTATCTTCCCAACTACACACTGAGAAGTATTACCTATTTAAAAATAATATATTGCGTGTAACAAATATTATGGAATTAGTAATTTTGTATTTACTCACTTCGAAGGTCTTATAAATTTAATTAAAATAAACATAATGATGTCGTAAAATGTCAATGTAATTCAAACTTAAAATACACGTATTTATGAGTACCTAAGAAAAAAAACCCACTAAGTTTTTAAATTTTAAAATATTACTGTTAAAATATACATAAGAAGTCGTGTAATACATTCATTTAAGGTTACCTAAAATTCGTAATTACAATTTTAAATTGGTTATTGTATAATAATATAAACCAGTCGAATTTAACCAGTTAAATAATAAATTGGATCCAGATGGTACTTTAGAAAAGATAATATTAATTTATTCCAATAGGTTCCCTAATATAGTACAGTCTATTTACGAGGCCGGATCTAAGTATAGATCTCCGCCCTCATTTCTGTTTTTTTGTATACATATAATTATTAAATTACAGTGAAATAATGTATAGATTTTAATTGATAGTTTTGAATTTAACAAAGGAAAAAAAAAATTAGAAAGAGAAAATATTCCGTGATTCTATAATCACGATAATAGTGTACAATGCGCAGTCACCGTGGTAAAATTGCGAGTAAATTGTCCATGCCTTATCTTAAAATTATCAACTATAATGTTAATTTGAAAATAAAAATTATTTTATCAAAAGTGAAGTGGACGCGTACATTAGTGGTGGGAAAAATCCGGATTTTCGGATTTTGAAATTTTTATCACATCACTAGTATACTTAGTACATACATATATTGTACACACACAGACACACCTATGGGGGGATAGTCACTCACCGATTTTTCCATGGATTTTTTGTGTCCGCTCCCTAAAAAAAAAAATACTAAGTACGTCAATGCCCCTGAGCCGTAAATTACAAGTACCGTTAATTCGAACAATAAATTATAAATAATTAATAAACGTAGTTTGTCAAAGTAGGCAATCAAACATAAATTTTCTCCGAGTACGAAAACGGTACGCGCGAAAAATGTCGACAAAATATTGTCGGCAGTGGCGTAGCCAGGATTTTTTTTTAAGAGGGGTGTTTTTATTTTGTGTTTAGATGTAACTTTGTAACTTTTTTGTGCACATGTAATACACATAACATAAACTTAATAATTATCTACATTCCATACGTTACATAGCACATCTCGCAGAAATCTGATGCATAATTGCATATAGTAAAAATTATAATTTTTGTCATAAATAAAGCCGAAGGGGGATGTTTGGAACACTGAAACACCCCTCCTCGCTACGCTACCGATTGCCGGTAAAAGGCAAATAAGGTAGGTATTCGTTTTAAACAAAATCGGTAAATAGATTAGATGTACGCACACGTTCATATTTCCACGTTATATTGTTGCTCTGTCTCTAACCGGAATGATTTTTTTTTAACGATAACGATTACGTTCTTTCAGTCTAATGTTTTTCACAGCAAACGCCTCGAGTTTCATTCGAATATATTCCCCTCCGTGACCGGATACTTTTGTCCGGAAAAACCGTCGGACATTCCGGAACACTGTCCGAATAGTATTTAATGTCTAAAGTAGTTCGGACGCGGTCGGCTGTATTCGAATAGTCCGGTAGCACAACCAATCAGTGGCGCACAACCGTTTATTATGACTACTGCGTTAACGAATAGACCTGACACACAGTGCACTATTACTGTGCGACAATATGCGCTCGCGAATCCGCAATAATATCGTAAACACGCGCTGATCATGATGCCATATAATGTAATATTGGACTCGTGGAGTCCTGCGGCTTGTGGGATTCTGGGCTCGGTTACCGTGGCCCGTGCGCCGGCCACGGTGTGGGAAGTGAACTGAAAAACCGCCCGCGGTATACCGTTCACAGGCCGTACGCTGTCAGCTTGTCGAAACAGTATTTGTGTTACATAATGTTATACACACACATATACGTATATATTTTATAACAGTAATAATATTGCGAAAATAATAATATTTAAATCATATCGGCGGCTTTAAAATATTCGTTTGTTTTACGTTTTTTATTTATTTGTTATTATTATTATTATTTTTTTTTTTTCATCGAAACGCCATTGTTATAACCAGTGTATTTTAAATCGTTGAGAAAAACAGCCTAATATACTCCGGGTGTACATTTTACTATACTGTCATACCGAATACTTCAAAACGGAACGCGTGTGTTCGACAACGCAATGGCGTATATTAGGCATACCTGCGTTATAATATTATTCGCACGTTTTTTGATGTTGTTCTACCGGTGTTAGCTAATTCTTCGTAACCTTGGCTCGTGTTATACATTATATCGTACATAATATAGGAGGTGCGCAGGTATAGTAACGCAGACACGCCGAAGAGGAAATGTAAAAGAATATACCACCTGTATCTATAATGGCCGGTCGCGTATACATGAATACCACCAGCGACGAGTTTTTTCACTTTCAAATTTCGATTTATTATTTAACGTTTCGTCTTTAAAAAATAAAAATAAAAAACCCATTTAACATCCGAGTAATACAATACCGTTATACATTGTATTATGCGTTTATAACGCTGCGTACATTATTTTATAATAATAATAGTATATTATGATATTATTATGTCATTGAACGGTTTTTTTTTTTTTTTAATAATTATTATACAAACAAACCGTTTGTATTACAAAGAGGATTATCCGTATTGTTTAATAAATACAATAATCTTATCTATTGTTACACTATATTGGTGCACTGTAATAAATCCGCCTCGTGATAATACGTGGATATAGGTACGCTCACCCATCCTCTAAAAAAAAATCACCCGATGGAAAATATAGTTGGATACATATGAATTATTTATTAATTTTAATTACAAAATAAAATATTTACATTATTATTGTTTGGAATCGAGCGTAATATTTTCATTTAAAATGTATATGTTAAACTCTTTATGTAACTACATATTATTATAGTCATCATTAAAATTTGGATTTCTTAATATTTAAAATTGTACGGTACCTATTGTATAGGCAAACATTTTTAGTTGATACCTGTTCGTTCGACTAATTCTCAGTTTGTTAGTGTATTTCGAATGTATTTTATTCAACAATCGTATTCACCTGTAAGCAGCTCTTTATACGGGATTATTCAAAGACTTTATATAATGTAGCCAATATAGGTATTGGGTATTATGTTTAAAGAAATAAACTCATTATACCGTTATTACTAAAGACACGAATACTATTATAATACACGTGTGTTGCACATTTTCGTTCGAAACGAAAATCATTATATCGAGCACGTATTTTCAACAGCAGTGGTTAAGTATATACGTAAACAAATGTTTAACGCATATAGCGTTGTGCTATAATCTCTCTAAATTAGCAAAAAATTGCGGTTCTTTCGTCCTACAATCGCGGTGGAGCTGTATACTGTAATAGATTCGGTGCGTATTTATCCATGTAAAATCTTATCATTGGAAATTGTTTAAAAAAAGTACCACTGGGCAAAAATTCCGCATCTTCTGATGTATGGCGTGAAAAACTCTGAGTATTTTTACTAGCAGAAAAAAATGTTTTCCGAGAAAAAAAACCAAACACGTCATAATGGTGTTAAGCTATATAGTTAGAAGCTATGATAATAGCTCGTATACGGCGTAATTACATCATAATATTACTATTATCTATCTACTTAATACTAATATGCATACCTATAGGTATAGACGGTTAAACGGACATCTTTATAATATATACGATGATGATGGCGATAAAACGAGAGGGATAGAACGATGATGTTATAATGGATATATGTATACTGTATATAGGCGGAGGGAAAGAGAGAGAAAAAAATCAGTTCACAGTGAAAGTTTCGTCCTCTGCAGGTCCCGTACACACTATACACATACACTACATATATAATGCTAAACGAGCATACGTATACACCACTAAACGCACACACACACACACACACACACACATTTACAAAGAACACATAGAACACACACACATATTTTTACGTCGAGCGCGAACTATATGGAATTATTCCGATACAAGACCAGAATGGCACGCGTGATAGCTGACGCGTAACACTATTGTTCAGCGATCCTGATGTAATCATCTCGCGGCTACATGTACGACGTATAATATTCGTGTATAATAATAATAATAATATATACCACTTTCGTTTGAAAAAAAATATAATAATAATAATACTTTCTCAATGCCACCTCAATGCACTTCTTATATATATGTACTTACCTACCTGCCTAATACCCATAATATAGAATAACAATACGATTTGAGAACAGACTCGTCTGCGTCTGCTGTCTCATGCGATGTTGTTATTTGAAGGCGAATGATCTATTCGCAACCGTGTGATTCTTACCGTTTTTTTTTTTTTTTTTTGTTGTGCATTAAACAGAAAAAAAAATGTTTAGCTTCAAATATTGTTACTACATTTATAGCCTTAGGCGCGAAATCATTATATGATCCATGCACATATTACAAAAATTCAACTAAACGATACGTCTGTTGGATATAAACATAATTAGATTATGTTGGATAATGTATCATGATTTTACGAATATAGATGCAAAGTTTTTCATTTAAATACATGCAGTTTATCCCTGGCATAAATTTATAACTCGGCAAATAAGAACAAACAAGAACTGATGAGAAATGATAATTGTACAAATCGGTAAAAAATCGAACACTAAATCCGGTAGTAATTTAAATGTCAACGTTGAAATTCGAAACAAGATCGTACAACAAAATATTATCAAACTATTAAGTTTTGGAATGTATATAATCATTTTTATTGAACATCACTGAATTTCGGAAGACACGCTTAGTAATTATAGTCCGAGTATGTTTAAACGATATTTTGAATTAAAAATAAGGTATCTATTATTTGTTTCAGTACAAAAATGACATTTAAAAATGTATATATGAAAAAAAAAATAGCCAGTTCATTGGAATTAGGTATTTGATATATCGAGTGCTCCTCGTAAGTTACATGATACCCATGATCACTCGGGTTGGTCACTATTGGTTGTTACTTGTTGTATAGTGGAAAAATTGGAAAGGTAGGATATAATGTAAGAAAATTTAATTTATATTATTTGCAATGTGAAAAAATTAATCCATTGATAACAAAAAATATTCTGAGCAAAGTTTGGTTTATTATGTTATGGTAAACCGATAGTAGCAATGATTGGAAGTTGGATAGTGCAGATAATTTCAATTAAATTGCCTTATTTTTGTACTGTAGTGTTGAAAAAAATTTTGGGTAAGTACCTAATTATTAACAAGTTATTAATAAATTGTATTTTGTATTAGTTTATAAATACAAAATGAATTACAACAGTCCGTGTTTTTCGTATCAGATTTTTAAGCATTTTCATAGAGCCAAAACAATTTTATTTACGATAATCAAGAAATAGTACCTACATAAAATGTCATGATTTTTCGATCTCCGTTATAATTTGAAGTTTAAATACTTATAAATAGAATCGTGATTGCATATTTTGCAAATGCTTTGGATTACGATAAAGTTCAACTAACTGATAAAATGTTTTTGGTGGGACTGAACTAATTTGACCACCGACTAATTGAAGTACCTACATCTTATCTCACACTGTTGGAAGTAAAGATAAAATCTTATTAAATTATACATTTAATGAACAACAAATTTAATGGTTAAATGTAGGCAGGCAGTGCGTTGAGTCGTATGAAACAGTTAACCGTTGTTGTTTCTAAATTAATTTACAAACGTCATTAGAATGTTAAGTAATATTTATATAAATGTTGCATTATAAATGAATTAATTTTTACTGCTTTCATAAAAGAATGATGGAAATAGATAAATTTGCTTGATGCAGAACGGAAAGAGGGGAAGGTGAAAATTTTGGGGAAACTGCAAAATAGCCAGGGGAGAGTAAGCGTTTCGGATCTACGATAGTCGGACGCAGAGAAAAGGTCGGGAGAATAAAAATGAAAGCGGGTGGCGATTAGTCGTAAACGTCAAAATTCATTATTATAAATAGGTACCTAAATTAAAAAGAAAAAAAACGCATAAGCATCAGAATCCCGTCACTATAGCGTCGAATTTTTCTCAAGCTAGTTAGCTAATAATTATAGCGCGTATGATAATAAGTTTATCATCATTACAATGTTGCATATTTTGTTTTACTATGTTAACGAAATTAAATACTATTTTTTTTTTGTCAAAACAGAAAAAGTAATTCTCGTGAATTTCGTTAAAACACAAACAGACGGTGGGATCGGAGGTTGAAAATTCAAATCTTCTCAAGGCAGATTCTCGACAGCAATTATATTTATATTTACATATTTTAACCAAGCTACTTATTTTTATGAATCTGTAAGGGTATTTATAATCCGTTATTTCCCGTGAAGACATGAAATCTGAGCATACATAATATGGTCTTTGGAGAGCGTTGAAATTTGAAGCCACCAAAACGCACATTCTTGATACTTATACTACTATGTTTATAAAACGTTTCGTCAAAATTCTGGTTTCATTTGGACAATTTGTAGGGCATACAAAGTTAAAAGAACACCCTCCTACTATAACAACATAGTAAAATTCATATTGAAATTCGACTAAAGTTGTATCACTTCAATCCACCTATAAAACACTAATATTCTCGAGTTTGAGCTCTTTTGTTTAATGGGTACCGTTCAAAGTGTCAAAATGTTCCGGAGAAAAAATATATAACAGACACAATACAGTCCAATTATTTCTGTTTACGGGGAAAATTCGATAAAAACTAACATTTTTGTAATAATAGGAGACTAACATAAAAGAAACCGACGATCATAGTAAAATTAAAACAGATAATATCCCAAATGAATATTTGTTGAAAAGTGTTATTAACAATTCGTTACTATTGCCATTTATCAAGCATAATTGTTAGGGTCTAATGTGATTTATAATTTATTATAAATTTAAAATACTGAATTATGAACATATAAACAATATTCAATAAATTTAAAGTGAAGGCGTTTTAATATTATATACTTGTACGTGTGTGAAAGTGTAACCATATTTCTATAGAATCTTCATGGATTCGTGAAGTTTGTGGTCACCTATAAATTTTACTCGTGTTTTTTCGTAATTTCTCGTATTTTTTAATAATAATAATAATAATAATAAAACGTGATATTTAAGCCAATATATTTTCATTTCTTTTTCTGTTTATTAAAGAAAATAATATGTAGACACTTTTTTTTCTAAGTACATATTTTTATCGAATCAATAATTACGGTCTAAAGCGTGATAAATATTATATGATTTGGCACAGTTCCAGTACAGTTCAAGCAGTTACTATACTACGCATATTGATATAGGTATAATTTTTGATTCCAGATCATACAAATTTATATAATATTATAAGTATATTGATTTTAATTCATTGGCAATGAAACGTTCTTGATGTTCCTATATATAAAATATTAATATTATGTATATTGATTTTAAATCACAGGTAATCAAGTGATTCAATTCAATTAGAAATCGCTTTAGTATTTTATACGTTTATTTTGAAATAGCCAACTGTAATATTATAATACTGTATAATATAAACTGTATTAATGTATAGTATAGGCGGTGAAAAAATTCGACTTTATTGGAATATTTAAATAGTATAAGTTAATTTCGATTAATTTCAGTAAATGAATATCCAATCGTACGTTCCTGATGTTCCTGTATACAAAATATTAACATTATGTATGTTGTAATAATTCACCATATAACTGCAAATATTATGTAAAATTATAATATATCAGTTGTATATAATGTATAATCAATTTCCATATTATATTCAGAATCCGAATATAGTTGAGTAATAGTTGAGTAACATGCTTGTAGTATACTAGATGATTATGCAGATGAGTTTATTAGTAAATCTATTAAGGTATTTAAACAAAAAACAAATATAAAAAAAAATCTAATCGTTTAAACAATAAAGACGTGTTGGTTTTAGGTATCGCGGCGATAGGTAAATGAACACGATATCGTGATTTAAGTCCAATAAACTTGTACACACATAATATTATAAATTTTAATTCGGATCGTGTCTATAATATCACATGTTATGCATTTCTATACCGTAATAATACTTTTTTGTTTGTCAACGTATTTTTAATCGGAAAGTATATATAGGGTCGAAAAATGGCTAACGCACGTTTGAATGAATATTTTATTTTTTTTTTATATATTTACGTTGAAAAAAAATTATTTTTGTTTGCTATGCTCCGTAAAAATTTACGAACAGTGCCTAATACGTATAATATATATTATATACAATAATTTGGTAAATATATGACATTTCATTCGATTTGATATCAACAATGTGAAAGTCTTTTGTTTAAAAAAATATATATATATATATATATTAATGATTAATGATTATGATAATAAAACTATGTACATTTATAGTTGAAAGATAAAAAGTGAAAATTATAAACGTACCTATATTATTGTAATATTATTAATAATAATAATAAAAATAAATATAATTTTATACCATATAAACTTCGTATAACATATATATTTTAAAGAGTATACAAATTAATCCGGTGATCGTATTTACAATATATTTAGACTGAAGTCGTTTTTTTTTTTTTTTTTTTTTTTGTAGTACAATTTATTTTGCATATTATTACTATCTATGGGAATTATTGAAACGTAACGGTATTGTGCTGCAAGAACATATTATCTGTCTAAACCTAGGTAGTTAATTATTACAAAAATAAACGTTTGTTCCATAATCGTTTTCATAAATAATACTCATATTTTATGCTTTTTACACATTTTAATTGATGTTTTTAGAACGTGAATAAGAATGTCAAGAAGAATGTTTGTGTAACTTTAAAATATTGAAAGTTTTTTTTTTTAACTTTCTATTCTAAACGGTTAATGAATTGAGTTTATTAAATAATTAATAGTAAGTACCTATATGAAAAGCATATATACTTTATTGTTTAAATGTAACTGTTTAGTGTTTCTATCAATTTTTTATATATATATATATATATATTTATTTGAATAATCAAAAATTGTCTATACTCACACCGAAAACATTAACAATTATACGAAAAAATTATTACATATAAATAAGGTAGTAATTGAAAAAAATATTTTGTCATTTCGTTGAAAACAATAATAGATTAAACTGTTGTATATTTTTTTGAGTAAAGGTCAGTGGCAGATTAAAGAGGGCGAGAGTGCTCGGTAAACTTCCCTAAATCCTGTACATGTATCTTTTAGTGCTTCGATAACGTGTTTTTTATTGACGTATGTGTTTAATATTATTATGAAATACATTGGAGTCTTCCCCATCCCAAATAAAAATCCTAAAATCGCCACTGATAATGGTAATCGCACTTTTTCCATGTACGTATCTATTAACTAACTATCGGTCGACGTGTGAAAAAATGTGAAAGCTCCTTTTGATCATTCGTATACTAAATGTGTAGGTTCTGACGATCAAAAAATATGTTTGAACTATTCTGAACTCGAGATCAAAACATTCTTTCATCTTGTGCAGCGTATACGTATAGTCAGAAGTGTATAAATATATGTATTTTTAATGACAAACAACCCATAGATAAATGTAATATGATTAGTCATTAGTGAAAATATCTCACAGTAAATTCTACAGGTATAGTATATCAACTTATTGGCTATTGTTTATAATTTGAAAAAGGTGGACATAGTTCACACCGCACGGGTATGCCACTGTTGTGTAGGTGGGAACTTTGAAAGGTTTTGAATGTAGAGTAATTTAGTTTATTTACTGAAAGTAATGATAAATCATTACGATCAAAAACCGAGTATTAGCGAAGTTTGGTAAACTGGTAAGGTTTGTCATCATCACGCACACCTTAAAAGATCTTCAAGGCCTAAAACTGGCACCGACAAATTCCTCAATTCTTCTCTAGCATAATATGATACAGATTCTGTGTTGTATACCGGATATATTTTAAAATAGCTAAATAAACATAAGATATAATTGCTAGAAGAATTATTTAGATACAGATAAAACATAAACAATATAACAATTTAATTATCCAGCTATAAATAAATAATCAGTAACTTTTTATTTAGAGTTTTAAAAAGTGTTTCAAGTAAAGTACTTAGTGCTGGGCAGAAATTTCGCACAGATTCGATACGGTATGAAAGACATATGAAAGACGGTATGTAAGAGTCAGACAATTTTTACTGATCAAAAATATGTTTTCCGAGAAAGAAAACACATTTTAGTAAAACCGATACTTTTTTATATGTGTCATCCCTCCCAACTTCCTTCCTACTTCTACAACAGTGATCCATCCATCAGCAGTATCAGATTCAGTATCAGTCAACAATATATGTCATATTATGGTAAAATAATTAAATAGGCACTATATATTTTCTTTAATAATATTTATTTGAATCATATATTCTTTTAGAAAAAGTGCTATCAATGTAAATCGGAGCGAAATTGCTGATAGAAAAGTTGTCTACAGAAAAACAAAACCGTAATATTTGACTAATGTATTTAGTGCATTTTCACGTTTTTTTTTTTCCATTTTTCATGATTTTTTCCATTTATTGGGAAAACTCCTGGGAAAATCAAAAAATGACTTCCTCAAATTACCATAGAGATAAAATTTCCTTTCAAAAAATAAGCTACACTTGATACATCAGAGCAAGATTTTCGGTATAAAAGTTTGTAAAACCAATACATTTTTCGCTATACTCAAAATCTAAAAGCTGTCATAGGATAATGGGGACGGGTGCAGCCACTGTTATAAGTAATTCAATGTAATCCGTAAGCAACGATTAACTATTGTTAATAAAAAAACGATTCTGAGTGGAGTTTGGTCGATAGTATTGCTTTGTCAACAATATATATGACATATTATGATAAAATAATTACATATGTATTATCTGTTTTTTTTAGAAATATTTGTTTAATATTTTACCTATTTAATCGTTTTTCCTACGTATTTCCCGGTTTTCCATGTTTTTTTCCCATTTATTGGGAAAACTCCTGGGAAAATCTAGAACTATAAATTAGAGCAAAATTAATGGTAGAAAAGTTGTTCACAGGAAAAAAAAAGACCATAATATATTTTTACTAATACCTACATTTCGATATATTTTCCCGGTTTTTCCCATTCGTTCAGAAAACTCCTAGGAAAATTAAAAATTGTCTACCCCAGTTTGATTTCCTATCAGGAAAAATACTACACTTGAAAATCGGAGAAAGATTTATGATAGACAAATTGTTTACAGATAAAAAAATAATAATAAATTAACATCATTGCAAAACCAATAAATTCCTCGCTCCTCTCAGGATCTAAAATATGTATAATTTTTGTTCTACAGCGTTATACAATTTCACGAGTATACGTATTTTGAAAATTTGCATTCATATTACATTCGTATAGAAGATAATTACTAATTTATTATCTATTTTTTGTTTTTAATGATTTATTCCTTTGTGTGCACTTTTCAATCATTTCTCGAGTATCATATTTATTATTTTATGCATTCTTACCGTCCCATCGATTCACGTCAAAAGGGTTGGATAAACAAATTACAATTTACGTCGGTTTTACTATACTGCACGTGTTTTAAACGTTTTTTTTTTTTTTATACAGTAGGTACACCTAAACGAGATTTAATTAACTAATATTTGTGCTTATATTGGAAAATTTCAATTTTTAACTTGTGTATATTTGCATGTTTTACCCCGACGGGTAAAACATATCACTGGGCACAATATCATTTCGTTGACAATGATAAGCGAAATAGGTACAAATACGTCGACGGCCGGCGCTCGGCGAGCGCCCATTTCAATTAGCGAAAATGTTTAAAACCGGAGTAGCGTACTAGATTTTTAACATTCCCATTCAAGTACATTGAGTACCTGTATCGTCGTTGCCGACAGTCGTATTTTAATAAATATTATTGAAAATATTAAAAATCGTACGCGTGTGATATTGTCGCATAATGTGGCGGATTAAGTGTATTTAATGAGATAAATAATCTATCTAACATTATCGCGGGCTCCGACCCGGTTTTTTAACGACTAGAAATTTGTTTCGGGGCCTTTATATTATTATTATATTGTATATCATGTGTATGATATTTGCGTATAACGCGCTGTGGCTCGTCAAAGTGAACGCGCGCGTGTGTGTAGACCATGTATCGTGCATTATAAAAATGTATATAATAATATACAATAGTAATTATCGCAATAGACATCAATATTTCATAATGTAAAAACTGGCGGAAAAACCGTTCGAATTTTCCGCAACGGACCATAACGGTGCTGCGCGGCCGAAACACAATATGCCAAAATAAAATATCCACACTGCGGCTCGTGCGCGCACACGCATACAACGGACAAGTGCCTACAATGTAGGTGTATAATGCACGCCTATAGTAAAAAATATACACTGCACAGCATACATAAACGTGCAGTACGACAAACAACAATAAATTTATTATACACCGCTAGAACAGTGCCTATATACAACATTATATACGCGCACATATACACACCCGGGTATTTCACAAAACGAGATTAAACATAATAATACGTGGTATTACAGACGACGGGGTCCACCCGAAGTATTGTAAAAAAAAAAAAAAAAAAAAAAAAAAAAAAAAAAAAAAAAAAAATAATAATAAAAAAATGTGGTAATTGGGCTACGGCGGCGGCGTGAGCTGAAAAACTGGTAGCGGTTTTTTCCATTTTTTTTTTTTTTTACAGCGCCTTCCCTCTCGCCCCTCTCCTCCCACATTATCTCTTCCATCATAATATTACACTATAAGGTGACTCCGTTCTATTCCGCCGTTCCTTCTCCGTTCGATTCCGATAGGTATTATATTATATCTTATGTATACATATTTTTATTATACCACTCCGCAGTCTACACGTATCGCCTACCTATCTACCTATATATGTATCTCATGCGGTTAGACTAGTCAAGGTTGTAATGGTCACACCCAAGTATATACACGTATTACAGATATACCTATTGCAAATCCAATAATATAATATATTAATAACATAGTACTAATGATAATAATGATAATAATAATAATAATAAAAACGGGTTTCTGGACCGGGCTGATTAAAACTGGTGTTTGGATATATTAATGTTGTTACAGGATTTTTATATTCAGAACATTGTTCCCGTCGCCGTCGCCCCGTTAATATATTACGATTTTCGGTTAACGATATTCTAATACAACCTGCAATACAACTGCAATACGACTTCGCATAAGTAGCGGTTTTTGATTTACGACCAATGCAAAACGCACGTTACGTACCTTTGCATAATCCGTAACATACCATTCAGTGTATATCGCATTATGTTTATCAGTTTATATTTAAGGTTTCAAAATCTATGTACGGGCCAGTGATCGAAATAGGGAAACAAACGAGGACGGACGCTGGTTTGCTATAGCAAATAAATGTTACAGCAATCGGTAGGCGGTACTCTCTGCACAAAGTAAATTAAATGATTAATTTCAATATGGAACAGAAAAAATAAAACGTCACAGTAAAACCATTATTAAGCAAAAAAAAAAAAAAAGTAATTTCTTTAATTTTAGTGATGCTCTCCTAAAGAAAAATTTTGTGGACACTGCCCCTAATATGAGCACGAATTTGGGCTATTTGGAGATAAAGTTCGAAAAATTTAAACAATATTTTAAAGTGGTTTAAAGTATTTTAAAAACAGGAGTGCATTAGGCCCTCCGTTCTAGAAAATAATCGTCCCAAAAAATTCAGTCGAGAATATAATTGTGAAAAATGCAGCATGGGGGCGTCCAAACTTCTAAAACCTTTCTATCAGATACGATAGGTCCAGTAAATGTTCTGAATTTATCATGGGATATTAAAAACACAAATTTTCGATTAACCACTAAACTTGATTAATCAATAATAATAATATCATAAATAATGTAAACAATAATCATGATTCGTGAATTAATCGTAGAGTCGTCTTCTGTTATACTTAACCCATTAGTCATCAATAAGTATTTAAAAGACAGATTAAAAAAAAACTAATTTGTATTCAAGGTTTTTTTTTCGTGTAACTTGGCTAAAATATATAATTTCATGATAAAATCACTAAATAAACACTTACCGATTGTTGGATTTAATGCCAATGGTGGGGGGTAGTGGTAGGGGTTATAAACCTCCTTGTGCACGACACCGTCTTTATTTAAAAGTATATTATATAATTATATTACTTTGCACCACCGACGATATGACCATATTCGTTACGATGATGTGTTCATTTCGTTAAAATACAAGAAGTACCTTAATATTAAAACAAATGCATAATGATTTGGGTTTTTTTTTTTTACATTTCATACTTCAGAATACTAATACAACATATATTTATGTACTTATAGCAGTTTTAAAAATTGTTCAACATTAATACGGCAGTGATTTAGTTATTGATTCACCATAATAATTGTCATTATGTATTCGACAACATATTATTATGGACCGTCACGATTCTTGGCATAACCGAAATATCGACTTTTTTACCATATAGTATAATTTACCTATCTTAATTATGCCATACTGATCAAATTCATTTTTTTTTGTTGTTTTTAAGTGTATTTACTCGTCGGGACGTATATTTACATAATATGTATTTGTGATTACAAATACATATTATAAAATAATACACAATTATTCACGATGGTCGTTTAGTCTTTATTTATGGCGAAATTGACTTTCATTGAATTTTACGCGAAATTCGTTTTTAACACTGCTGTTATTTAAATTTATTTGACAATTCCATATATTTAAAATGTGGAAATAATTGGTGTATTTAAAATTAACTACTTCAAATGTTTGATTATTTTTGTTAATAATTGTTAATACTTGGCCGAATACAATTTTATTACGTTTAAACACTTTCATAGAACTTACCATAAATAGATAATAAATTAAAGTTACTATCAGTTAGACTTCACTTCCTTTAAATAAAAACAAAATATAAGAGAATAAATATAGATCAGTCGTATTTGTAATTACAAGTAGGTAGTGGGATGGAAGATACAATTGATTATGTAAATTATCATTATTGCAATACAGTTTTAAAACAGCCGTGCGTTAAAGTAAACATGTTTAGTGGCGTATCCAGGGGGGGGGGGTTAAGATGTTATAACACCTCCCCATTGCTTTATTTTTTAGCTATAGGTAAGCTTAAGAAGATTGTAGAACCCCTTAAATCTTCTTAGGTACCTCTAATCATTGATAAATTCTGGCTACGCCAGTGAAAATGAGCCTTCGTGATCCTTAATCAGTGCGGCAGTGACCGATTTTTTTTTTTATATAATAACTATACATGATCAATAATATTTTCAATAGATTTCCATTTGATATTATTTGTATAGTTTGAAACATATCTCGAGTCGCATACGGCTCAATGAAATAGTCTTGTGAATTTTGTTTCAACTTTTATCATAATAATAATTATGTTTTATTTGTTTCAGACTGAAATGAGACGGCTCAAAATCATATTCATTTGTAAGCTGACAATATGTAAGTAAATTTGAAAATTTAAAAATTCGTTATTATGTATTATGGGATATTTTTTTTCGAATGGGTTTTTGTTCACTCAGAGTGATTATGTTTTTTTGAACACGTTTTTTGTTTTAGTAAAAAATATAGGTACATTGTCAAACATTATTTATTCTAAAAATTATTTTGAGTATTATTTATTAGAGAAAAAGAATATTTGTCGAAAAATTTCGAATCAAACATTTCCTTAACCCGATATGACATGATTATACAGTGAAATCTTCCTGTAACGAACCCTTGGGGGAAATTATTATAATTGTTATCCAGTATAAGTGGTATGTTGTTACGACATTGAATTACTCCATGGACTATGAACTGGTATAATATAAGCATTGTTGTTCTACAGATACTTTAAAATTGATGTCCATAGAGAAGTTTTTTCCTAATGGAAGGTATTATTTGTAGCCTGCAGGTAATGATTTAAGTTATACGACGTTTATTTAAATAGCTTGTTTATGCTTGGTTTCGTTGTAGGAATACAAATATTCGATTTATAAAACCGTTTAAGTATTAAAATTTTAGAATATATAATTGTATTAATATAATTATTAATAAATGTATCATATTTCTTAAAGGCTTCTGAATACATTTTACTTATATAGGAAGAACCTTGAAAACAGTATCGATGCGTGTTTATGAAAGTCATTGTAGCAGGGCGTTGTCTGTCTTGACGCTATTTAATTTTAATCAATGTCTGCAAAAAATAAGTGATAATCTAGCGGTTTCTTAAGAAATATCGATTTTTTTTTCTTTCTATCTTTTGAATATTACAAATCGTTTCGCGGGACGAACAAGAGAATAACACTGATAATAGGTACCTACCTATTATATACAGTAATTTTACACCTGACCAATATTTTAATTGTTCATTTTTCCTACAAATCGTTATATAATTTTGATTTAATATCCTATGCTTATGTGGTCAAGTATAGGTACAAATATAAACAACAGTTATGTACTTCGACTGGGTATTATGGTACCTACTCTACTTATATTATTATATGGTCATTGATTAAATCTACATATATCATACGTTTGTAATCTCGAATCTGGTTTATAAATCGCGAATAAATGCATTCGTGACTATATGTCTCTTATTATGAACTGGTTGACGCAACCGAATAAACACCGCGGGCTATTGTCCTCGTATGCAATAGTATGTGACAGAATACAATATTCTGTAGCTGAGACACGGCCGATTATTATTCTAACACTGTTACTTGGCGTCTTGGCTGGGTGTTATCACTGGGTAACCTCCCTAAACTTAAATTCACCTTTAATTGTATTTTTTCTTTGTCTTTTATCAAACCTATTTATTGTACATAACTATATAGAATGTAGATTACTTTCAAAAAAAGAAAAAAACCATTGTTACTTGAATGTGTATTATAGGTATTAGGATTCTTCTGAAAATTTAGTATCGAAAATCAACAACGCGTACTCGCATAAGTACTAAGGTTTTTTTAAAACCCCTCTCATCATATAGTTTTTTTTTCGAATTAAATAAAATACCCGTGGATAGCAAAGTTCTGTCATTAGGGTCAAATATACTCCTACCCCGGCTAGTTTTTTTTTTTTTTTAAATGTAGACATATTGTTTGTAAAACAATAAATAACCTAAAAATGTAATAGTACAATACTATATATACTATACTATTGCAACTATGTTATTTCCAAAAAAACAAAGTGGTGAAATTTGAGCATAAAAATCGTAGAGACGGGTGTGGAAAGTTTCCAAAAGACATATTGTTGATACTAACGTCATATGTATACAAAATTGCATCCATATAAGGGAACGGAGTCAATAGGGATGTTCAAACTTTGGTTGGGAAGTTGTTGAGTGCAGTCCTGCGGAGGTTTATAGGTATTGAAATTCCCTTCCTAATGAATACCTAAAATACCATTTCCTAAAATTCGGACTTAGGTATTTTTAGTATTAAAATCGAATTATTATTGTTGATTTATTGGCTACCTTAGTAATACGGATGAAAAAAAACATTGCTGTTAATTTTTTTATTGCAATCCCTGTGCTGTGTGGGTAGGTAATAACATATTTTGATAATTAATCCATTAACTTTATTTAGAAACTTTTTATTGTACGGACAAAGCCGGATGAGACATTTTGTAGTTATATAATTACTAATATTATTAATTTCTAAAAAATACATCTTTATTTGTATCTGTAGAATATTTAAACCAAAAAAAAAAAAAGATGCCTATAAAAGGAACACAAATAAATGCTTACTCGTCCCACACATCTCTATATGTTAATGAATTACAGATAATAACAGATTAAATACAGATTAATACTATTATTTTTTTAAATTACTTGTAATATTACAGCTTCTGCAATTTAGTTAATTTTCATATTTTATATAGGGTGTCCCACGAATATATACCCATTACGATATCTCCTAAGATAATAAAGATAACCAAATTTTGTTTTTTTTTTTTTTTTTTAAATATTAATCGCAGGGATAAAAACTACAAACATTTATATTTGAATTAAATGTTTATATTTTAACAAAACAACCTAAAAAAATAACTTTTTATTTTATTATTTTTGAAAAATTTAAATATTTTTTTTTTTATAGAGTTTATTCTTCTGAACATTTTGAAGTATCAACTTTTTATTTTCATTAAATTGATGATTTCTATTAAATTTTTAAATTTCCGAGAAAATTACCTATAATTATGCAACAGGCTATAATCGCATTCGTTAATTGATATTGTTATCATTGACTGTACCTTCACTTTCTTTCTCTGAACTTAAAAAGTTTTTTTTAATAATTTTTTTGCCAAAACAAAAAAACTAATTGAAATAAATATATTTGTCCTTGTCTCTGTGAATAATAATAATAATAATGTATATAAAAAAAAAAAAACAAAATTTGATTATCTTTATTATCTTTGGAGGTATTATTATGAGTATATTTTCGTGGTACACCCTGTATAATGCGTAGAAAAATGGAAATTGAAAATGGAAACTATAAAACTATATCGAGTATTAAAGAGTAACAAAAGAAAAAAAAAAAAAATCGAAAAATATTTGTCCAAATTGAAGTAATATTATATTTTTAGATGGTACTCTGATCTATAAAAGTAGAAATTTAATTATATTACGTTATGTAGTAGGTATACGAGGTATACGAGACGTGTATATACAAATTGTAGTGTAAAAATGACACGTTGCAAAATATCGTAAAAAACGACGTCGTATACGTAATATTATTTACTCATATATGATATATATATATATATATGTATCCAATCTTATAATATAAAATCGGTACCAATAAGATGCATAAAAAACAAAATTCCTTAATGAAAAATAAAAAGTGTCCTTGAATAAACTTTTTATATTTTTTATAAAGCGTGCATGACTCCATTAATATTATTATTTTAATAATAACAATAACAATAATAATAATAACATGAGTATATAATGAAACGTGTATTCATTGCAATGCGTTTTTTTCTCTACACATGTAATTTATTCAAAAACTGTTCGGATCGGATTTGAATGGTTTATACCTTTAAGTATTAATTTTTTTTATACGTGCGGTTCTTTATGATATCATTATGCATTCGATTAACCAATGATTGTTGCTCGAATATGTTATTGTTTATTTCTAGGTACCTATAGGTACTGAACTAGGTACTAAAGAAATGTATGGCCGTACCTATATAGTTGAAAAAAAAATCAAAAACATAATTATATACTACTAAAACACGGATATTAAAATTAATTCATTATAATAATTGTTGCCGTGCGATTATTTCTAGGTAGACACTGAACTGCTAAAACAATTTATGGTCATACCTAAAGCTAAAACAAAAAAATCAAAAACATAACTTATACAAGATTAAAATATGGAAATCAAAATTAATTCACTATAATAACTGTTGCCGTGAATTCGCTAACATAATATTAATATAATATTATTTTATAAATTTAAAAAGCCGGATGTACTTTGCATCATGGGCAGAGACGTATTTACATTATTGGTGCTCTGGGGCACTGTATCTTTAGCTTCGTTTCATATAGGTATGAACAAATCTGTTTATGACACACTGGAATTCACACTGCTCACTTTATATTTTGTGCTCTAAAACATGCATTTTAGATATTAAAAAAATACTACTATTTTACCGTGTTTTAGAAGATTACGACGCCCCCTCCTAAGTATGTCCCTACGTCCTTGATTAGGGTTAGGCCACTGTGATGCAGTGGCATATCTGGAGCTTAATCACGGAGGGTGTGGTTTAAAAATTGCAATATACCACAAAATATCGCGAGAGGTTTCCTCGTTCCCAAAATAAGCAACAGTTATTATTCTGTTGTTTTTTTATATTTTCTTTCCTTGGCAATTAAAAAAAAAAAAAAAATAGTTTATAAGTATAAACTGTAATTAATAATAATAATAAAAAAAAAAAATGATTTAAGTTTATATAATATATGTTACGATCAAAAGCCGAAATCGGACAAATCTCAGAAACGTGAAAAATTTAAATTTATGGTCGTTACAGTTTTACCCAAATGATACTGGTCACTGCTATACTATACTACTATACTATAGATTTGTCCGGAAAAAATTCGAAATATGACGTTTTGCACAAGTATCGTGGGCATTTCACGTTTTGCCCGGGCATTTCTGAGATTGGCGCGATTTCGGCATGTTTTAAACACATTCATTTTAACAACACAATTTTGTGTGAATACATTAGATCTTAAATAAATATAATTTTTTTAAATAAAAATATTAAAGTACACAGTACGAAATTAATTGCGTTCTACACGAATTAGAATATGTAAGTATTGTTTTAGAGTTGGTATCGTGTTCACATTTCCTTACCGATGCGTCGATTGAACTTTAAATGTATTTATTATACAACATAACAAATTGAAAAGTGTTTGAGAACTTTAAAACGGGGCAAAACTTCTTACTAAAAAAAAAAAATTATATTACGAATATCTTAACACGGTATATATATATATATATTTATAAAATCATAAACATAAATAAATCATCGACCGGTTAGTATTAGAGCCACTGAAGTAATAATAATAGGTAGGTACCAAACACAAATGCCAATACACGTGTATCCTGTGTACATGCTTGACACCCACAATTACATGCATTACATGCATTCATCTATTACTTTATGAAAGTCGATCGATTCGAAACTTTCCATTGACGTCGCATATCGATATTACGTATAAGTGTAGGTTACCAATATTGATTCGTGATTACGGTTGTTGTATTATTTGGCAACAGTTGTATCGGTGAAAATAATAAAACTATCAATTAGATACATCATGTAGTAGGTAACCACATTAATTTTCATTGACTAGGGAATATTCCAGTACTGCATTAAATATAGATTATGTTTCTATGTTTTTGTTTTTTTATGTTAATTTTCCTTACGAAACTACACACCGAGAGTACAAAAATAACTCATCCAATGAAGCACAATCGCGTGTCTATGAATTTCCAATGAGAGGGCATGTAATTACTAGCGGAACAATCACGGTTCACGAATAAATCGTAGAATCTTCATTTATTACACCTAACTCAAAAATGAGAATTTAAAATCCGGATCAAAAAAAAAAAACAATTCTTATTCAATAAATAAAACTTGTTTCCTTGTAACGTATCGTTTTCTGATAAAACTACTAAATACATACCCATAGTTATTGTATTTGTAAGCGAATTAAGGGGAGGGGATATAATCCCGAAAGCCCCTCTCCCTGCGCACGCCACTGCGTATTAAATTTACTCGTACATATAGATTGAATTATTTGATTTTCTATAACACGTAAGTACAATTAAATACATTTATGTTTGCAGTATTCAATACGTGTAGTTAGACCATTATTTAATAATATTTTATGCGACGATTAGCGTTTGGATTTATGATAGTAAAAAAAAAATCCGTCATTTAAAAAAAGGGTTAATGGCCGAATATAGGCGCGCAAACAAGACAAAAATATCATATACTCGTAAAAGCGATTCGGTCAATGTAGTAACAATAATAGTGGTACCTACTTGGATATTTTAGACGTTTTAGTGATGCATTCACATGTATGGGCAATACAGGATTCGATCGAGGATCAAGGCAATATTATTTTTTAGGTATCATAATATTTTATTTTTGCAAGTACCTACTCGTATATAACATAATACCTAAAGAAGAAAACTAAGTAGAAAACTAGTAGAAAACTAAAAATATCGAAAATAGCTCGATCGATCGTAAAAATTTCGCTATAAACAGATTATTAGTAAAAATTTCAACATACTATCACTTTGCCAATGTTGTAGTTAGAAAAAACTTTTCATACAAAAATTGTTTAAAAAAATAACCACCCAGCACTGAAGAAAAAGCGATTGGAGTTGCTGATTAAAAAAAAAGTAAGGTGTACACGCATATGTGTGTACCGAAAGTGTTAAGTATTTGTGTTTTTTTTTTTTTTTCTAAAAATGTGTGTTTCGATACTCGAATATCCCGAAAATTCCATTTAAATCCAAAGTCATCCAGCTGAAATATTAAGTGGTACCTCCCATTGTCAATCTACGGTATGTAGAAAAAAAAAAGTTACGTCATCTCTACGCTCGACGTCTGGACAAAGCAATGTTTTTCGGCGCCCGATTACCAGTTTATTATTATTATTATTAGCAGTAAGCAATAGTAGTAGCATAAGTAGTAGCAGTAGTAAGTAGTAGTATGTTGCAATGTCAGGTTTTGTCCAGGAAACGTAATAATAAGACTCGATAGCATGTGCGTCTGGGCGTATCCGAGCTCATGGGGTTTTTAAAACTGGTTCGTTGCAGTATGTATTGGTATGGTGTTACCTACTTATATTCAATTAATTCGAAACATTGACAATCGAAAACGTCGTATAATACGCCATCGCCAATAACAATAAGACTACAGTGCATTAGGTTTGCCTAATATTAAAACTGTATGCATCATGGAATCAAATGGTATCTAATCGAATGATTATTCGATTAGATACCCGAACTTTGCTGTTCGGTTTGAAATCAAAATCAAAATCGACCATCTATATCAACATTCGATTATTGTTTATTAATATTATCTTTGAGAAAATTCTAAAGCTAAACGATTGACTATTTTTTTTTTAAGTTTTTTAAATAATAATAATAATAAAAGAGATGTCCTAGGATAATGACGACGAGAGCAGCCACTGTTATAAGTAATTTAATGTATACCTGTAAACAACGATAAATTATTGCTTACGAAAAAATGATTCTTAGTGGAGTTCAGTTGATAGTGATGCTTTGTCAACAATATATATGCCATATTATAGTAAAATAATTAAATTGGCCGTATATATTTTCTGTAATAATTTTTGTTTAATGTTTTACCGATTTCCCCGGTTTTCCTGCGTTTTTCCTGGTTTTCCCATGTTTTTTCACGTGTGCTGAGAAAACTCTTTAGAAAATCGAAAAATGACCACTCTAAGGTACCTACCCACACTGATTTCCTTTCAGAAAAGATGCTACACTTAAATTTGGAGCAAGTTCTCTGGTTGAAAAGTTGTCCGCAGAAAAATAAATAAATAAACATCTTTGTAAAACCATAAGCTTCTTTGCTCCACTCGGAATTTAAAAATGGTCAAAAAAAAGTTTGAAAACCACTGTACTATACACACATAATCGAATTTCGTACCAACGCTAATACCAAGACTTTTATAGATTTATTACAATAGACTTGTGTAGGAGTTCCATAATTCTGCAGTATAGACCACATACCTGTCTAGTTATGTGATAATGATATTCACGTAATAATGCGTAATTTTAGTCGGAAAACAAGTACAAGAAATATAGGAACTACAGTTTTTTTTCTTTTTAGAAATATCTTGAATTTTAACAAGATAACATTGTTAATTTAAAATAATTTACGAAAAGAATTAACCAACATTTTTTTTTTTATATTCTATTTTTAATTTTATTTTTTTGAAACTAGTTAAGTTAAAAGTTATCAAAAAAAGTCACTTATAACTTATTAAGCTTTGGAAAATTCAAATACGAAATATGCACCATGAGCTCACTCTGTGACTATAATATATACCTGTATTTGATTATAATCATTCGGTATGTGGATAAAAAATTCAGTTTACTCACAAGAAAAATCGATTTATTGGCACGTGGGATTTTTAAAATTTTGTTTTAATATTATACAATAACTGGCGTTTAATTAACGTTAGCTTTCGTTACTTAAATCAAAACTGGTCGTCCGATGAATGTTAACAATACTGCTATGATTCAGTGAAATCGAAATGTTATATTTGTATTTAATAACAAACACGTGTACCGTAATATTGTTCGATGTTCATATACTGCATAATAATATGATATCATCTGTACATAATATATAATACGAAAATGATTGGAGTATATTAATTCTTCGATTTTAAAAGCGCACGAGTTTGATAGTCGAATAATCAATAATAAATGCCTGTGGAAGAATAATACCAATAATACCTTAAAAGGTCAATTTTCATAATTTTATTTAAATCGAGCAAAACCATTATGAATCTATTTTTCTAATGATTACTCTTTTAGTTACCACCTCAAACAAATTAAAAAATGTCTAAACATACTAATATAATAGTTATGAGGTTTTAGATTCTCAGTGAAGCGAGGAATGTATTGGTTTTATAATGATGTTGAATTTTTATTTTTATCTGTAAACAACTTTTCTACCAGAAATCTTGCTCCGATATATAAGTGTAGCAGATTTGTTTTATCTTACGTACACGTATAAAAGAAAATTCGTTCCGAATCGTTTTTCGTTAGCCAGGTTTTATCGTTGCATATAGATATAAATTTAATTCCCCTCTATTTTCTACCTTCTCGACTTAGTAAAAAGTGCTACACTTGAAAATTTGAAAATCGGAACAGCGTTTCTGGTAGAAAAGTTGCTCACAGAATAATAATAATAATAATAATAAAAGGTCATTGCACTCCTCGTTACACTTCAAATCTAAAAATAATAATGATTTAATTACCATTATGATATTTACGAAAAATGACTTTGAATGCTGCTGTACAGTATAGAAAGAAAAAAAAAATTAAATCAACTCATCGATGTAGGGATGGTCAAACGATAGGGAGATGTATCTCTCGGGGACCTGTTCCCCTTCAATATTTATAATAATGATCATTTCAGCTATTAAACATTTTTAAAAATCAGCCTCATCCCATTGACAAAATAATTTGACCGCCACTGCCACAGCCGCACGCCATGGCCGCAGCTTAAAGTGTACCTTCCCTTTAATCATTTGTATTCGATTTGTTTAAAATAACACTATGCACTGTAACGTCCGGCACACAGTGAAATTGCACTTTAAGCCGTAAGAGTATGTGTGACACGTATTATCATGTTTTAAACATATTTTACACGTAACAGTTATACATATGCAATATGACGTTGAGAAGTCGAATTGTAATGAGGTTTTTATATTTTAATTACAGGTTTACTGACATGGTCCGTATTTGTGGCGGAGTTGAACGCGCTACGCGGGTCTGCCGTTGTACTTCAAGCGAGAGCGAAAGCGGACAAAAAAATTTCGGTACGTTAAGTGTCTGTTTAAAAATGTCGAGGTTGTATGGTTAGTCGGATACTTGCAGTATAACGAAAAATAACGCCATCAAAATCGCATTTAATGTGCCTATTGTAATAATGATATATGTCTATACTCCGAAACGTAATCGTTATCTATTCAAAAAAAAAAAAAATATAATAATAACACAAAAAAGACGTCCTTGTGAGCCACGATATTATAATTATTTTATACTTATTATTTCGTTCGAGTTAAACCATCGAATAGTATTCTATAAACAGATTATGATTTTTTCCAGCGGCAAGTCAAACATCGATACAATTTAAATATATTAAATGACATACCTAATAAATGTGTATACATTTTTGATACTTAGCGTATACTCTTGCATTTGAGTAGTCGAATACTCTTGTGTTTGAAATGAGTATCTGTTGTGTATAATTACATTTTCTCAACTCTTCTCGTTCACCTAATTCGACACTATACGCCTATAATAGTATTTAGTGAGTAGTAGACAACCATAATTATTATTATTCTTGTTCTTCGTGTTTCTATATATACTAGCCGCTATATTTACATTTTAATTCTCACACGAAGTTACGAAGATATAAAATATACTATTACTAATCTTATAATTAATAGCCTTCACCCATTTCTTTTAATACGGCCTATCTCTTTTTCCGTTTCCCAACACGCCGAACCGTTCTATACCTTTTTTCACATTATTATTATTTTAATTCTCCTCGATTCACTCTCGACACGTTCAACCATCCCAGCTACAAAAGTAGCAATAGAAAACTATGATATTTCGTTACTCAAATTGCCCCAGTAACTAGACTAGGTAAGCAGGTTGGTAGCTATAGGTATATACAAAATAGAGAACAATGCATAATGAAACATTTTTTATTAAATAGTGTTTTGAAAAATTATACATAGTTTTGACATTTTTAGCCTGCCTTTTTTTGGAGGGGGATTTGGCGATCAACTTTTTTAATTCAAAAGGCAACCTACGTACAAAATTCTATAGATAGATGCAGTATTTGTTCAAATAAATTTTGGTGTTAACATTTTTGATTTCCGTCTACCCGTTTACGAGTTATTCCAATTTTTAGTTGTGATTGGGGAACAGTAGTGGAACACTGTGCATCACAGATGGAACGGTGGCGTGCGGCGTTTGAATATATATTTCATTATGCATTTTTTTTTATTTTGTATATTTATAGGAGAAAATTGCTGTAACATAAAATTCTGTACATTCTGTATACCATAATATGTAATCTGTAATAATCATTTCTTATTCCGTCTAACCGTTGGTAACTATCTCAACGTATCGAAACTCGCAACAACAACTAAATTATGAATACAGATGTCTATATTAATTTTATCGAATAAAACAAAAATTAATTGTTACATAATCTTGACGAATTTTAACCGCGTGTAGTTACCATGTTGAATGTACAACACATTATTTTATAATGTCATTAATTATCCGTGAAGTTACTTAAAAAGATAGTTATTGTAATATTTCGGCTATCTGTGTATTATTATATTTATTATTAGTTTAAAATATACAATTAATAATATATTTAAAAAAACAATCAGGAGTAACAGAGATCAGTCAAATTTTCCCCCAGCTGTTTTGTCACCGTTACATTATTTCATTTTTTTTAGTTATGATTGCCATAGTATTATTACATTTTATTCTGTAGACGTATTTTAAATATTTCCTGTGAAAATATGAAATTTGAGCATAAAAATGGTAAGGGAGTGAGTTGAAAATCTCGATATTTACTACGGGAGGCGTTCAAAATCCCGACAAAGTTAAAATTTCAACAGACAATATCATAAAAAATTTCGCAGACCTGATTATTGGGATCCCCTGAGATTGTATAGGTGATCGCTTAATTATGATCCTTAAAATTATACTGTTTATCAATTTAGAAAAAAAATGTAATTTATACTATTTTTAAATTTATAATTAATATAATAAAATCAATACATTCAATAACTTGTCACAATAAAAACGATTAAAGTACTTATTTTAGATATAAAAAAAAAATAATACGATTATTACAAAGAAAGCCCCTTCAATATTATACGGTATGCGATTGTCGGAATTTTGACCAATTCGGGATTTTGACACGGACCCATTTACTACCATGCAAACATAAAATTTCCCCCTGATTTCATTTGAAGGATCGGTAGGAGTGTACAAATTTAATTTAAATTTAAATAATATACGTGTATAATTTATATACGAGTATATGTACGTTTGTGTATGCACAAACCCTCTGCAGGATCAGGATGAAGCGATCGAATTGGACGAAAATGGAGAACAAATTGAACTGAACGTGACTACTACCACCAAACCCACGTTGACGGGCATACCGCAAATAGACTACGTGCACGACCCGAACTTGCCCAGGGAACTGAACGGATACAACCTAACGGACTATCCGTTCCTCAATTCAGTGCCCGAGGAGATCGACTTCAAATGCGATGGGTTACACGATGGGTTTTATGCGAGCATGCCTCACAAATGTCAGGTATATAAATCGACTTTACTTAATATTATTATTATCGTACGATTGGCCTGCATAAGCAACGATGGTCTACAAATGCATGGGAAGCTTTCTTACTGAAAAACTTTTTTTATACGAATTCATCGTATTATCACCGTATATTATTGTCTTGAATGATATTATAAACCGGTATGGTTTTTAATGCGTTAACGGCGAAGAATCTTCTTCATCATTTGTCGACCATTCTTGTCTTTATCCTCCGCATTTATCGTCGTTTTTCCATTTTCTATCCACATACCCCAGTACATTACTTGTTGAACGCTGCTAAATATTAGTACCAAAAAGATTTGACAGAAGTGTCAAATTACACTTATTTCAGACGAATTGTGATAGGGTTAAAAAAAAATAAATAGTCGAACTACACTTAGGTCAAAAAAGGTTTTCAACAGAAATGTTTGAAACAAATCTTAGTTAAAAATGTCACTAATTTCTCTTCACACTAAAAATTTAATCAATGACGTAGTTAAAAATTAGTATATTTATATAATTAAAAAGCGGTCTTTGAAATTTCAAATTATTACTATTATTATTCAATAGAATTATTTTGTTGAAATCTGAAACAGAAATGACTTTGTATAATATATTTAATTTAAGTTGGAGAGTCGTGTACAAAATATTCCAAAGGTTGTAAGTATGAACGTTTTTAAAACTAAGAGTTTTGAAGTTTTTAAGTTTTAATTTTTTTTTTTAAATATCGCCTTTTTAACCTAATTGCTATTAGGCGATTTTGATTTAGATAAAACTCGACTATGCCCAGTATCTCAGAAAAAAAAATGTTCTCTGAGGCATTGTGCACGTTATACACAATGTCTCATGAAGATATGCCTATTGTAATATCTCAGGAGATAATAATAATAATTAAATTCTGTTTTTTTTTTTATATATATATTATTCACAGAGACAAGGACTACAAATATTCTTATTTCATTTAATTTTTATGTTTTGGTAAAAACTTAAAAAAAAACTTTCTGAAAATGTTGACGCATTAACTTTTTATTTTCATTAAATTCGTAATTTTTAATATTTTTTTTTTATGTTCAGAGAAAAAAAATGTACAGTAAATTTTCCATAATAGTTATAACCAATCAGCGAGTGCGATTACAGTTTGCTGCATAATTATAGGTAAATTTCTCTGAACTTTAAAAAAATATTAAAAATCACGAATTTAATGAAAACAAAAAGTTGAAACGTCAATATTTTTAAAAGAATAAACTGTATAAAATGACTATCTTTAAATTTTTCAAAAATAATAAAATAAAAAGTTATTTTTTAAAGTTTTTTACTAAAACATAAATATTTAATTTAATTATAAACATTTGTAGTCCTAATTCCTGTGAGTAATATAATCAGAATTCGATTATCTTTATTATTTCCGGATATATTGCAATGCGTATATCTTCGTGGGACACACTGTATATTATAATAATTGACCAGGTCTTGTATATTTTACAATATAATGACATTATTGTGACGTGATATAATGTAATAATAATATGACGACGGTACTTATTACAGCTATACCACCACTGCCTGTTCGGCACGAGGTTCGACTTCTTGTGCGCCAACTACACCGCTTTCGATCAAAAAACGTTCATTTGCCATTTCGTGTCCCAGGTGGACTGCCCAAACTCGGCCAAGTACTACAACAGGTAATGGTGACGACGATTTCATAAGGCGTATATATTGTTATAATTTATAAAACCGTTAACGCGATGTCTGCTTTTGGGACATCCGCTGTTTCACGTTCAATATTTATTTTTTGTTTTACGCGTTTATGTTTTATAATAGTTTCGGTTATTGTTCGCAGCTACGGGTAAAAGATGAGCGCGAGGCGACCTAACAATAGAAAAAAAAAAAAAAATTGAACTATTTGGCGGATTCTGTATACACTAGTAGTATAATATTATAACATTGTATTAAATACAATGTACATTGTAAACGAACGTGTTATAAAATTATATTAAAGTTACTCAAGTCTTAAGTACACGCGTAGGAATACCGTATAGAATGTATCGATATTCAGAAATATTATCTGTCAGTGAGTTTCCTGCATCATATTCCCGGATACGAGTTTAATATTAGGTACCGACCTAGTACCTATACATATTTTTATTGAAAATCTCGACTCAATTGTGCATTAGGTATGTCATTAAGATTTTAGAAAACGTGCGACATTCCGTATTTAATGGGTTGCGCATAAACGATCAACAAAAATGTCTACGATAAATCGGTGTCCTCGGACAAAAAAGAAATCAAATTTTCACAACAAAACAAAGATAACACGCACTGTACAAAGTTGGTTCTGATTTTTCGGTATCATTATTCCGAAATAATTTATTCGAATTTTTACTCTTATTATTCTCGCTTTCAAGTACGCCCCCCTTATAAAAGATCCAACATCGTTTTTTCATCTATACTCCGCATATCCTCCAATTGCGTTTAAACTTTAGTAAATCTCTTCTCATTTTTACTTTAATTCTATTTGTATACATTTTCATCTGTTTTATTCAATGTTCAGCGCGTACCGAAATATTATCAAATCACTACAGGCCTCACAAGTAGCAACTGCGGATTTATCAAGTGTCTCCTTTTATCCTTATAGTTCTAATAATGTTGTAAACATTTACAAAAATATTTTCGGTTTTTTTCCCCCCGTTCCAATTCAAATAACCGAATAATGCAATTTCGCAGAAACGAAGCGCTTTATAAAGCCGCTGAAACGACGACACTTTCGACGACCACCACTTCCACGTCAACGACTCCATCGCCTCCACCGCCTCAACAACAGCAACAACAGCAGCAGCAGCAGCAGCAACAGTCGTTTTATCCGCAGTACCAGCAGCAGCCGCAACAGCAGCAGATGCTATATGACGGGCGCAGGGCTATGCCGCCGGGATTCGCACAGGGATTCGCGCAGGGCCGGAAACGCAGGCCCACTTACCGTAGGCGCAGACCAGTGTACGAGTATTATTACGTAGACGACTATGACGACCAACAGGATTACTATGACGAGAGCGTCGAGCACGTGCCCGTAGCCAAAAAACCGGCCAGGAAACATTCCAGGCTCAACAGTGAGTAGATAGTGCCGAATCTCACCACCTGTCCCGGTCTCGGGCCTAATTTTATACAACACATTTCCCGGTCTCACATTCCCGGATGTGTATTTATAGACGTACTTAATACGTATTCATTGTCTGGTATGACTACGGCAAAAACAAGAAAGTATTTCTTATCAGTGCTCCGTAGACAGCAGGCCGTGAGACTGTTATAACAGTTGTCTATTTCAATCCTTTTTGTCATTAATTAAAATAATATAACGAAAAGCCAGCTGTAATCAGAGGGGGGGGGAGGAATTACCGAATAAATTATTTAATTATGAAAATACTAATCCAAAAAAAAAACAAAAAAAAACAAACGTATTCAGAATATGCCAGGGTGTTGAAACGGGTTTGAAATCGGTTTTGAAAACCAGGTAACCCGGAAAAAGCGGTTCCGGTTTCGAACCCGTTTTTAACTCCCCGGACATATGTATTCGAGTATTTTTTCACCGAAATTTCTAGTGCAGTATTAAAATACAAACGAATTGCTACTAAAATACTTATTCGAATACTTTTACAAGACTGAATGTAATAATAAATTGATTATCCAGTGGCTGCGGCATAATAACAATTAAAAACCATCGCGGATGCGTCGAAATAATATCATAATAACATTGTTATTCGTCGGTTGTGTAACACGAACGACATTACATATTTTATTGTGCCAGCCGTCATTGTCGAGCATGTCCAATGAGCTGTTTTTAATCGATACATTAGTTTTTAAACGCATTAGTAAATCGAATACCGTGCGGCGTGTACACCGTAATACTATTGTCGGTAAACACGAGCTCGCCGTGAATGTTTTATTAATTTTTAAATCGAATTTTTTTTTTTTTTACATTTTCGATCATTTTCTATCATTAGTTGTGTACTCATAAACAACACGTACCTCTCGCCGAAAACCAATTATTGATGAATTCATAATATTATATTCGAATGCTTTTGTCTTTTAGAAAGTATTTTGTACTGTTCATGTGTATTATGAACAATAACAATAATAATAATAATAACAAATAGTTTTCTTCCGTAAGTTTCGACTGCTGACCGGCTAAGGATTCCATTCATAAACCGTAATCCCTGTATTATTACACTAACGCATAAAGTCGTGTTAATGTCGTTACCATTATTATACGCTCGGGTGTTTTTGACTCAGTCATTATTTTACTACTCCTAACGTAATAAATTCGTTGAAAAACAATAATTTCTTTTCAATTATTTTATACTATTCGTATTTGTTTTTTTTCCTCGTCAGTACAAATTTCACACTTGCCCCATCACCGTATTTTGTTACCACAGTTGTACGGACCAAAACAAATTTATGTTTCTATTTTTCGCTGGCGTATCTTTATAATTTACTTGTGCAATCAAACACCATCGAATCTTATTTCACGAAATCAAATTTTCAGTTCGCGAGCAGTGATTTTAGGAGCATAAAAAAATTTAAATGTACCTATTTCAATTTTTTTACGGGTTTGATTTTCGCTGAACAAAAAAAGGCATGACGGGACATCATCAGTATGCAATAAGGAACAAATAAGGTCGTACACAATTACAAAATGTTGGTAAATCGTCTACCTGAATTTACCTACCCTTGAAAATATTTATAAGGAAATAGAATTGTTAATGCAAATCTAAACAGTATAATAAAATAATAATAGTAAATTTTCTTGAGGTAAATTTTTTTTTTATCCAATATTTTGCATTTCGCCAGTAATGACATTATCTATATTGATTTTCTTCATATTAACCCTGTAGAACCTTATTTGTTTATATCTACATTCTGATGAATTGCCTTCATGCTATTTTTTGTTTAGCAATAATTTAACCCGTAAAAACAATAAAATACACATAAATTGCGTTATTTAAAATATAAAAAAAAACTCCGCGAACTAGAATTTTTTTTTTAAATTTCTTTTTCTCCGTGAAACTACGTTCGATGATATTGTTACACCTTTATAGAAATATACGCCCTCGTCAATAGTAGCGTATATATTTTATCATAAGTATAGTATATTCCCCGAGAGATGTAGTTGGGATGTAGAAGAAAGTTGGGACGAAAGGGAAGGAAAAGATATATTCCCGATCTTCCCGTCTATGGTTTTTCCAATACCAATACATTATTTTATTATTTTCTTTTTTATACTTCAATATCCGACTGTAAACGATTGTATTAACTTTGTAGGATCTACAGAGTGTCAATCCGATTTTTACGGTTCAAACCCCAATCACGTCCTAATTTTAATCGGTTTTGGTCATTTCAGATTACAAACCGACCGACCTTGATGTCGATTACCCGGAGAGTAGTTCCGAATCGGACCGAGCGCCAAGCGGCAATTTCAAGCACAGGGACAGGGGGGCGGCCGCCGGACACCAGCAGCAGCAGCAACAGCAGCAGCAGCAACAGGAACAACAGCAACAGCAACAGACAGTCGTGACGAAGAACGTGTCCAATCAAATAACGTCGGTGTACGATAAGCCGAGAGCTCCGCCCAAGATCCGCCGACCTGTGCCAATCAACGAACGGGATCGGTACGATTACACGTCCGCCTCGAAGACGGGTCAACAGTCTCCGGCAGCTCCGGTTGCCGCGGCTGCTCCGACAACGACCACGACCACTACTACGACTACGACCGAAGCCCCGTCGACAAAGGCCGCCGCAACCGTGTCCAAGAGCAAAGAGCCACCGCGGCCGGTGACGGAAGAAGTGATAGAGTATTACGATGACGATGAACTCGAAGAAGAGTACGTAGCCGAACCGCAAGTGCCCTCCGTCAAGCCCGCCGTGTTGAAACCCGAGCCGATCAAACCAGCCAAGGCGGCTGCTAGGACAACCGTAGTGGTTGATTACGACTCGCCAGATCGCAACAGGCGGCCACCGGCCGCGGCCGCTGGGGCAGCCCGGTCCAAGGTCAACAGGGGGCCTGTGCAGGTACCACAGTCGCAACCACAGCCCGTACAGGCAGTTGTTGCACGCAAGAAACCTACGACCGCGGCACCGGTGGATCAAGGCGTGATTGTGGCAGACGAATACGAAGACGAGCTGCCGGCTGCGGCTACGCGCCAATCCATCGCCGCGGCCACGAAACAGCGGGCATCCGGACCGTTCTTGGTGAGGCCCGCGAAACCGGCCAAAGCCAAGTCACAACCGCCTGCAGCCGTTGCAGTAGACGACGTCCAGGAAGACGAAGAAGAACCGGTCATTTACAAACAACAGCCGGCAAGGCAGGCTCAGAGAGTCAGCGTCAGGCAAGTAATGGCTCCGTCGCACAGGCACAGGTCGCCGCAGCTGCAGCAGTCCGCCGCGGACCATCCGCACACGCAATACAACAACAACAACAAACAAGTCAGGGCGGCAGCGTCCGCAAACAGCAGGAGGCCCGCGCGGCCCGTCTACGAGTACGCCGACGAGTACTACGACGAATAACAACGGCGTAGCGTATCTGCGCCTATACCGGCGGACAATAAATTCGGGTTAGTCGGCCTGACCTATAACCCGGCGCGACGGACGCCGTACGATATCAATGCAGGTGTATTATACCGGCGTTCCGGCGCCCGGGCGATTGCCGTCGGTCACAACGGAATAAAAGCTCATGTGTAATATTATTATTTTTATTATTATTATTATTATTATTATTATTATTATTATTATGATTATGATTATAATTATCATTATTATCATTATTATTATGATTATCATCAGTGCGTCGGAACACGCGTTATTATCTACGTAAAAACGAATTTTAATTATTATTATTTTATTATATAGTACGTAATACGGTAATGCGCGACATTAAACATACGATTTTGTGTAATAAAAAAAAATATATATAACATTTAATTTTTATTGTTTTGATTTTTTTTTTTTTTTTTTTTTGGTCTGTGTGTTTTTCGACCCCGGGTCCTCTGATAATTCGTCCGGCGTCCGAGCGTTGTGTAAAATATACAAAACACACATCGAGATGCGTGTTCATAACGACAGAGGGGTAGGGGGGAGCAAGAAGAGGCGATTTTAAACGCATTTAAGATTCCGAACGTGTTGATTTTACAGTGATGGTTATTTGTTTTGTATTCCCGTGAACGACTATTCTACAAGAAACCTAGAAATCTCGTTCCGATTTTCAACTGTAGTATGTTTTCTGAACGGAAATTTTATGTAGGTATGGAAGTACTTTGGAGCGATCGTTTTTTTTTTTTTTTAAGGAGTTTTCATAATAAACGTGAAAAATATAGGAAAAACAGGAAAATTTAGGAATGGTATTATTTTTTTTTTTTGTGATTCGGTTAAAATTATTTTTAGAGATTTTAAATCTGTACAAAACACTTTATGTTTGCCTTTTCTAGACGTGATAAAATTTTTAAAAGATTTTAGCCATTTTTGAGCTATTTATAGACATTTTTAATTTTGCGAGTTTTTACGTAATTTTTTTATTTGGTAGGTACTCTGTGGATAAAATTGTTTGACTTAACAGAAATTATTGAAAATATAAAAGGAGGTTCATCATAAGTCGTACTTAGTGGTAAAAAAAAAAAAAATTGAAATGCAGAATTTTTTTTTTCGATAAGAATTTTAATATCAAATTTAACGAAAATCGTAAATATTACGAATCAAATCATTTATTCATCCATGTGTTTTGATTTTTTAAAAACCAATACCTAATAGAGAACGATTTGTTGGCTGTATTTATATAGTATGTATACATTACACGGAATATTCTCTGTCACATATGGAAATACTAAAAGCATTTTATGCACACAAAAAAACATCAATCACAAGATGTTGTATAAAAAAACTAGCCTCTAGATATTTCATAAGAAAAACTTCTTAATTCTAACAGTATTGAGTTAACAGGTAACTGTAAAAATTGGTTGCTTTACTCCATTCCTCCGTATCTTCCAATATCTTGTATCCGCCCATTAAAATATTGTGGTAGCAAAAATCAGGGGTCTGAAGGCGAAGCAACGCAAAGCATTCAGTAATTATTAACAACATTCAAATGAATGCATTAAATTATTTATATTGCCTATTTATATTTATTTTATATAGCACCTTTTCTGAAAGACAATTTTAGTAGGGTGGTACTATTAGGAAAGTCATTTTTTTGATTTTTCCAGAGGTTTTCATAAATAAATGTGAAAAAAATAGTAAAACGGGAAAAATTACGAATTGTATTATTTTAAAATCGTAAATATTATGGCCTTTACATGTAAAACCGAACTCCCGTCAGAATCGTTTTTCCTTAACAATGATTAATCATTGCGTACAAATATACATTAAATTTCGCCTCTACCTTCCAACTTCTTACTTACAACAGTGGCCTACCCTTTGTGCGAAGAATGTCCGGTTTTTTTTTCGGCTGAACTTTAAAATATTATTAAAAATCTCGAATTTAATGAAAATAAAAGTCAACATTTTTAGAAAAATAAACTTAGTAAAATGGACATCTACAATTTTTTTAAAAATAATAAAATAAAAAGTTATTTTTTTTTAAGTTTTTTACTGTAATAACACACTAATTGAAATGTGAATATTTGTAGCCTTTATCCTTGTGAATAATATAAAAATACAGCATTTGACTATCGTTATTATCTTCGGAAATATGGCAATACAATGGCTATGTCTTCGTGGGACATATACATAAAAAATCGAAATACTAATTTAATCAAGATTATAATTATTATATGTATAAGTTATAAATATTAAATCCAATATAATAAAAAGTAGTAAGTATAAGTAAATGTTAAATAGATACAAATTGAAATACTAATTTTTAAATAGATACAAATTGAAATACTAATTTAAGGAAGAGTATAATTATTATATGTATAAATTATAAGTATTAAATCCAATATAATAAAAAGTAGTAAGTATAAGTAAATGTTAAGTACGTATAAAATCGATATACTAATTTAAGCAAGAGTATAATTATTATATGTATAAATTATAAATATTAAATCCAATATAATAAAAAGTAGTAAGTATAAGTAAATGTTAAATAGATACAAATTGAAATACTAATTTAAGGAAGAGTATAATTATTATATGTATAAATTATAAGTATTAAATCCAATATAATAAAAAGTAGTAAGTATAAGTAAATGTTAAGTACATATAAAATCGATATACTAATTTAAGCAAGAGTATAATTATTATATGTATAAATTATGAATATTAAATCCAATATAATAAAAAGTAGTAAGTATAAGTAAATGTTAAGTATAAAGTTAATATCGTGTATAATAGTCAGTATGAGGTAGGTTATTAATATGTTAATTAAACAAAATGCATGGGAGATTCAGTAGTGAATAGTTCATTCAATTTTATTTTTTTTTGCTCCTCGTCCAAACGATTGAGATTTATTTTTTTGCTATAAGAAAAAAAAAATCTAGTCAAATTATTTAATAAAATAACATATTGAAATATATTAACTTACTTTTCAATATAAGATCGTGCCCTAAAAGCAGCCAAATGGGCGTAGTATGTCGGTGCTGGATATGAAATAGAACGAGTACAACGAGCAAACATATAACACAAGTAGTAAATGACTTCCTCTAATTCATCTTCTGTGCAATCGTTGTCATCCCAAATAAGATGGTACTTTGTTGGTTTGGATGTGCCCTAAGAATATATTGAAGAATTTACGAGTATAATTTCAAATTACTATTATTAATTAATAATTAATAACTAACCTGAATACTAGCATGGCTACATAAGTAGAAATCGAGTTCTTCCGTATGGGTTATCTGAGTGTCTATAACTGTACCGGGAGGAACGTTTTGAAATTTGCCATGCATGTCAATTTTATGTTTGGGGAACATTCTAGTGTGATGTCGTTTCTGTACGACCACAAATGTTAAGGAAGGTTGATATTTGATACTTAACCGTAGGCACGCTCGTCGGATAGCAATCAATTCATAGTGCAACAAATGTGCAAACTGCCCCTCGCCAACACCATCCCGCAAATAAAATATTGCAATGGGTAGTTTGTTTGTTTTATCTATATATTTAAGCAACTGTTTGTGGACCATATCTTCTAAATCTTGTATAATCTCTACTTTGGGCGATTGTAAACGACATTCCATATTGTATTGGCTTCCATACAAATCATGACTTGCTGCTAACTGAGATGCGATAGAAAAATATGTATTATCAATATTATTAATACTGGATAATTAGTTTTATATTAAGTCATAAATATTTGTTTATTATTTTAAATTCTGAGCAAAAAAGTATATTATACGATTTAGAACTATGGCAAAGAAAACACTTATTTCCCACAGATTTCCAAACCCAAAAATCAGCTAGAAGAAAAATAAAAACTACTTTTACCTTGTTGATAAAACAGTTTTCAATAACAACGAAGAAGGTTTTCAGTTACTGTCACTATCACAATAGTGCACTAGTAGTATAGTTCAACATGTTGAAGACACTGTGCCTCATGAAGCACCAACGTACAACGCACATGCACTCTAGTACAGCATGTCTCATATTATACCTTTACAATTTTGGCGGAACACTTATGCCAAGTCCACGAAACACCGGTTAAGAACCACTGCCTTAGTATAAGGTCTATGGATAGACCTCACTAAAAACTCGTTTGCTAATTATCGTCACCCTCCCTTGGATTATATAATTTTCAAAAATGTATTTAAATTTTATAAACAACTACTTCATTAAATTTAAAACTTTTATACACATAATATAAATGTATAACTTATATCTAACATTAATGTTATATATTTTTTATAACATTAATAAAATCATCTGTTTATATTATAATTTTTTTATTTTAGGTTACTCTAGTGTAAAAAAATGGCTGATATATTTAAACAATTTATTGTACAATTCAATTAAATAAAATCAAAATTTTATCAAAACTTGAATAAATATTTTTTAACTAATAATATTTTAATTATTGAAATTTACTCACAGCAGCAATTGATGGAATAGAGGTTTGATCTGGAGATGGATGAGTGACATCAGCTCCAAAAATTATCGCATCTTTAACAGTACTAGGGCTAAACCAAAATTAAAAATAATATAAAATATTTAATATATTAAAAATATCGAATAAATGTGTACACTACGCAATAAGAAATATTAAAATTAAAAGAACACAAATATTACCAGCTTCTTGGAGACAAAGTATGATTGATTCCATTTAATTTTAAATTTATTTTTAACATGATATTATTCGCCGTAGAACTATTCATTTTTTTCATAGTCTTAGATTTAATGCACTGGGTGAGCATACCGATTTCCAATTCTGATGCTTGTTTAACAGCAGCTTAAAAAATATAAACAATTTAGTTTAAAATAATAATTATTGTAATTTAAATTATTAAATTGACAATTTGAATTTTTCATTGTAATTATTTAAAACAATTCAAAATATAGAATTAAAATACTTATAAGATAATAAAACTACATTAATATTTCGATAAAACAAATATTTAAATACAATTTTAATCTTAAATTAGGCTTAAAAAATTAATAGTTTATATATTTTGTAGTATTATTTATTATTTACCATATACTCCATTTGGAAAATCTGGCATAATTACCACAACGATTTCTATTGGGGGCTGAACACTTCTCATTTTTTTCAAAAAATTCGTAATTTCTTCTTGGATATCATCAATATCCGCATTTCTACGTGTGCTATAATTATAGACCTGGACCATTGAGCTTACCAACATATTTAGTTCTCTACTATTTTGCATTAACATTTGTTCAAAATGTCTAGAATATAATACAATTATAAAAATATTTTCTTTATCAATTTTATATTGGAATAATAATTTTACTTACTTGATTTCTGATAAGCGAGTATGCATATCTAAATTGTACACAACCCATCGTGTAAGCTTTGCAGGTTTGAAAAATTTATCTGGTTTCCAAACACCACCTATGGGTTTAATTTCCTTTAAAAAAATAAAAAAAAATAATATTAATAATATAATATATAACTTCATTAAAATATATACAAGTTTAGGTTAAATGGAAAATTAAATTAGAATAATTTAAACAATAAATAATTAAATGACGACCTCTCTCTCAAAAAAATGCAATGCTTGTACTTAGGCTAAGTGAGCTAGGTCAAAAAGCCGATTGTTGTAACTTATGAAAATAATCTTATTACAGATTAAAGCTAACTATATACTAATTAAATAAAGGAAATAAACAAATACTATCACTAAATTAAATTTATCTAAGTTTAAGATGCCAATCTTTACATATATATACCATAGTTAACTCATATTGATTTCGTTTTAAATTTAGTATTATCCATGCTTAACTTTCTACATAAAATGATTCCAATAACAACAATATTGAATTTTCAAAGTTTTTATTAAATTGTATACAGTTTAAATTACTTAAAGTTTTTAAGCGTGTATTGTAAACATGATGTGGTTTAAAAATCACCAGATTTTTTTTAAGGGATTTTTAAATTTAATACTTTAAAATTACAAAACAGATAAATTATCGGATACAATCTAGACTTTTGTAAAATTATTTTTACTAACCAACGCATCATAGTCTCTAAATACTCAAGATAAGGATTATTGTATATTCCGCCCCAGACCCTGTGGTATTTAGGAAGATCACAGTATTCCGATTCATCAATCAAAATAGCATGATCAACAGAATCAAAAACTTTTAATTCTAAAAGTATTCCTAGTATTTTTTTATTACCATTCAAAATAGTATGGACATAATAAAGAAAAATTCAAACCAATCCATCTCAATCAAAAAACAGTTTGATGAATTGAAAAAGTTTGTTCTTATTTAGAAAAGATAATAACCTATTTTTTTTTTTGATTTTTCAATAACTTTTAAAGAAAAAAAAGGCTACAGAAAATAGCCTGTAATTGCAACAACTTTGATTATCATCATTCTTGTGTAATGGGACAATTATTGTTTTTTAATAAGTACAAGAATACTATTCCTAATTTTTAAAAAATGTATAACTTTTATCCTAATTCAACCCTTTAAAACCACATTTGACTGGAAAAACTTTTTGAAAAATTTAGCCCAAAAAATTAAAACCATAGCTATTATTAAAACTGACGAATGAGAAATAATTCAATATGATGCATATGATATTAAATCACTTCGGTCAGTCATGATCAGCATTATCTGATCTATTGGGATTTATAGCCTTGTTTATAGACGATTAATAAATTATGCTTGTGTAAATAACTTCTTAATTAGTGTATTATATTATTTAATATTATAATATAACATATGTACTTACCACAAACAACTTCTTTTTATTCATTGTATACAATAATATTATAACATTAGTTTAAGTTACGCATACGTCACTTGAACACAGAATGGCCGCAATAGTTAGAACCAGTACTCGGTATGGAAAAGTATATTCTACCAAATACTAATTATAGTAATGTTTAAAACTGTAAGCGATATACTCGTAATTCAAATAAATTACAGATAAAACGATTATACTATTTCCCACTAAACTATTTTAGATTCTGAGTGGAGTGAAGAAACTAATGGTTTTAAAAAGATGTTAATTTTTTTTTCTGTGAGTAACTTTTCTACCAAAGGTCTTGCTCCAATTTTTACGTGTAACAATTTTTCTGAAAGGAAATCGATGTGGGGTGGTATCTTAAAGAGATCATTTTTTTGATTTTCCTGAGTTTTCTCATCAGATGTGAAAAACCGAAAAAAAAAAATGGGAACATATACGAAATATATTTGTATAATATTACGAATTTTTTTTTCTATGGACCACTTTCTTATCAGCAATTTTGCTCCAACTTATAATGATAGCAATTTTTCTGAAAGGAAATTTCACTGGGAAGGTAGTCTAAGAAGGTAGTTTTTCGATATTTCCCGGAGTTTTCTCAATAAATGAGGAAAACCGAAAAAAACGTAAGAAAACTGGAGAAATCTGTACAACATTAAACAAATATTATTAAAGATAATATATACTTCCCCAGTTCTTCTATCAACAAGGTTTTTAATTTTTATTAGGAAAAATATTGTTGATAACAAAAATGACTTTTAACCATTTTGCATATTATATAAAATAAAAATATACATATTTCATTTGGAGCGATACTTCCCTAGTATGAGCATGAGACACATTCAAAATTGATTGAGAATATCAATGGTGGAAGATCGCAGCTCAAACTTTGCCATTAAAAATATCGGGAGTGAAATCCAATAGTATTTATAATAACGAAAAACGACATATTTGAAATGTATAATAAATTTAAAAACCGACGAATATATTCTCCGTTCTATATAATAACGCACCGCTTGGCGCAATCAAATGTATCGCTGAGCGACGTCCTGCCCCCTCGACTTAATCTATTCGCTTTACGATTGGTTGTCATTGGTTGGCTACGCAATGCTCGACCGATTATCGTCCGCCACCCGGTGAATTCTTATTTAGAACGGAGTATAGTAAGATATATTCATTTTTATAATATTTATTTGTATTTGTAATTAAAATATTATACTTTCAAATTGAAGCAAATAAATTTATTTGGGGTTATAGCTCCCTAGAATTTGAACCTTAGTTGAGCCTTTTATGTGTCTCCCAGTAAACAATTAAACATACCCTGTTATGATAATATGCTAAATATGGTTCATCCAAAACTCTTGCTAAAACTCTGTCAAATTTTTCGTGGATATTAATGCCAAATTCTTTCAATACTAAATCATTATTATATTTTATGTCTTCAATAAAATTTTCAATTTTTTGTCGCCGTTCAGCAGGTGGTCGAGTTGCACTTCTCACCATTCGTGCAGTTTGATTGTCTGTCAATTTGATCAATTTAATTTGTCCTTTTTGAACAGTGCACAACTAAAACAAATATTCCAATAAAAAAAATTTAATCAACATTTTTAGTTAGTATTGACCAGATATGTAGCCAAAAAATGTTCATTAGGTGGGTCAATATTTGGGAGCCTCCCTCGAAATTTTTTATATTAATAAACAGGTAGTTATAAACACATTATAACTATAATACTTTTGTATCTTATTGATAGATGTATTTTTTGATGATTATGCCATCTACCGGATAATATAAACTATATAATATAATATTGCTGATATAATGAACTGGTAACAGGTAGTAGGTAGTAATCAATTATCTTTAATAAATTATATTACTTTATGCAAGTTGAATAAGATGATACATGGCGGTATTAATTAAATTCATATGATAATGAGCCCCACTGAATATTTTGAGTGGGCCGGCCTAAAGTCAGAAACTTTTTAGGATTGATCAAGCACCCCTTAACTACGTGCCTGGTATTGACATTATTTAATAAACTGAATATAATGAAATATCAAAGAAAAGAGACTATTTTGTGGTTTGAATAATATGACAAAACAGATATTTACTTCAATTGGAAGTGCAGTTATTCTATCAACTTTACCAACGTTTAAACAAGGTAAATTTGGATACTTTATAGTATATAGCCGTGTTTTTTTAAAATATTCATAAACTGTAGTCATTCTTGAGCTTGTACTTTGATTATCATAATCGAATTCAAACCTAAAAAATGAATTTTAATATTTATTTGAATTAATATAACGCAACATAAAATAATTAATAAAATTAATTAATAATAAATTATCTTCCTTCTTTTCCTTTCCTTAGGATTATTTGAGGTTAGCAGAAACTATCAAAGTATTTTGATTCCCGTAGTGTATACACTAACATGTACTAACATTAAGATAGTCATTTTATTTTATTTAATTAATTAATATCTTCACCTGTAAGTATGATCCATGACAAATAAATTTCCGTAGATTATCGGTTTTCAAAATTATTAATGTCACGATCCCCAAAATAGGTAAAAAATAAAGTCAGTCACCTCACAACCTCTTTGTTATAAAAACTGATTTAAGCTTTTATTTTTTTTTTATCTAGCCTAGCAATAGAAACGTTGAAAATATTGATATCGGTTTCTATGCGAAAAAAAAGTTTTTCTTCCATAGTGACATTAAAAATTAACACAGAAATCGTTTGATACCACAATTTTTTTAACCAAATAATGTTATCTTATAAAAATAATATTAAAATGAATTTAAATTGTTACTTTGTTAAGTGTCTAAATATATATAAGATATAAAATATAAGGGATAAAGAACATCTTTTACTAAATACCTATCGTGGAAAACTAGCTGTCCTGCGCCCGGCGTTGCACGTGCCAATTTGTTTTGTTATTAATTTACTCATATTAATTTTTGGTTTTGGCCGTAATATCAGAATTTAATGAAAACAAATAGGTGGAAAGTGGATAGTCCACCTTCGGCGGACTAAATGTTTTCTATTGTGAAATTTTAATAGTGTGAATAATAGTAATAATAATAATTAATAGTTTTCTTTTCAGTAACAACCCTTTAATAAACAACAATAAATAAATAAGTAATTAGATATTCGTACCAAATATACCTTAAAACCACTAAACATTTTTTTACGTGAATCTTTCCAATATTTTAATAGTTATTTTGTTATTAAGGGTGGTAATGAATCAAAAAAATCACAGATCATCAAAATCGGTCCAGCTGTTCTAGAGTTACACATGGTGTAATTAATCCGACTTTGTTTTATTTATATAATAATAGATTAAACAATTTAAAATTTATCAGCAATATACACAATAAACTATGTTCTACTCAGTATACAACATATTTTTTAAATTCACTCTAATTTTACTATTATGGAATTATAGTTACCGATACTGGCGTAATACCCAATGTTATTATGATTAGTAGAGCCGTCTTAAGAGAGAGATGCACTCAGGCTCAAGCTCTGGATTAATACCGGTTCGAAAACCAGTATTTTTGGGATAGCGTTTGAAATCGGTGTTCCAGTATACTGTTTAAAACCGGATTTAGAATCAATGCTGGTATTATGGTATTGATTTTCAATACCACGAGCCTCAGATAAACCCCCTTATGCTAATCCTAATTATAATCATATAAAACCAGCTGTTACAGTATCCAATCGAACAGATGGTATTAATTATATTTCAAAGTATAGTTCACAATTATAAATACCTATGTAGATCCTATAAATCCCGTGAATAAGCCTATAGAATTTATGGTTTGAATAATATAACAATATTTAAAAATATTTTAGGAATATAGGTAATTTTGTTTTCCCAGATTCACATTTAAAACACTTCATTAATGGTGAAACAATTTAAAATACTTACATAAATTTTGACGCATTTTCAAGAAGACCGATGACTTTAAATGAACGTTTTGTGTTAGGCTGATTTGGAATCATAAAATCAATTTTTAATCCTTTAACATAATTTGCTAATGTGTTTCGGGATCTATAATCTAGTTCTGTGTTAAGACCACGATGCAATTCATTTTCAATGTAAGAGGTCAGCGGTTGATGTAGGGGAAAAGCCTTGTGGGTCACTAAAAAAAAAAAAAATGAAATAATATTAATGAATAAATACAGTTTTTCAAAACAGACCATTTTTCCAGGGTGTCCGGACCCCCTGGACTATTCCTCCTCCTAAAAAAGCAACTAAACATAATATAAACAAACAGCTGGTACTGCTAATAGTTGTACCACTGTTATTAGTGAAAAGTTGTAAAAGATGTTAATAATGTAAAAAAGGACTATTACCTACTACTTAATTTTTTTTTTACAACTAAGTATAACAAAAACATTTTGGCGAGTTGTACCACATTTAAAAAAAGCTGTTTGAGAATTCTATGAAACTTAAGGTTCTCTAAAATTGTTTAAATTCGGAACGTTTCGAAGAATCTATTAGTTTTACTATAATTATAAATTAATCATAGTTAAGAAAATTATAGGTGAAATGGCAAATATTTACGGCACGCCGCGGTGTTACTGTTTCATTGTTTTTAATTAATTCCGCAAAATGATTCAACGAAATATCTGTGAATGCATCTTGACTCACGACTTAACTGGAAACATCATGTACGTCAGAAAAAGTTGCAAATCAAACAAAAAATGAACAAACTGTACTGGCTTATTGGACGACACTCCGAACTAGACTTAACCAGCAAACGTCTCTTGTATGTATCAATTGTTAAACCGATTTGGATTTATGGTATTCAACTGTGGGGTTGTGCCAATAAGTCCAAAATAATACGTCGAAATAATATAACGATGCCAGAGTATCGCTCTTCGTACCATTGTCGCAGCATATCGATATGATAAGAACGGCATCATCCACCGCGATTTGAAAATATCATCCGTGCAGGATGAAATTACCCAGTTTGCTCGCAAACATGCAAGAAGACTAGAGCTCCACACAAATACAACTGCCATATAACCCCTGGACAACCTCGATTAACAATGCTGACAGTGACATTATGCACGAAGCTCAATTATGCACGACATTATGTATAAATACTGATCATGGGGGGCGAACCAGAATGATGAGCGTATTGCAGAATAAATTTAAAAATTACATGAATATATTATAACATGTACTATTGTTATGTTGTTTTTAAGTTTGTGTTTAATGCCTAACCAAGCAAAAAGTTCCGAAAAAAGGTACTGTAATTAAACCTATTATAATTCGTGAACTTAATTATCACTGTCAAATAGACTTAGTAGACGAGTTTAATGTTGCGGCCTTCCAACCAAAATTTTTGTCGGCTCAAGTGGATCATACTGTTTGAGTGCGTGTTTCAGATATCGACCGGGGGTGTATGAATTCTCAAAATGGCCGTAGTAATGGACGTTGATAATGATTTCTATAAATTAGGAACTAAACATGGGACTATCAATCAGCTGTACACTTGAAATCAATTAGCCGTGTGCCAAGATTTTATAAGATGTAATTATAAAAATCATTATCCAGCACAATGATTTTATCTGAACTATAGAACATTATTATTAATATAGTAATTAATAAATTAATAAAATAGTTAAAAAATTAATTATTTATAATAACTAAATTTTAATATCTGAAAATCTATAACCTTATAATTTAAAAAACATTTGTATGGATTTTATACTCATCACAAGCCTTTATAGTATTTTGAATTCGAAGAAAATACTATTTTCCCATTATAATTGAATTGTATTATCGATCTTGTTTATTCAAATTTAAAAACAATAACTATTGTCCTTTTACGGATTTTATAAGTTTAGTAGAATTTTCGATATTTTCGTTAATAAAATATACACACGTGTGACGAATAACGACGAACTGAAGGGTAGAAAATATCTATATATTTGAAATAACAAATTTTTCAGCATATTAGGATGTATTTAATGTTGCGTTGATATTGTTAACAATAAACGATTATGGAAAAACTAAAAGTATTTATTCATTTTTTCTAGTTCACTCGTGTGGTATATACCGGTATGGAAATTACCAACAACGCATACAATTTCGTACGCAATCATGCAACCAAAAATCTGGTAAAGTCGTACGCAATCGCGTTTTACCCTTTTATTACCTATCTATTTCATAGATAATCCATTTTATAGTTTTCATTAAAATGTCAACAATCACCGGCGACTGTTAACATTCACTACCAGGCAGTCATACACCTTAACATAATATATAAGGTGTACACATCTAATATATTTGTATACTTAATTAAAAATAAAATATAGTAACCAAAATATTTTTTCATTAATGATGAATTATTCTTTGGGCAAAAACTAAACTATTATTTTTTAAGTTTGGGTAAGAAAGATCATTTGGGCGAAAACTAAAAGGTTGATTTTAGGCGAAAACATGTACGCTCATTTTTGTGTGTCGTGTATTATCACAGCCATATTTATTACACAGTCACAAAGGGCATAGGTAAAATTTAATAATATATTATGTTATGCTTACAATCTATATTCAAAAAAGATTTCCAGCCCATAACATGACTTTGGAAAAATCCTTTCCAGAGTTCTATTCCTCCGCCCAAGTCAACTGGAATATGCTGGATCGGATAAAATGATCTTCCAGCGTTAGTAAATCTGAAACACAAATTACATATTTCCAAATTATAATTATTAAATAAATCGTGAGCAACATAGTTTCGTCACAAGAGACAAATTGTCACTCTTATTTTGTATAGAAAAAATAATACAGTAAAAACAATGACCAAGAAAAAATGTACGAAATTTAGATATTAGTAAAAAAATATTACGGTCTTTTTTTTTCCTGTGACAACTATACTACCAGCAATTTTGCTTCGATTTACAATTATAGCATTTTTCTTGAAAGGAAATCTGACTAGTACTTTAAGGAGGTTATTTTTAGATTTCCCAAGATATTTTCCAGCAAATGAGAAAACCGGGAAAAAAACATAGAAAACCAGAAAAAAACATAGGAAAAACAGGAAAATTGGTACAATATTAAACAAATATTATTAAAGAAAATATACAATGTCTATGAGACTGCTTAAAAAATGTCACGATTAGTTTTTAAATTATAAATATTTGTAGTTAATAATAATTCATAAAGTTTATATCTAGTTCAGAATTTATTAGTTATATATCATTGAATATTCATATCGGCGAATTCAATGTACGTTGTAAATTTTTCAATCAAGTAAATTATGAACATTTTGAAACTCATTTTGTAGTCTATTTATATGATGAGTCAGCAGAAAATACATGATTTTCGGGGGGGGGAGGTTTGAACCCAAAAACCCCTACCGTAATTACACTACTGATGTTATATAAAAACAACAATAAGCTTAAAAATAGCTTATAAAATTATAAAACTACATTATTTACCTATAAAATAAGAACTAGTGCTCATAACAAGAAAATTGATCATAGGAAATTTAGTGCTATCATAGAACTTAGAATTTTAATAAAATAAATTATAATTTTTTATTTACTTGGGTATATATGGTGAACAATCTATCGTAAGACACTTGATATTTCAGAAAGTATTAACTTTTTCTGGAATTTGCTTTCTAAAATACTTAAGAAACCAATTCTTCTACAATTTTTTATTTATGTTATTTTTTTGTCACCCTTATTTTTGGGGGTAAAACCACTACCTACTTTTGATTTTCAAACGGTAACTGATAATAAAAATTCCATAATAAATAAAGTATTATTTAAAATAAATTTTAGTGTTGACATTTTTGATTTCTATCAATTTAATTCACGAGATATTCCACTTTTAAGTTTAGGTTGGTGGAGAACAATAGAATATGATTTGTGTGGCGATACGATACATTGGGTGTTAATAATGCATCACAACTCTCCCCCAACCAAAACTTAAAAGTGGAATATCTCGTCAACGGTTTGACAGAAATCAAAAATGTCAACACCAAAATTTGTTTTGAAAATAACATAAGATTAAATTTGTAGAGCAGTTTGTTTCTTAAATGTTCTAGAAAATAAATTCCGGAAAAAGTTAATACTTTCCGAGATAATGAGTGTCTTATGATAGATTGATCACCCCTTACAGTCACTTATTAATAAGAAAAACTATCCTTTTCTTCTCTTGTTTATTTTTTAGCTCAAATTAAGTAGGAAATATTAGTATTAATTAAAATATTACGTATATTTTAAGTAAAATTACATTTGAATAAATACAAATATTACACATATATTAATTTTTCATTATAATATATTGATTGGTTATAGTGTGTTTAAAAGAATTTAACCCTAATAACAGTATGAAAGTTGAATTTTTAAATTTTGATGTTGATAACAGCTATTACAGAATCGCAAAAAAACACCAAAAGTCAAGAGACCAGACCGTAAATCATACCCGAGTCCCTTAACTAACCGAACTAGTGCTCTCTCACTGAGCTATCCAGGTCTGACCTCCAACGCTATTTCTGACTCTTTTGACCTGTTACTAACACAGTTAGTTTTAACATATTAATTTGTTTTTATCGAGTTCTTAGTATAGTTGCAGTTAGTATAATATCAGTGAAAATTGTTCGTATGCACATTATCGCGGTATTGGTGTCATTGTTCATCTTGTCTATGTTATCATTTAATTATACAATGTGTTCCAAGAAAATATTCTCATTGCAATATTTCCCTGATTTAACAAAGATAGACAAATTCCAATAGGGTGGTAACTCGAAAAATGCAGTTTTAAATTATACCACTTTTCTGTTTTGTTTTAAATACAATAATATATTTTCTCAAAAGAATACACAATTAACTAACAGTTAATTTAAATAACTAGTGTAAGTAGTAGAGTTTTAACTCAAAATTGTAGATAAATTTGTACACAAGATAATTAATCTTTGAAGAGAAATAATAAGTTGCTCTAAATGCGAAAGTGGAATATCTCGAAATAATACATTATTATACTATTATATTATAATTAATTTAAATAATTATAGTTAGTCCACTAAACATATTGTGTATTAACTCAAAAAAAAGTAAATTTAGTCAAAATTAATAAAATATTTATTTTTTTTTTTAATATTATAGTTTAGATAGGTATATAATTTTATTTATAAACTACAAAAACCTAAAAATTGTATGACAAGAGAATACTTTCTGTTTTACAGGTATCTAAAAATAAATAAAATCTTTAAACTCGTTTTTCTCAAAACATGATTTTTCCTGTTAATACACTACAATTCTGATAGTAGGAATTATATACCAATTCGGTGACCCATGTGATTTAAAAACTTATCAGATGTATATGGTGGTGGTGCACAAGGTTTGAACTCTTTATACTTTTCTTTTAATATGAAAAAGTGTTTAGCCATTATTCAAGATTGTTTTTGATGAACCCTACACACCAATTCACTAAATCCAATTCGTTTTCATTTATTTTAAATAATTAAATGCGAGTAAACTATCTCGTTCTCTCCTATTACGACTCATCGCTATGTTTATGGATATAATATAAATATATAATCAAACTATTTAACCAGCCCACAACCCAGCCCAGCCTATAACTAATTATAATGGCCCGTCCTCTGGGACAGCAGTTCCCAAACTTTTACGACCATGGCACCCTCAGGGAAAAGATTGTGTTTTGTAGAACCACAATGTCTCTAACTACAACTGTATTCTGATTTTTCAATTATTTATTGAAAAATCAATACTCCAAAAATATTTAAATGATATTGTTCGTGATTATTGTTTATCACAATTAGTTAAAAATAAAAAAACAATTTTAAAACAAAATTTTACTTATTAAAATAACAAATATTTATTATTTAATTATTAAAAAAAAATTAATCTTTGACAAAATATAATTAACTTGATAGATTTATATAAGTATTTATCTATATTAGGTACCTACCTATTTATATTATTAAAGTGTTATAATTTTATATTGTTCAAATTTAAAGTAAAATTAATATATTAGTAACTATTATTTAGGTACTTTGGAAATCACTGATCTAAGGCAATAGACCACTGGGCCCTGCTAATGTATGTTTCATTGTTGTAGATGAGAAGTTAATGAAATAGGACACCTACATAGAGTTACCTTTTATATATGTATGCAATAATAAACCATTACTAACGAAACACAATTCTCAGCAAGTTACATGCTTTAAAATACTGTAGTTTTTACTATTTTCGTTAAAATTTAAACTTAACTCACTTATAAATAAAATCTAATAAATTACGCCAAACTTTTTTTTTTATAATCTTATACAACTTATGATGAACTTTATGTTAAGCTGTCTATCATTTCTGTTCGGCCAAAACAATTATTTTATCTATATAAATCCACTCCTCCCCCTTCCCCCGAAAAAAAAAATGTCACATACCAATAAGTAGCTCAAAAATCACCTGAATATTTTTAAAATTTGACTATATCGTAAGAAGGCTATTATTTTTATTATGTTGAAACTCCTGAATCTCTCGATTACTTATTAACCGAGTTATAACAAAAAAACCAACAAAATCGAAAATAATTAAACCGTTATTGCTGTAAATTTTACAGTTTTTCCCAATTATTTAACAACTCATTAAATATAAAACTACGGGGAAAATCGAAAAATGACCACCGAAATGCATATTCTTATATTATATAAGTAATTCATAATTCATATTATATCTCTCTGTAATATACGAGTATTAGATATGTATAGGTAAACTTGAATCTTTGTGATAAAATGCACCGATCTGCAATAGTTAACAATAATAATTAAGTATACGTGATTTTGTGAACATACATCTGCATTTCAAGAAAAAAAACTTAACTAAACCCATTGATAAAAAACTAAAAAGTGAGTATACACCATATACTCACTATACCTATTCTCTCACAGGAGAGCGTGAAAAAGCCGGAAATAAATTATATTAATCACTGAAAATAGTAACTTAACAGTTATACATAGTGGGAATATGCAAAACTCGTTTTCAATAAAAGTTAATTTTTTTACATACAGAATATATTATAGTCACTTTATTTAGAGTTTACTAACCTTAATGAAAATGGTCTGCTTTTCAAAATAATATCCAATGCTTGGAGAATTTCGCCGGGAAGGTAGTTTGATGAGCCATTTTTAAAATAATTGTCAATCTTATGTACTGATATACTAATGATGAAGTCTATTGAATTACCAGTTTCTTCATTTAAAATCCGGACTGTGTCGGATATCTGGAAATAATATATATGTTATTAAACACTTGGTAAATAGATAAATAACATTTATACAGGATGATTCGCTAAACATGCTCACCTCGTTTGTTTGGTTAAATTTTGAATACATTCAAATTCTAATTTTTGGAATTTTTAAATGGAGTTAAAACCGATATTTTCGAATACTTAGATTTATCACTACATTTAAGGAATATCCTGTAGCTATACCGACTTTGATTTTTCAAATGAGAGCTTGCATAAAAAAATTCGTCAATAGGTTAACGGAAATCGACAACTTTAATATCAAAATGTGTTTAAACTAATACTAATACTAATACTAATACTCCATCTGTTTATGGAATTTTTAATCTTGATTCTCATTTAAAAAACCAAAGTTGGTATAGCCACATGATACTCCTTAAATATTGTGATAAATCCAAGTATTCGAAAATATCGGCTTTAACTACACTTAAAAATTCCGAAAATTTAAATTTGAATATAAGTAAAATTTAACCAAGAAAATAGAGTGAGCACGTTTCATGAATCATCCTGTATATGAAACTAAAATATATTCTCAGACAATGAAAACATCTAGGTATTTTTTTTTTATAGAAACTTTATTAATATAAAGAGACTTGGATTGACATACTATAGTCTGTTTCACGAGAGAACGGGCCGTTCTCCGACCAAACCGAATCGCCACAGCGCATCCCCACGCCGCAATACTATCTAACATTTGTCCCCTTCCGGATCTATCGACAGCGCTGCAACGGCGACCGCAGAAAAGGGGCAGGTGTTGTACACTGCGTTTCAAATAATGCACTGTTGACTGTCGATAGTCCACTGTTTATCGCCAATTGCCGTGGTATACGCACACGTAATTTTTACAGCGTTTACTTTTTTGTACCGTTTGGTAATTTTTACTTTTTTCTCCGTTTTTTTAATTATTTTAAAATGAGTGACAGCGAGTCAGTGTATGATGTTTCTCCAGTCAAAAGAAACCCAAAAGGAAAGGTAAGCGTTTGTTTTATATATTTATTTTACATACGACAATTTACGTAGGTAAATAGGTTTACGTAGATATCCATATTTTTTTTAAATTATTTTTGCATAAGTACCTATATTTTATTGTACGTATTTACGTAATGAATAGTTTTCTTAATTACCTAGAACTCAAATATAATAATTGGATACGCAATAAAAATACTTTTTGGTCAATGTAAATTTGAGTACGCATACAACAAAGTATTTTTTAATGTTTTTTTTTAGCTTATTGTTTCCCGTCAGAAAATGATGATCATTAATCTATATAAAACAAAAATTGTTGAGCAACCAAACCTCAAAGTGAAAGAAGTGGCATTGATGATCTCATCACAAACTGGTGTAGGAAAAAATACTGTCCAATCGACAATTTGCGACTACAAAAATGAAGGTATAATAAAATCTCCTAACAAAAAAAAGATCCGACTGTCTATCATACACAAAACTGATGAATTTGAGAAAGACGCTATACNAAGAAATGAATTTTGTTTATGCAAAGAGAGGGCGAAACAGTGCTCTGATCGAAAGGGACGACATTGTTAGTTGGAGGAATCGTTACCTGGAACAAATTCGTAAATTCCGAAAGGAAGGCCGGTCAATATATTATTTAGACGAGACTTGGGTCAATGCGGGAGAGTGTACAAATAAAACATTTAAAGGTCTCTCAACTGGTGCTGCTAACCCAAGCGGTAAAGATAGTAGATTGATTGTTGTTCATATTGGTTCGGAAGAAGGTTTCGTTCCAGGTGGTATATTGTGTTTTCGTTCAAAAAAAAATACAATGGACTACCATGACGAAATGAATGGCGATACCTTTTTCGATTGGATTAAAACCGTTGTTCCATTATTGAAGGAAGGCAGTGTCATCGTAATGGACAACGCGTCCTATCATTCTGTTAAATGTGAAAATATTCCAAATATCAGTTGGAAGAAAGCAGATATTGAAAAGTGGTTGGAAGATAAAGGTCAAGCCTTTGATAGACCAATAATTAAAGTTCGGCTTATGGAATTGGTTACGAAAATTAAACCACAGTTTGACAAAAAGATAATTGACGAGTATGTTAAATCAAAAATTATGACTGTTTTACGTTTACCCCCCTACCACTGCGAACTGAACTTAATTTAATTGGCATGGGCTTTTGTAAAAAATAACGTGAAAATCAACAATAAATCTTTTAAAATTTCGGACGTTGAAAAACTTCTTCATGAGGGTGTTGAAAAGTGCACTCCGGAGATATGGTCAAATTTTGTCAGACATACCAAAAAGGTTGAGGACAAATTTTGGGAGATCGATTTCGTAGTAAAAGAGGTGATGGAAAATTACAATTTAACTGTGATTACAATAACGGGTGACACATCATCGTCAGAATCTGAGTCGGAACCAGAACAAGAGAACACAACGGAATGAAAAAAAAATTATGTAAATATGACAAAAATGATAAATTGTAATTTTAACGAAAAAGAAAATTAAATGTTTTAATATAATTATTTATTATTTATTAAATATATATCTCTGTATTATGCCTACTGTATCATACCTACTGAATTATACCTACAGTGTTCAATAAGATATTAAATAAATAAATATGTATACAAAAAAAACAAAGTNGCGATGTCTGATAATAATAACAATTGAATTTCTACAAAATATCCTAGCGGTGTATAGTCAAAAACCGACGACGGAAGAAATGACAATCGGCTGCCTTCGCTGAAATCAAGTTATGTGGAGGGGTAAACATGCGCACAAGCGGCCCGTTCTCTAGTGAAACAGACTATAATATCCAAATTTTTATAAATTGTATATTTTTATTTTATTGAAGTAAAATCAATTTAATATGCTAATAAAACATATACACTACAAAACTAATATAACATAATATTGATAATACAAACGATAAAAACAATAAACAAACGCTTTCCCCATAAATCAATCATTCTACAACTATCTCAAAGCTGATTATATTAAAATCAACACATTTTTGAATTTTTTTAATTGGGAAAAAATGTTTAAGAATATCAATATTGAAACATCTACCGCTATTTTTCAAGATGCTTTCTTTACCGGCGATCTGAAATTATTTTCACGCATTTCCCCCATTAATGTTTGCTTATCCTCCAAAACGAACTTGATTTATTGGCCAATAATTGATGTTAGGAACGGGAAATGAGTTTAAATATTTCCAAATATCACTTTATGAGTTTCTATAGATCCCCAAACCCCATCAAATTCAATTATGCTATACATAATAATGTGCTCAACACTGTATCTACTGTGAAAGATCTAGGTATTATCTTTTCACGTAATTTATCATTTCGCTAATATATCGAACTTATAATAAAGAAAGCTTCTAAATCATTTAATTTTATTAAGCATCACTATTCTGAATTTAACGACCAGAGATCATTTAAAACTCTATATTCAACGTTAGACCGATCGATTTTGAAATACGGTTCCATTATTTGGAATCCATACACCAATTTAAAACGTGATTCAATCGAAAGAGTCTAGGACTTTTATTTCATAAAATGCAGTCTTTAAATTAAAATTTCAATTATAGCCACACATTTATCAACCTATCAACATGTGTGCATTTATTTAGATCTCCCCACATTGGCCACTAGACGTGATGTGGCGGACATGACCTTCATTTTCAACCTCATCAATGATTTTATTAATTCCTCCTACTTATTAAATTGAATCTAACTCCAAACGTCTCTTCATCAGTAAATATACCCCAAAGTATTCTATATTCCAGCTAACAGTACAAACTTTGCCAAAAACTCACCCCTTTTAAGAGCAATATCCCTATGTAATAACCACCCCTGCAATATCGATTTTTTCCATGACCCCATAATTAATATTAACAAATCCCCATCACATTATTAATTATATATATATTACATTGTAATTATATTACATTATTGTTTATATTTATTATTATTATATTATGTTTTATTTATTTATACTTAAAATTATCTATTTTACTCAGTATCTTCTTATAATCTGTCAAATTTGGGCTTTTGCCTGTATTTATTTATTATTATAATGAAATACTAATTGAAATTATTCAAAGTGTAAATTATTATAACAAAAAATAGTAATATTAATTAATGATGGACATAATCAAAATATTCAACTATCAATACAAACAATTTTAGATACTTCAACTATTAAAAAAATAATCGATTTCTTCCCTTGATTTCGAAATCTATAATTTGTTGAATGAAAATTGCAAATATCTCAATCATGGTATAACTGATTCGTATAATATAATTATTAAAATTAAATAATTTAATTGAATGAAATAATCAAAAATGGTTAATCGCTAATCGGCATTTACTCAGGTAATCGAACGACTACCGTCCTGGTCTCCACCATTTAGTTATAATACAAAAGCTGACCTAAAAAAACAGTACTATTGAGAACGAAATTCTGTGCAACGTTGCCAAGCTAAATTCAAGTCAAAACTCATAAATAAATCATTAAAAACTTATGCAAAATATCTGATAAAACGATATTTGTGTGGAGTTTAAAACAATTTAATTTCCACCAAGTTCAGAGGATATAAGTCTTGGTTATTTTCCATTTTATTGAAGTATTAACGTAAAATTGTTCGCACATAAAGCGCATAATACGAGAAACCATGTACTGAGTAATGCACTAATGCGAACATTTTGATTATTCGTTGGAAACAGTTTGCTATCGTTGTATTTATATATATTATCTTTATTGATAGATTAAGTCATATGCCACCTCAAATAACAATAGATATTCATTAAACTCGATTACGATACAAGAAATATATTTTTGATTGGTTGAATTTTCAGATTACTACATATTTAGCAACGTTGTGTGGAATTATAAAACCGAGCGTTCTCAATGGATAGAACACGATTGCGCACATTCATTGTTCGATATTACATTTTTTTCGACCTTTTTTTTCTACATAACTCCGTATTGTATTCGAACGCGACGTTGCCATGTCAGAAATACGATTTCGCACGTTTTTTTTCTTGTAACACGATTCCGTGATTTCTGTATTTATTTACCTCTTTATCACGATATTTCAAATTTAATTAATTAATTAAAAACATGATAAGTTAGGTCTTTTGTTAAAGATTACAATATACATTAAATTACATGAGTCTATATGATTTGATTATGATAAGGGTACCTAACGTTATAACGATAATTTCATTACCACGAGATTATTTCTAAAAAATGATTACCCACAATAACAGTTGGTAAATACATACATATTAAAGGATATCTTTAATATCTATATGTAAATATACCAGTATAGGTAGTTAATCTGGTCAAAACTGTTAAAACACCACGCGTGGATACAATTCAATAATAAGTTTTATTAATTTCGAGCACTATACTTTATATTTTTACGGTGTTAAAATGTATAAGTTAATAGCTAGGAATGGAGAATCAATTAGAGATAATAAAATCTGAGAAGAACAACGTTCATAATTATAAAATACATCAATATATTATAAAATATCTAACTTCTATTGGCTTTATGTACTAAGGGAAAAATTATACTAAATTGTACATTAGTTTACATTATATTTATTTTTTGTAATGACGGTTCACTATTCACTATATGAGGGAACTATTTTTATTTTACATTATTTTTTTATAATAAATTTGACAACGTTGCACCCAATTCCTATTTCAATGAACAATAGAGCGTGCGGAATCGTATTCCTCCCTTCTAAATCGCAAAAGTCAGAAGGGTCTAAAAAAGGTATCAACGATAATAACTGTCCTCAATCGCATTTCTGCCCATCATTTTATCTAGTTATAAAATGTGTTACTACATAATCATTTTAGTGTTAAATTCCAAGGAGAATCCAAAGAACTTCACACATCACGTTTATGAAAAATGAATTGTATTTTTAAATATAATTAATTTATATTAATGTATGATATTAATTATTTTAAAACATAATAATATTAAAATTGATTATTTTATCATAATGTAAATTCTAAATAAAGACTAAAAAGCGGTAACCACCATAGTTCTATTTAATTTTTTTTTTTTTCGTAATGAAACTCTCATACTACATTAGGTAGATATTATCACATTTATTATTTTATTTACGTATTTATTTGTAGGTAATTAAAAAGTAAATTAATATTTAAATAGGTAATTAGAAGTAAAGTGTAATAATTTATTTGATGTCAATGAGTGGTTTTTATTGTTTTTAAAATTGTCTATTCAATTATTCACAATCAGTAAAATTGAGTCCCTGACCATTGTTGTTATCGATCGGTAATAAAATTTTTAAAATGTTATCACGATAATGAAAATGCCTCGTTTACAAATATTTCGATCATTGAAATAATCATTCGTTTATGCCCATCATTAATTTTAAGTATCTACAAATATACGTTAACATTTTTTCATTATTATCTATTAAATCTACTAGTTGTAATTTATATAGTAAATAAATTTACTATACCTCTTTCAATTCTACTGTAGTGTACATATATTTGATACCATCAAATGCAAAATAAACATTTTGATAATGTCTTTCCACAAACTGTTCCATTGCAGGTCTATAAATAAATAAAAAAATATTAGATCAAATGATTTTAATATATTTAAAAAAAAAAATAATAATAATAAAAATCTATCATAAATGTAGTATCGAATTACCTTAAAAGTCGCTTGGGATATTCTGGAGTAAATTTGCAATTAATAAGATAAATAGTTTTCTTGAAAAATTCGTCAAGATCAAGAGGAAGATGGTTCACTTCTACTTCAGTATGACGTCCTCGTTGACCTCCAGCTTTTGGGTTTTCGCGTTTTGGAATAACTAATTTGGTTTTTAATATTTCAATTTGTTGATCGATTTCTGGGTTACCAGCTAAAAATGACATAAAATCGTCATAAAATATTTTTATATGGAAATCTAAATTTTTCATTGTGTAAAAAAAATGTTTTAAATACTTGGTTCCATTTGAATTATATCCGGCCCTTTTGATTTTGAAGAAGCAGCTTGACCTACAATAAACGCGTGTTCAAATTATTATTATTTTTTAATGTCTCCTAGATGTGCACTATATTGTGTCTGTTATAAGTGATCAGTGCGATCCTTTTATCATAAACCAGCTATTTTCTCGTTGTAATTTAAGTTAATTTGATATTTGATTTTTTTTGTTTATTATTATTTATATGGACTCGATTAAGCATTAAAATAATGATTTTAATATTATTTTCAATTTTTACCTTAACATTTTATATCTGAAATGAGTATCCACTTCGGATTTTTAAATATCAACGCCACTTTAAATCTAAGATTTAAATAGAGAATATTTTTCTAGATATATTACTAATAGAGCACAAATAAAATGCCGCACACCGTGCTGTCACATAAATGATATTCCCCGTATCTAAACTTAAAAGTGAAATATCTCGTTAACGTGTAGACACAAATCAAAAATGTTGACACCAAAATTTATTTAAAGTAATACTTAATCTATTTATGAAATTTTTAATGTATGTTTTCATTTAAAAAACAAAAGTTGGTATCGCCACAGGATATTCCTTAAATATTGAAAAAAATCTAAGTATTCAAAAACACAATATAATACATATATTATAAGAAATATAAAAGAAAAATCTACTATTATCATATCAACAGTGGTTCTCGTATTCGAATGATAAAAAAAAAGTTTTAGACACTTAGAAACATAAATA